TCTTGGACAAAAACCCAACGATCAACAGAGCCTCAAGCTTTCACCCAACAGCGACCCAACATGCTCCATGTCGCAACAGAATGCCTTCATCCGAAAGATGGTGATGTTGGTGTCTTTTCCACACGCAGCCAGGGCAATCGGCGTGGTGCATGACAATGTTGTATAATCACCAGGCACACTCAACACACTCCAAGCTTGTTGTGAGGGTTGAGTGTTGGGGGTTGAGAAATTGAGTTTGGGCCGGGGGTGTATGCGTGCAATCCAAAACATGATCTTGAAGGATGTTGCAAACATTCATTGTTCCAAAGCCAAGTGACCACAGATTCCAGCCGCTACCTGCAGCACCAACAATGTTTAGGCAGAATTTCAGAGCATCTGATTGAAGCAAGAGGCTACAGATCGCTACAGATCGCTACAGATCGCTACAGATCCGTCCGTCGCCTTCCGAAAGGTCTGCGTGTGAGGTGGCTGTGGTGCGTAGACATCCCAACTAAAGCCGGCTGGTTCCAGACCCTGGCGCCGCTGGCGCGAGACCGATGTCCTGAGACACCTGACTTTACCTCTAGAGATACGGCCAAACACTGTGCGCAATCGTGACATCACATGTGTCATGGCATATGGCATAGGTACATTGTGTTTTTTTGTAGAAACGTCATGAGCAGAGTGATACCATCATTGTCGCTGAGTATTCAGACTCCAACTCCGCAAACACATGCCTCATGTTGTTTATTCATATCATACATATATTCAATGTATTTCAATGTATCCTCCCATGCAAAAGTGGCCAGCAACTGGGGAAGCCGATGGTATATTTTTTGTATAATGTGTATATCACATGGTATCCCGGTATCTCACGGTATCTCACAGGTTGAAGCGATAAGTGGTACACGGATGACACCCGGCCTTCATCAGCGTAGCATTGAGAACTGGAAAGCCCTGAGACGCACAGCTGGAGCCACGCTGAAAGCCGGGCTCCTGACGCACCAAACATAGCCGTGGATAATGTCGTTTCAATGGATGTTTTACTGGGAAACATGGGAAAATCCATGAACATCATCTATGGTGGAAGATGTATATCCATTGCCATATTTGATTAGCAGAGGGTAAAACCTCAACTGGTGAGAATTCAGCCAGTCCAGAAGCCCAGCCATCGAGACGATGAGCTTCTTGCCCACCGTCAAGCATGTCTGCCAGCGGCGGCGAAAAGAAATATATGGAGGTTTCCTGCAATGGGGGTACCCCAATCCCTGGATGGTTTATATATAATGGAAAATCCTACTAAGATTGGTGCTTTGGGGTACTGGTACCTCCATTTTAGGAACCTCCATATCCACTCAACATTCTTGTCAATGCAGCGGACAAAAATGAAACACAACTGGATCTGGGAGATACACAGAGCAGACAAAACCAGAAAGGGATCTATTGATAGAAACCTCCTGGGAACCTGGTCAACTTGAAACCACCTCAATGCATCTGCCGCAAAGCTCGCAGTATTTTGATCAAAATATTGGTGGCATTTTGAGCAAATTTAAAATATTTAAAGATAATTCTGCTGTATTCTCTGCAATCAGCTCTTGGTTCGCAAAGAAAACTGTCCGCCTCTTGGCACACCCCAGATGCCACGCGGACAAGCTTGTCCTCATCCTACCAGGAAAATCTCAGCTGCGTCTGTCCGTGTCTTTCCCTTTGCAATTCGTACCAGAGAAGGCCTGTCAGCAAGCTCAAAGTAGGGGCCCGGCAAAAATCCAGACATGTCCGGTGGGATGTTCTGTGCATTTAACGCAGTCATAAAGCAGTCCTCCTTGCAAACTTGGCAGCATGCATCGCCTTTTGCAATGCGCTCATTGTCTACATGACTGTTGGAACACATATTGATCTCAGCAGAGCTCGGAATGTCATAGAATGTCGCCTTGCTTGGCTGGCTGTCCACCCAACTGCTCGCCTGCAAGCTTTCAGATGGAAGACGCAAGATCAATGTACATAGCCATGCTAAACAGTACTGGCCAAGTCCCTCTTGTCATGTACCGGTGCCTAGTTGCATGGCAACTCCCAAGATGTCAGGCCTCAGAAACTTCCGACCGGTTTTCACGACGGCCACGTGACCCTGTCCGATCAGGGCCCCGACTTCCGGAAGATGCCCAAGCTGAACTTTCCCACAACGGGGATGTCTACCTGCCATCGAATGTGAAACTGTCTGTATCTGATGGTCTTGGACAGACGGTATGTACAGTATCTATTCACTGTTGTAGATCATCATCAAACTAACTTCGACTGCATATTTGTGGGCTGTTGGAGAGTGAGCGGCAAGCGCTTGTGCCGGAAACCAAGCCGGGCCCTGAAAGGATCTGAAAGTTAGGTCCACGCCTCCTTGAATCCAGCAGGTTCGCTGAATCCCAATGAGTCACATGAGCCCTCCTGTCACAAGATGTCACAAGTTGCAAAGCTTTGGGTCTGCAGCATTACGTGCGCTTATAGTCAGGAGACGAAGGTTTCTCTTGGCACATCAAATCATCAAACAGTGAAAGGTTCCAAATGACTTCTTGAGTACATCACCTGATCACAGGCTAGCGCGTTCACGCGTCAACTCTCATGTTGTCGTGCCATCTGCTGTTAACTTCAGCATCTCTGTCATTGCAGAACCTGCCGGAAAAGCCTGCCTGCAACCCGGCGAGCTCTTGAACCCAATCTGCCCAGCTGGCTTCCAGCTGCACCTGCCAACGCGGGGCATTGAATTAGTGGCTTTTTGGTGCAAGGTTGGTTATTGAAGGGAATTCATCCAACTTTCTGTGATTCAGAAGTTTCCTCACGCCCTCCTGCCTGCCCACACTCGATGCCGACGATCGTGTGCATATCAACCAAATGCTGCGCCTGGCAAGAAGCAGAACTCCGTTTGAGTTGCAAAACGTGCGCAGCTGCAAGCAGCAATTCCCGGACGCCCAAATGGTGGGTGCATGAAAACTGGAGGCACAAAGAAATACTGCAGTGATCTATGTTCTATTTCACTAGATTTCACTCACACAAGGGGAATCGGATCGGGCAGGGGGGCAAAATCGAGACATACCTGAACACCAAATTGAATGTTCCTCAAAACAGATAGCTTGCTGCAGCTGCCTCGACATGGCCCAAGGCTGCCAAAAGCAGCACCTGGCAACACAGCACGCTGTGCTGCTGAAATGGCATCTGGAGACCAGGTTGCGATATGTTGATTTTTGGAAACGAAATATCCTAATCGATATCTGCGGATCGCCCCCAATCTAACGACTACGGAACCTTGTGTGCCAAGCACACCTACCCACAAAACATCACAAGACATATCCATTATCTCCATCATCTCCATTCATATCCGTCATATCCTCTTTGGACGGCCTTGAACCAGGCCATGACGCCGTTCGTAAAATCTCTTCCTGAAATCTAGAATGGCAAGAATGGCACCAAAATGCACCGAATGAGCCACAACGGCGCAGTGCAAACTGCATCGAACCACTCAGAGACATGTGAGTCATGTTCGAGACAACACCATTCAATAGGATTCTTTGCATCTGCAAAACCACTTGACTCTTCCACTAGACTGGGGAATCCTCCATGTTTCCCGGAGGGCATCTGCTTGGTTTTCCACTCAAACTCCGCATTTTTCCAAGTTCTCTAAGTTGCCGTCCCTTCCCTGGTTTCAGCCAGGTGATGTTCACTCAGCCAGCAGGGCCAGTGGATCGCTTTGGACCCACCATGAAGATTTTGGGAGTTCCAACATGTTCCAGCCGTCAACCAAACCCAAGCCGCATCAAGCCGCATCAAGCCGCATCAAGCCGCATCAAGCCGCATCAAGCCGCATCAAGCCGCATCAAGCCGCATCAAGCCGCATCAAGCCGCATCAAGCCGCATCAAGCCGCCAAGTTGTTCAAAATCATGAACCGCCATGGGAGATTCTTCTCCTCTCCGCAGTTGTAACTCAGATAGCTCAGTGGGCAATGAAGAGGGTCTCCGGAATGAAGTCCCGCCCAGGTAAAATGCTGACCTGCCGGTGAAGCAGTTGGAACTGGAAACATCCGGGGACAACGGAACAAACCGAAGTTGATGTGAAGGGTTCTGTGCTAGCGACTTTGGCTTTAGGCAGTATGAAACGCACTCCACTTGAGTGTACTGAAATGTCCATGTGCTTCGCAGGAGTGTTCCCAGGCATGTACACCTCTGACCATACAAGTAGATATATTATGATATACTAGCATAGAGGATCATGGAGGTATTTCTATCTATGTTGAGTCAGGAAATGGTGATCTGGAGCCAATATCATATCATCCACCCCTCCAGGCGTCCCGGCCGCAGGCGACAGCGAATCGAGTCGCTGGCGCAGCTTCTTTTGGAGGAACTGAAAGCGGTCCTGGCGGCTCTGTCGGACTGCTGGTGAAACTCCAAATCGGGAGATGGGAAGAGATGGGAAGAGTATGACTGAACACCCTTGGGTTGAAACATGTTTGAACCTCTATTTCATTCCCTGAAAGCACCGCTCATCATAGTTTCGATCAGATTTTTTCACACAGAGCCTTCCAGCTACACAAAGTTTCACGATTTGATTGGCTTTGGGCGGTTAGTCGGTTTCAGACCAACCACAAAAGAAGGTGCAGTTGGGATGTTCCGATCAGTTGCAAACTCATCTGTCCTTGATCAGATCCGATGGTTCGACCTGATGAATTAGGATGCTGGCTGCACCCCTCTGTGCAGAATGCCTGGATTACAAGTGTGAGCATAGATCCCTCATTGTGTCAGCCAAATCAATACTTTGTATGTCATTTCTACGGCATTTCTCCTACAGACCCCGGATTTGTTTGTTTCTGACGAAGGGTCAACAACGTTGCTCCACAGTGGCGGCACATCGGCTGCCAGAAGACACTGTCCAGCTCCCTGGAAAGCAGCAAGGCACGACTGTGGAGGAAATAGCCAGGCTCCTGAAGCGCATTGATAGGATATGGCTTTGATTGGCCTTGTCTAGACATGGGCTATCTAAGTACAGCTGCACTATCCATCCCCCAGTATCCCCAATGGAAAGGGGAAAATATGGGAAAATGATAATAGCCCATTGAATTTTGGGGTAGCCTGTTTTCAAGCAAACCCATGATATGGATTCTTATTGCAGGATATGCCAGAACCGCTGCGTCCTGAGACAAATCCAGAGATGCAAGCCAATCCCACACCTGTCAGCTGGACCGAAGAGAAGCATTTCTTGTTTGGGGTGATGAGTCTCCATGACAAATCACCGCAAATACGGCAATCCTCCACATTTGCTGGACTCAAGACTGACAGGCTCCATCTTGTCGGGCTACAGCACTATCTATCCTTATCTTGAAGGGCTCAGGAAAGAACCACCGTCTTTCCAAGTCCCGCGACGAGATTTAACATATTTTTCAAAAAGATTGTATCGAGGCAATCAAGTCACATTGGGTTGAAGGGCATAGTACAGCCTGGAAACAATCTATCTAGAAATAGACAGGTGTCATCGCCGAGTCATGAGCAGTGCGTCTGAAGTACCGCATGATATACTTTACAAAACACATTGAAATCAAATCGAATGCCCGAGTGCCTCAAGTAGCATTGAAGCAGTGCCCAACAGGAACTCACCATCCCACTTCATGTATGTGTACCTGACGCGAGAAAGAGTCTTTGGAGCTGTTTGCTCTTTTCAAAAGCTCACAACAGGCTTAGTGATCTTGTGAAGGGTGCGTCTCAATTTGTCTCAAAAGGAACAAATATTTGGCAATTCTGGGAGCCTGGATGAGCCTGATGGAAGTCCAATCACATAATTGTTGACCGGACATACTCTAAAATTCTAAAATATGTTAAAACTTTGACATCTATATGCTTTCTATACTTGAAGCAAGCCCTTGTGTGTTCTGTTAGATTTCTGTTAGTTTGGCAACTAAGTTGCCCCAACAGCTCTGCAGAAAGCATGGGAAATCCAAGGTTTCCGCCTGCTGAGTGATAGATCCAGGTCCACTGCAAAAAGCAAGCCCATTTGCCAGATCCAATGCCGACGGCCAAACAGGCAACCTGCATCATCCGCAAGACCTTAACGGATGGCATCGAACATGAAACCCTGACATCCTGCGGACAGTGAGAAAAACGGCTGAGTCCCGCAACGAAGGGCCGAGAGAACGAAGGATTCTGTTGGGAGGGCCAAGCCTCTACAAGGCGAGCAGGTCTTCTCTGTCTTCTCTGCATCCATCATGACATTCTGCCATGTTTCACGGAAGAGGTGCAACTGCACTGCAACGGTGCAAAGTTCCTGTTTTTAACGCCTCTCTGGCAGCATCAGTGCCTACTCCTGGGATCTGAAACCACTGCTCTGTTTGGAGACAAAATTTAAGCAGAGCTGATTGAGAGATCATTAAAAACCATGAGGTGGTGGAAATCTCCAACATGGCCTCCAACAATATCAACAATTGTCATACCAAATATGCTGACTCCAACTATTTGCTCAAGCTTGAGTGCACTCGCCGCATGAGCTGTAGAGCACATTGCCATCAGGTCTCAAGCAACTGCGAGATGCACAGTTGGCGATTTCACAAACAGCTCCTCGGCTACTTCCCCGCATGACACAGAAAGCGGCAAGCCGCACATACGTTGACTGATCCACATAGGCAAAACTGGAGACACTCTGCTCCATCTGCGCCAACATCTTCTCGTTGCTTCTCATACTCTCTTCTCGTCGTTGATTGACAAGATGTGGTTTGGAAAAAAATCTCAGCATCTTTGCAAACTTGTTCGGAGACTTCCTTCAAAAAGGTGAAGTTATGTGAAGTTGCTCACAAGCAAATGCCACGGCAAATCATAGAATCCATGAAGCAAACACATCATCGTAGGGGAAGAGGTGATCACGAGTCACAAACTTTCGGCCATCAGCGAAGATGAAAGTGAACGGAGTGGACTGCGGATTGTCCAAAATGCTCTTGCACGTTCCCTTATAGGTCTCAACGTAGCTGGTAAAATTCCGTTCTCTGCGACTCTCAGCATACAAACCGATGTAGGATGCCGCCCTGCCGAAAGTGCGGCAACCATCTCTACAGGTTCTGCAACGACGTCTTCCACCGGTCTGCTCTGTTGCTGCTGAGTCAGCGGTTTTGTACACGCGATATCTGTGGGTCCAGTTGGATGCAAGACCAGGCGCTTTGGTCCAGCATCAACTTGCTCACATTGTGCAATTCCTCCCCTTCAGCCAATGCTAGGATGGGCAATAAAGCGTCCACAACCGTCAATGCCGCAACCGTGAAAGCTATATATATAAGTTTTCCCATGTCGTGCGTCGTGCGGCTCTACATTCTGGGTCTCAGAGATGATCATCACTGCACAGCATCTTTATTTGTGGCAACCCCGACGTACTCAAGGTACCTACTTTTGCGACAATCAGCGGCTTATCGTGATGAAGCTCCTGAATATGTTTGTTGACTGGCCACTGCACATCAATATCACTCCCTGGCCTATGTGTGTGTTGCGAAGTCCTCACTCGCCGGAGGTGCCCTGGTGGCCCGTCTGGTGCAGCTCAGGCCCCTGGGGGGCCTGTATTTGGTTCTTCAATCACTGATTGTGAGCCCGCAAAGTTGGTATTTCTATTCGACTATGCATTCACAAGCTGATGCGAACTAACCTGATCGGATGCTTTTCGGCGACCACGACTGAGAGGACTCTGAGTGTGCCGGTAGCGCTTTCGATTTGTACAGGACTTTGTTTCTTGCATGGCACATGTCTCACCCCTTTTTTGCGGATTAGTTTGATTGTAATTTGGTTGTTTTGTGTTATATGGAAAGGCTGGGATCCATTCGATTGTGATCTTTAAGCCTTTCGCCGTGCATGAGGCATGCGGCACTCTGTGCCGGGTGACTGGTGGCGTTGGGCCCCGGCCCCTTTCCTGGTGGTGTTGTTTCGTGCGTCGAGCCGATACGCAAATCTGCCAGGGGATTTGCTTTTCGGTCTCTTCGCTTGCTTTTCTGGTCTCTTTGTCCCTTTGTTTGTTGTTTGTTTCTGGTTTTATTCTTGCCTCATCGGTCCAGCACGACTGTACAGTTCGATCCCATAGTGGATTTTGTTTTCTCACTTTTTCATCTTTACATTCAGTACGTTTTTTTTTTCTCCGGGTTGGGCTGGTTCAGCTCAGTGGCTCGGTACAAAGGACCGAGCCACTGAGCTGAACCAGCCCAAACGGGAAAAAAAAAACATTTCACAACTGAAGTTTCCAATGTCACTGTAGCAGCATTTCACCACGTGCACTTCATGACATGCTGTGACGAGTGGTCCTGCCGATATCCTTTTATGTCCCGGTTGTCCCAATTGTCCAGCAGTACCTTTGCTCAAGTTTGAGCTCAAAAGCAAGGCCATGCTGTTGCGTGGCACTGGATCCCAACTCGGAGCTTGCATTACATATCTTCAAGCACTCCAAGTGTCATGAAATGAAGCAGCATTAGGAACCTTTTATTGCCAGTAGCACCGCACAAGGCGGCAGCAGAAGTTTCAAAAATAGGAAACCTATAGAAGATGTTGGTTGTTGTGAATCGCGGATGGCAGAGCGAATCCAGGTGGACTGCAAGGTGGTTGGAGTTGTGTTTTTTGGAATGGTTACACTGGTTGCAGTGGTCACCTGGTCGGCCACCTCACCCACAACTGCTGGATGTAGTGCGGTGTAGTGCAGCTGTAGCTGTAGTTGTAGTGTAGTGGAGTTGTAGCTGTGGTGTAATCTAATTATATAGTGTAGTGCAGTTGCAGTTGCATGCGTGGTGGCACAATAAGTCTAGTGCAATGTAGGGTAGTGTAGTGTAGTGTAGCGTAAAGTAGCGTAGTTGTAGTTGTAGTTGTAGCTGTAGTTGTAGTTGTAGTTAGTCTAGTGACTAGTGTAGTGCAGTGTAGTGTAGGGTAGTGTGGCGTGGTTTGGTTGTGGTGGTGGTGGTGGTGGTGGTGGTGATGGTGGTGGTGGTGGTGGTGATGGTGGTGGTGGTGGTGGTCGTGGTGGTGGGGGGGGTGGGGGTGGGGGGCGGTGCGGTGGTGGCGGTGGCAGTGGTAGTGGTGGAGTCGTCGTCGTCGTCGTCGTCGTCGTCGTAGTAGTAGTAGTAGTAGTAGTAGTAGTGTAGTGGTAGTGGTAGTAGTGGTAGTAGTGGTAGTAGTGGTAGTAGTGGTAGGAGTGAGTAGTAGTAGTAGTAGTAGCAGTAGCAGTAGCAGCAGCAGCAGTAGCAGTAGTAGCAGTAGCAGTAGCAGTAGCAGCAGTAGCAGTAGCAGTAGCAGTAGCAGTAGCAGTAGCAGTAGCAGTAGCAGTAGCAGTAGCAGTAGCAGTAGCAGTAGTAGTAGTAGTAGTAGCAGTAGTAGTAGTAGTAGTTGTTGTTGTTGTTGCTGTTGTTGCTGTTGTTCTTGTTCTTGTTCTTGTTCCCGACAACTTTGTGTGGGGTTCTTGTTTTTGATTCTGTATCCCGGGCTCCTCCTCCTCCTCCTCCTCCTCCTCCTCCCGCCGCCTCCCTTGCACACCGTCACATACCATGACTTAATAACATACAATAATTTCACATACAATAATTTCACATACACTCACACACACAACTTTGTCACATACCATCTCTCACATACAATAACTTCACACACACAAACTTAACATACAATCATTTCACGTACAATACTTTCACACACACACACAAACTTAACATACAATAACTTCACACACACTCACACACACACACAACTTTGTCACATACCATCTCACACACACAAACTTAACATACAATCACGCAAACTTAACATACAATAACTTCACACACACTCACACACACATAACTTTGTCACATACCATCTCTCACATACAATAACTTCACAAGGCGTAGCACTTAGACGCCGCGGCACTTTGCGTGGCAGGCGTGGTACAATCTCACATCCACGGTCGTTTTGCGTGGCAGGCGTGGCACAATCAGACATCCTTGGTGACATCCACCTTCGTTTTGCGTGGCAGGCGTGGGACAATCTCACATCCACGGTCGTTTTGCGTGGCAGGCGCTTCACTCATGGCACTGGGTGGCGCGCTTGGGCCCGGTTTAGTCGCGCGTGACGCCCGTGGCGCCGCGCCACTTCTGCGTGGCAGGCATGGCACTTGGTGACATGGCGCCGCGCCACTTCTGCATGGCAGGCGTGGCACTTGGTGACATCCACCTTGATTTCACGTGGCAGGCGTGGCACAATCGCACATCCACGGTCGTTTTGCGTGGCAGGCGCCTCACTCATGGCACTGGGTGGCGCGCTTGGGCCTGGTTTAGTCGCGCGTGACGCCCGTGGCGCCGCGGCACTTCTGCGTGGCAGGCGTGGCACTTGGTGACATCCACCTTGATTTCACGTGGCAGGCGTGGCACAATCTCACATCCACGGTCGTTTTGTGTGGCAGGCGCTTCACTCATGGCACTGGGTGGCGCCCTTGGGCCCGGCTTAGTCGCGCGTGACGCCCGTGGCGCCGCGCCACTTCTGCGTGGCAGGCGTGGCACTTGGTGACATCCACCTTGATATCACGTGGCAGGTGTGGCACAATCGCACATCCACGGTCGTTTTGCGTGGCAGGCGCCTCACTCATGGCACTGGGTGGCGCCCTTGGGCCCGGTTTAGTCGCGCGTGACGCCCGTGGCGCCGCGGCACTTCTGCGTGGCAGGCGTGGCACTTGGTGACATCCACCTTGATTTCACGTGGCAGGCGTGGCACAATCGCACATCCATGATGCCGCGGGACTTTGCTATATGATCTGCGGCCAGGTACCTTTCCTCTATGTCATCATCGTCGGATTCGTGGCTGTAGGACAGGCGCGGCCGTCACGTAGCACATCTCGTTGCACCGCATGGAGCACAGAAGATCATGGAACACCTCGTTCAGCCCATTCCAGGTCCGCAGTGCTGCCGCATGCACAGCAGCTGACATTGCAGCGCTGGCAAAAAAAAATGGTCTGCACTGTCGCGCACACACATCATCTTTCACACGCAGCATCTTTCACACGCAACTTTGTCACACACATACAACTACATACATACATACATACATACATACATACATACATACATACGTACCCTCATACATACGTACCCTCATACATACATACATACATACATACATACATACATACATACATACATTACATTACATTACATTACATTACATTACATTACATTACATTACATACATACATACAGGCAGACAGACATACATACATACATCCATACATCCATACATACATTACATTACATTACATTACATTACATACCATACCATACCATACCATACCATACCATACCATACCATACCATACATACATACATTACATACATACATACATACATACATACCGTTTTACCTTCTCGATCTTTCACCACCTCCTTTGTCTTTCCTGTCCCCGCTAAAACCATTGAAGCTCATTATTGGCAGAAGTTGACTTGTGGGGTTATCCGGTCCTTTAATTCTTGTTCTTGCTATTTTTCTTGTTGTAGCTGTAGCTGTAGTTGTAGTGTAGTGTAGTGTAGGGTAGGGCAGAGGTGTAGTGTAGTGATGTGTAATGTAGTTAGGGTAGTGTTTTTTAATGAGTGTAGTGTAGTGCAGTGCAGTGCAGTGTAGTGTAGTGTAGTGTAGTGTAGTGTAATGCCGTTGTAGTTGTAGTTGTAGCTGTAGTGTGTAGTGTAGTGTAATCTAGTGTAGTGTAGTGGAGTGTAGTGTAGTGGTGGTTGTAGTTGAAACTGCTACAAACCTTCACGTTTTGCTCACTTTTGGCAAGGTGCAGAATCCCTTGCGCGTGCCAGGCAAAACTACATCTGAACCTCCAAAAGTGGTCCCAGCATGTGGTGCTTTTAACATTTTGACTTTGTAACGTGCTTCGCGCCACAATGGCGTGCACTTTTTCGACATCTCAATGTCAAAAAGTGCTCCGAACCTGGTGTGCTTGGTACATTTTGACTTGGAAATATGCTTCGCGCCACAACGGCGTCCACTTTTCCGACATCTCAACTTCAAAAAGTGCTCCGAACCTGGTGTGCCTGCATCTTCTTTCTTCTCACTCTTTCTCTCCTCCGATCTTCTCTCTTCTTCTCTTCTCCTCTCTGACTCTTCCCACCTCTGCTTTTCCATCTGTCCATATTGTCGGAAGTTTGACTTCTAAACTTCCTCCGATCAACCATTAGCAACCATTAATGACAATTATATAATCATTAATTAATCACAATTATCATCAATTAGCCATCTCGATTTACCAAAACAAGTGGTAGACCCACCATGCCAAAAAAAACACCTTTCACGCCAGCAGTTGAAGCTCGACGCTGATCAGGTAAGGTCATGGCCTCAGGGAATTCACCGATTTTCACGGATTTCCACTGGAACCAATGGGACCGACCCAGACCTTTGGTCGTTCGTAACGTTCATATTCGTATGAAACAACATGAATCCATGGATCCATTCATGTTAAGGAGTTGATGATTTTCACTACCGAAATAGAACGAAGATGAACGAAGGAATGAAAAGGAATGTAATGTTTGAAAAATTGAGGCTGAAGCTGACGTGCCCTGCCATGCCAGAATCGATCTTGCTAAATCTTGTTAACCTTCCTCTGCGTTGTTTCTGTTGAATAGTGCTCATACATTGCTGCATCATACACTTCCGCACTTGGAAATGAATGTTACAGCTCGTGAAATTTCAAACCTCTGACGACCCTAATCCGGAAAAACTACAAAAAACACAAGGAAAGTCAGCAATTTCCTCTCATGTCCTCATCACTGGAAGGCCCCCGGATTCATCATTATTATCCACAATGACAGCCATCACTATTCGCCAAGGTGGCAAATACGCGCTGCGCCACCTCTACCAACACTTTCTCCTCAACAGTCAAGCAAAGCCCGCAATAGCAATCGTCCGAGCAACATCGGAGAAGAATGATGCAGCTCCCTCTTCGCACTAAGGTCACTCAGGCATGGACCTCTTTCTCAAGAGCTTCCCCCTCTTCTCCGCAACTTTTGCAAGTCCAATGGCCATCGCAAAAGCGCACCACGGGGACTGATTCACCTGCAGTTCCAGCGTTGAAAGAAGATGAAAGTGCATGCCAGCATGCCAGAACACGTTGGAAGTTTGCCTTCACAGAGAATTGATTGTTAACTCTGAAGAATCGAGAAGTTTTGCAAAAACGACCTGTTAAATTTCCGTTGATCATCGTCGATCAGTACATGTGCAAATGGGTCAAAATCCGGGTCACCTGCAGCGTTCGTCTGCTCCGAGCCTTCCTCCTAGCTAGGTGGGCTGGGAGGAAATGGGTAAACTGTGTCCATTTCATCGGCCAATTATTTCAGAAGCTCCAACACATTCTCCTCCAACTGTCACGCTTATGAGTGAGTTTAACTTCCCCGACAGTCCTTGCGCCACCGCGTGACCCTGGTCACTTTGTCCAAGTCGTACCAATCAAACTCGCGCATATCGCCTGACTGTGGCTCTCTTGATGTTGCTTCAGCAGTGCATCTACAGTACATCGACTTGTATCTTTTAAAAAAAAGATCGTCTAATCTCCACATTCCTTCGGAGACTTCGGCCCACCTGGACGGTGCAATGCCTTCTTCTGGAAACGACTTTTCAGCCTCGAGAAAGCCATGACATGCCATCTTTCTGACATGCCCTGGGACTCCCTCAGACTCCCTGGGACTCCACACTTGCCAGGCCAAATGTTCGAGAAGTCTGGATCAATGGGTTCAATCAAAGGTCCAAGACCCAAAGCAGAACCATCCACCAGTACCCAACCACTTTTCTTCCTCAGCTGGTGCCGGATTCACTTTGGGAACACAATGACAAACAGTCTTTAATTTGCAGACTTGTCGTGACATGTCCAGAACTCACAGTCCAGGCATCGAATCGGAATCTTCTCCAAACACCCACAGCCCCTCCTTGGTAGTGCGCAACCTGGGTCAGATCCATCCCAGCACCAAGCGCTTTGCCAAAGATTGAAACCCCTTGACCACATCCACGTGCACCAAAGTGGAGGAAAACAAGGAGATGCAATTTGCGAGACCTCCAGTAACTGGAGGTACACCGTTTCCTCCGAGTCACTCTCCCGTGGCATCAAATTCAGTGCCCTCCTTCAACAGTGCCACAGCGCGACCTTTTGTGGCTGGCTCTTTGCGACGCCACACTGCTGGCTGATGCACCACCTCAAAGGTCCGAGAAATGGAATCTGATGTGATATCAGCTATTTACAGTGCATATAATTGTATATAATTGTATATATTATATGTGTGTATATAATGTTAATATGTGTTATATATAATCATTATAGCTATAATGTTGATTAATTTTACTTGTCATCTCTTACGGATCCATACCCAAATCACCTTTGGCCAGTGGATATGGTTCTAATGGTGGGATATACTGGGCTTCCTGAGAACGACCATAATGTTTCATGATGCTGTGTTTCAATCTGGACTAATGGAGGTGAATTCCTTACGTGTACATCACCAAGAAGCTTGTCGGTAGCTCATATGCCTGCAAGATCCTGCAAAATCCTGGAAGTTCTATCTGACTTTATACCTCCAAAGTCCGCTTTGGTATCTGTGGTAAAAGGTCCGCCCAGGGTCACCAGGCCTGCCAACGTCTTGGTATCGGCGCGCAAGAGTTACAAGCACGATCTCGGAGGGGGTCCTGTACGGAAGCATCCTTTTGCAATATCGATAAGAGAGAGGGCAGAGTAAAGAATGCCAAATGCGCGTCGGCGTGTGCCATCCTTCTACAAATGCACATTTTGCGTACATGTTGCGTACATGCTCTCTGTTTGAAAGTGCCATAGATTCGTTTTAAAGTGTTGCAGTTGCATGACTTGTGCTTCCAACCCACCCAAGAGATGTGGGCTCCACCAACAGTTGGGGGGAAAGATACCGCTCACTCCACTAAGGTTCGAGGTTCTGCTGTCCTCTGGGCTTTCACACCGAGGGCATCTGCAAATGAAACCTCAGTGTACTCACCGGATGTGGTGTAAGATTTGCCAAGACATAGCAATACCATGCAATACCACAAATCCAGGACTGAAAATCGTTGTAAATCCATGCCCCATCCCTTCAGCCAGGGAGACATTTGGAGCGCCATAACAACCATTGGCGCTGCAGGGTTGGGAGGAGCAGCTCTTCTCCGAGGTACGAAATTGTAATCTCCTGACACATTGGTTGAAAATTCCAGACATACACTTTGAGCTCTGCTGGACCTAAACCCAGCAATAAATGGTGAAATATGGAATTATGGGATGATTATGGAATGGATTACTATTGAAACATGAACAAATACAGGGCTTCTTAAATTTCGGCAAACACTCCTCACCGGCTGCGATGTCACGGATACTTCGCAAGCCCCAGCGATTCGGCGCCGCGCTGAATACACAGTTCGGGGCACAGCTGTGATTGATCCGGCCTGAGAGCACTGGGCGCTGTCTTCATGACTTGAGTCGGATTTGGAGGGCCCATGGGCCCAAAAAAAATCCCATGTCCTATCTCTGTCTTTGGTGGCTCTGGTGCAAATCCAAGATGCTCATTGTCCAGAATATGCGCCCTCCTGGAAAAATGTTCCTCAGTTTCCAGCTGAAGAAATTGACCCCAAAGCATGGTTTCACTGTGGAATCTTCCTGTGACAGTCGCATCAAACTGTTCATATCGCAGGCCAAGTGTCATTTCTGTTACAAGGACGCCCAATTGCAACAGCTTCACATCAGCATCCTTGGCTACATCTTCGTGATCACATGTTTTTTTCACTCAGCAAGGGTTGAGGCCCTTTGAAATCAATGTTTGTTCAAAACATGCAAATACTCCTGCTTAAGTCATTCAAGACATTCTGCATGTTTGTGTTCAGTGACCTGGTCTATCGGTCTATGCTCTGCTAATTTTAAGTCTGGTCGCCCTGCACTCAGGCAGACGTTCTTTGCAAAGTTCCGCCAATTGTCTGGCCACGTCCACCAGAGCGTGCTCTGAGTCAAGATCTGGATAGCTGAAGTTCATTAAGGCACCTAGGCACCCCGGAATCAGAACCTGAAGTATACTGAAGTCATCGGAAATTCCGGGGATGTTGGTTCCAGTGTTGCGCATCACCCTGCAAACTTAGATGTCACTGAAATTGAGTCTGTGCTAGTGGTTGTTCTTGTGGACGGCGATGGTGGTGGTGGTGGTGATGGTGATAATGATTCATGATGATAATGATGAAGATGATCAGGACAAACATCGCAGTGCCAGTGGGGATAGTAAGTAAGGTGGTGGCAGTTTAACGGTGGTGGCACTTGTGCTTTCGTCGATTCTGGTTGATTCCTTTTGCTGCATAAGAGTATTACTTACAGATTACAACATGCCAACGGTTGACAGAAATGCTGCGGCCATGTCTAGATCAACTCAGCCTTCCCAACTAAGTTCAAAAAATGGCGGCCAGAAATCACTACAACATGATGATTGTTTCTATTGAAACAGCATCGCACATCCTTGCATTGCGCTTTCCTGAGATTTCATGTCCTCTTTATGCTTGGGTCCACCGAATCCATTGGATGAAAATGAAACACATGTCAGCAAATTGCTTGGATCCTCACCTATCAAGGTCTCCGGTAGTAGGGCAAAGCTCAACAAATCCCGGACCAAGGCAGTACTGGCCTTGGGATTGCTGAGAATTGAAATTGGTTTAATTCCAAGTCACAGATACGGCAGATACGTCATGAATTTTTGGACGTTTCGTGGATTTTCATGGCTTTTTATGTGTTTCTTCAACATATGTCATGCTTCTCTCCTCAGAACAAAGAAAACCTCCCCAAGAAGCTCACCAGTAAAGGCTTTTCCGGCATTGCAGCGAAGGCAGAATCTTTGGGCGCTGTCAGCACAGCGCGGATGCCGTTGAAGGCTACCGTCCAGGCCTGGTTCAATTATCCTGTGTGAGTACAGCAGTACAATCGAAGCTTCAAAAACTCTACACGTGCTTGAACGACTCAATATAATATAAGATTATATTAAAACAAAAACAACTAATAATGATACGAGATCCGCACACGTCACGCTCTCAAAGCCAAGAACTGTTGAAATCCCGTAGCTGCAAAACAAATTGGTCATCCGGAGTTGACAAGAAACTCGGTGGCTGAATTGCAGGTTGACCTAGGCTTGCGAAAACAGTATCCCAGCGGAGCACCTCATCCCACTCAGGGCGGCCTTGCAGCTGTTTGGGGGGCATCCGTGTGTAGAAGGGTTCCTCCTGGAAGAGAACAAAGCTCAGCCGAGACATCCGATGGCAGCGTGGGGAACAAGCGCTTCTGCGCAAGGAACTGACTAGATTGGCTTCAGTAGAACATAGTAGAACTATATGGCTTCAGGGAACCACAACTACGTGCATGGAAAATGATAGAAGATGGAAGACCAGCAACGATTATGAAGAAAGCAACCACGGCAACCACAGCAAGCACGGCTTCAGCATTCAACTCCTCCAGCAGCAGCTCTCTTGCAGCAAGGTCATGCGCTGCGAAGGCACATCGTCCTTGACCTTCCACACCAGAAGAACAGCTTCCGCTTGGAAATCTAAACGAAGCAGTTTGGATAAGATCCACGACAGCTGCTCTGCAAAACCACTGAATCCCTTGAGTTTACCATAGTTTACCTGTTCAAAGAGCCACTATTTGGACTATTTGTCTTTGCGGTGATGTTCTTTACCAGCCTACAATGTCCTACAAACATTGCGAAGTTCTGCCTTCAACTGATCGAATCTCCAGTGGCCATTTGGTCACCGTTGGCGATGGCGGTGTGTGGCCACATGAGAAGAAGAAGCAGCTGCTTCGCCCAAATTTACCTCAGCATTGCAACGACTGGGTATGGCTCAAACTTGCAGTACCAAATGGACCCACAAGACTGCAGACTGGCTGTGTTCAAAATTAAAGCATCCGTTCTGGGTGGTACATGATTTTGAGCCATTCTCAACTAGATTTAAATGAATAAATGTTCCATGTGGTGTATGGTGGATTCAAGCCTGAGAGATTGCACCCTTGACTGGGAAGACTACGGTTCGCCATCCCTGCTTTTGTGGAAAGCGTCTCTATCCCTTCCTGCTGTCCTGGTTGTTTGGACAATTCCATGTCAGCCTTGGTGCGAACCACAAAGCGGACAGTGCAATGTAGGCCCTCACCTGAAAGCAAAATGCATGGGTCGCATGGCATGTCATGGGCAACATGACAACCTCCGGGGTCGTGCATTACTTTCCAACAAAGATTCTGGAACCATCTGGAACCCATGCATTTGGGTCCGGTTTCAACAAGTCTCAACACATTAACAGTTCAAGGCCACTCGCGGCCAACACAACATGTCACCCACGCCCTTGTCACAGCCTGTCACCATCGGCAGGACAACCTCTTCGCCCGGGCTCTGAATCTTCTCCAGCGCTTCCAAACAGCGCTCCACCCAACCCTCTGCCAGCAGATCTGTCCAGACCTGCAAGCGAATCCCCCAAAAAAATATGGTGATGAATTTCATGTGTTCCAATGTTTTCCAATGTTTTCCAATGTTTTTGAATGTTTTGCAATGTGTTCCAATGTGTTCCAATGTGTTCCAATGTCCTCCAATGTGTTCCGATGTCCTCCAATGTCCTCCAATGTGTTCCAATCTGTTCCAATGTGTTCCAATGTTCCAAAACTCTTCAATTCGGAATGCGGACACTCCTTTGTGCTTCAAGTTGGATCTCAAGCTGAAAAAGGAGCATCGTTGGGTAGGTAGCCTATTGTGCTTGTATCCGATGTGCAAAATCATTTTGCTTTCTTTGACGGCTACCAGCTGTCCAACTTATATTACAAAAAGTATTACAATATCCTCCGCCTTGTCAACCACATCTTCGCTCTTGTGTCCCAAGACCTTCCACAAGAATTTTGACTTCACTATCCAAAGAAAGCCTTCTGGAACCTCTCCGTGAGGGTTTCGGGATTTGGAGCAAGCAGCAGAATTTCTGCGAAGCCGAGTGAAGCTGGGTTGTGGCACAAGTCTGAGTTTCTACAGTTCCGCGTGCCTCCTCTGCCTTCTTGTTCCATGTGGTGATGATCCCCTTGTCCTAGGGGGAGCGGCCGGCCGCACTGCAAGATGGCAGGATATTGATGGATATGGCATATGCGGCATATGCGGCATATGCGGCATATCCTATAGCATCTATAGCATTTCTGGTCCTTGTAGGAGAAGGACAATTGGGTCCAGGTTCTCCTTGGCGGGATGTCCCGGTCTTTGAGGACAAGGATTCCAGATGACAAGCATTGACAATTTGACAGTAATGATAATCATGATACTTATATGAATAATGCGGATAATTATCTGGATAAAATGACAAAAAATCACTAAACTCTTCACCAAGGCCATGAATATCATGAATTCGTATAGTTACCCATCTTAACGATCATTCCGGGGACGTCAGTGAGGTCGCGGCAAATTATCCATAATGATAATGGTTGTTGGTATGGTTGTCACTGCCGCAAACTTTGTGAGTATCTTCGTGCCAAGCAACTCCACGGTTCCTTTGTCCACCGGCATGTTGCCATTCCGACCGAGACATCACAAGGCATTGTGTGCTGCTTGAAGCTGTCTGTTTACAGCAGTCCAATCGCCCAAGGTAAAAGAGTCCCTTTCTGCTGTGCCAATACTTGTGAGACAACATGCGTCTAGGCTGACTCACCTTTTGATTCACCTTCACATTGCATGATTCCGATGATTCCTGATATGATTTGAGCCATCAGCTTTGGCTGTTTCAACAGCATTCCAAACCCAACAAACCAAACCCTCTCGAACTCGTCCAGATCGCCACCAGTGATCTTGAAACACTGCATAGGAACAAATAACAAATAAATCAGCGACCTTTTGAACTTTTGCTGCCTGAGCACAGTCATATTGAAGGTCAAGTTAAATCATGACATGAATCTTTACTTGTCACTCACATTTCTTTGAATGCGGTTGGGTGGCTGAAGCTTCTTGAGCCTGTCTTTCTCATGCCAACTATCTGCAAACTAAAACTCAGATAAGGTGACGTTTGTGAGAAGTGTCACCCATGGAGTGAACAAGTGCATGGGCTGCTCAGATCTTGCCCTGGTTTTCACATCCCAAACATTGTACTGGCAACCTGCCTGGCAAGAAACATAGCTTCAAAGTCGCGCTCAGCCAAATGTCAAGGCAGAACATCTGCGAGACAACTGGAGATGAGACAGTGATGGCCTTTCGACACTGGTGAGCTGCCCCTTGACTCCCCTTGGCCATGGCAAATCTAACTGGCGCCTTGTTCACCAATCGGAGATCTGAACAAATGGTGTCATGAGCACATGAGCTGAAGGTGATGGTATCGGTGTCATATTGAACTCCAGGACCGCGAAACAACGTGGCGGACAGTGGGAAATGACCTGGTGCTCAAGGGCGGAAAGCAGGAAGACAAGAGAAACACAGGCGGTTCCGTGCAAAAACTGTCTACTCATATGCTATCAAAAACTCGTGTACATTAGAAGTGTCATTTTTCAGGAGCAAATACACGTGTCCCAGTCCCTTTAGACTCTAAAAATGTATGTGTATTTTATTTACATATATATATATATTAGTTTTATATACATATATACATGTATACATACATATATATATACATATATGCATATATATATATATATATGTATACATGTTTATATATATATATATATCACTAATATACCGTATGTATATATGTCATTATATGTCCAGTATGTATATATATGTATGTATGTATGTATGTATGTATGTATGTATGTATGTATGTATGTATGTATGTATGTATGTATGTATGTATGTATGTATGTATGTTATGTATGTAATGTATGCAATGTATGCAATGTATGCAATGTATGCAATGTATGTAATGTATGTAATGTATGTAATGTATGTAATGTATGTAGTGTATGTAATGTATGTAGTGTATGTAGTGTATGTAATGTATGTAATGTATGTAATGTATGTAATGTAAGTATGTAATGTATGTATGTATGTATGTAATGTAATGTAATGTAATGTAATGTAATGTAATGTATGTATGTATGCATGTATGTATGTATGTATGCATGTATGTATGTATGTAATGTATGTAATGTATGTAATGTATGTAATGTATGTAGTGTATGTAATGTATGTAGTGTATGTAATGTATGTAATGTATGTAATGTATGTAATGTATGTAATGTATGTATGTATGTATGCACGTACGTATGTATGTATGTATGTATGTAGGTATGTAGGTATGTAGGTATGTAGGTATGTAGGTATGTAGGTATGTAGGTATGTATGGACTTATGGATGCATGCATGGATGGATGGATGAATGTATGTATGCATGTATGTACGTACAATATATACATATACAATATGTATACATATGTATACATTCATACATATCAATATATTCACATTCAGCTGCTGGATGGTTGGCCGGTCAATCAAAGTGAACGAGCGAATCTGGGAAGTTAGGGCGCGCAAAGGACCGTTCACACGACTTGTACAGCATGTCTAAGGTGAGAACCACAAGTTGATATAGTCATCACAGCACTTCCAGAGTTCACAGATGCGTTCACATCACAGTGCGCTGTATCGACGAGGAAACGGATCCACATGGCAAAGCGTAGTCGGGCACTGGAATCAACACAATCCTAAAGGCGCTGGGAAGAAAAAAGGGGCATCTAGCCATCTAGCCAAATTATGATTTCAAATCTACAGGTACCAGGAACGGATTCTTACAATGATCATGTATTTCAAGCTTAGGTTCCTACCACATGGAACGGCAAACTCTTTCGGACTGCAAACTAAACGTTTGGCTTGAAGCCTTGGCCTGACATGTACTTCCAAGCTTCTCGGATGCTGTTGAAGATGTCGCGAATAGAATCTCCGACTGTGTCAATATTGAAATTGTCGTGTAGACCTGTTAGAGTCACCTCAGAAGTGCATTAAGCCCGTAGCTTGCAGCATGTGGCCTATCTGACCTCCCAACAAAACTGTCATTGCGGAGGGGAAAAAGGGCAAGTTGATTACGCATGATTACGCATGATTACGCATCATCTCGTTCCACACAAAATCTCAGTACAAGGCTGTCATACAAGTCCTGTTTCTGACCAACGCACCAGACAAAGTCGTCTGGTCGATTGTCAGACTATCTTTCAGGGGAACAGAAGCACGGCCCAAACATGGTCAAACTATTTAGCTTCTGTTCAGACTTGATTTTCGTCTGTAATGACCTGGCATGTGCATCGCTGTGTTCTTGTATGTTTACCATATTTACCAAGGAACTGTCTTTTCCAAATGAAAGTCGAAGCTGGTGCCTGAATGGATAGCACAACGCTCTGAACTGAGAGTTTTTGCAAACAAATTGTGCGGGAATGTCGCAAGTGGTTTTATGAACAATGTTGTGGTACAAAGTCAAAGTCCCGTGCACAAAATCATTCGATGGATTCTCATGGTTTGACGTTTTCAATCCTGCTGACCTGTCCTGCGCAGAGTTTGTCTCTGTCTTAAGGATTTGACATGGAGCTGCGACCAAGTGGCGATAAGAAGTCTTTCGTTGGAGCACATGAAGTGCTTCGTCAGTACATCCCTGTGACGGAGAAAAGAAAAATTGCGCAACGCGCCAACAACCAAAGATTTTCAGAATATTTCATATGTATCTGATACCTGGTCTGGTACCGTTTGCTTTGGAAAATAACTCCTGCATGTCAAGAAAGTTTCTATGGGTGATCTTCTTACAAAAAAAACTCAAGATCAATCCAGTTCTTATTGAAATTACTTAACTACTTCTACAATCATGCGCAACATTCTGAAAGCTGATTCCTCTGAAGCATGCCTCATCTACGCACGCCCCAAGGATCATCATTCCCATGCACAGAGTGCGAAAAAAACAGGTTTTCGGCATCTTGGGCGGCATGGCACCCAGCAGTCACTTGCTGCTGCAGTTCATTGCTGTGCTCTCTGAATAAGATGCAGCAAGCGGTTTGAACGAAAAGAATTGAATTGATGTGTATATGTAGTAATATATATATAACAAACTTGCAAAGAAATTCTCTATATATATATATGTATTTATACGTATATGTGTTATACCAGTAGTACCGCACAAGGCAGTGGCGGAAGTTTCAAAGATAGGAAACCGATAGGAGAGGTGAGTTCTTGTGATGCATGGATGGCAGGGCGAATCCACTGATGGACCGACAGGTGGTTGGAGTTGTGTTTTTGGAATGGCTGCAATGGTTGCAGTGGTCACCTTACCACAACTGCTGGATATAGTGTGGTGTAGCGCATTTGTAGTTGTAGTTGCAGTTGTAGCTGTAGTTGTAGTGTGGTGTAGTGGAGTGGAGTCGTAGTTGTAGTGTAGTGTAATTAGTGTAGTTGCAAGCGCAGTTGCAGTTGTAGCCGTGGTGTGGTGTAATTAGCGTAGTGTAGTGCAGTGTAGTGTCGTGTAGTGTTGTGTAGTGTAGTGTGATATAGTGTAGTGTAGTCTAGTGTAGTGTAGTGTAGCTTAGTGTAGTTGTAGTTGTAGTGCGGTGCAGTGTAGTTAGCGTAGCGTGCTGTAGTGTAGTGTAGTGTGGTGTAGTGTAGTGTAGTGTAATGTAGTGGTAGTTGCAGTTGGAGTTGTAGCTGTAGTTGTAGTTGTGGTGTAATGCAATGTAAACAGCGTAGCGTAATGTTGTGTAATGTAGTGTGGTTGTAGTTGTAGTTGTATTTGTAGTTGCAGCGTACTGCAGTGTAATTAGTGCAGTGTACTGTAGTTGTAATTTCCGAAGGAAGTTTAGAAGTAGAACTTCCGACAATATGGACAGATAAATAGCAGAGATGGGAAGAGTCAGAAAAGAGAAGAAAAGAAAAAAGAAGATGAAAAAAGAGACAGTCTCAGAAGAAAGAAGATCCAGGCGCGCGAAAAGGTAGGAAAGTCGCGAAACACTCTGTTTTTTTCCAATGATTTGTGGCTTCGGAGGGTCGAAAAGTAGGATCCAAAAGTAGGCTCGCTAAAGCGGCAGGTGCGGAGCCATGTGGTCAAATGAGAGATAAAAAGTTGCACGCCGTTGTGGCGCGAAGCACACGTCCAAGTCAAAATGTACAAAACAAACCATGTTTGGACCACTTTTGGATGTTGTGATGTCGAAAAAGTGCACGCCGTTGTGGCGCGAAGCACATTTCCAAGTCAAAATGTAAAAAACACCGCAGTGTCGGACCACTTTTGGAAGTTGAGCTGTCGAAAAAGTGCACGCCATTGTGGCGCGAAGCACCTTTGGAAGCCAAAAGTGTTGAAAACTGACGGGCCCGGACCACTTTTGGAAGTTGAGATGTCGAAAAAGTGCACGCTGTTGTGGCGCGAAGCACATTTCGAAGTAAAAATGTTAAGCACACCACATGTTCGGACCACTTTTGGACGTTCAGATGTCGTTTCGCGCGGCAGGCGCAAGGGATTCTGCACCTGTCAAAAATGAGCAAAACGTGAAGGTTTTCTAGCATGTCCAAAACGATGGCAGGCGTGGGACATTTGAAGAGGATCTGGAAAGATGCATTTTCCGTGGCAGGCACGGTACAAGAGACATGCTCATCAGAGGGCGCTGATTTCCTGACAGAGGTTGCATTTTGGAGCATCAGATCTTCAGTTTCGGGAAGATGATTTTGTGTGACAGGTGCAGCACTTCGCATGACTTGGCATCACTTTTTCGTGGCAGGCGCAATACTTTAGACAGATGGAGTGGAAAAATCGCAAAACTCATTGGTACGAGGCCGTCAGCCCTGCATTCAACTTTCCATTCTTGAGGGATGTCTCGCAAAATTCTTTTGCTTTTGGCGTTGTCAAGTCTCGCAGAATAGCTTCGTTTTCAAGCTTGCAGATAGACAGATAGATAGGTAGACAACTACAACTACAAGTACCACTACACTACACTACACTACACTACACTACACTACACTACTACTACTACAACAACAAATACAAATATACTACTCTACATTACACAACACTAATTACACTACACTACACTTATTACATGAATAAAACAATACACGATGCTAATTACACTACAACTACTACAACAGCTACTCCTACTACTCCTACTACTACTACTAGTACTAGTACTAGTACTAGTACTACTACTACTACTCCTCCTCCTCCTACTACTACTACTACTCCTACTACTACTACTACTACGACGACGACGACGACCACCACCACCACCACCACCACAGCTACAACTACAATTACAGCTACACTACATTGCACTACAACGCACTAATTAAACTGCAGTACACTACAGCTACAAATACAAATACAACTAGAACTACACTACATTACACAACACTACACGACACTACATTACACAACACTACACTACACTAATTACATTACATCACAGTACAACTGCGCCTACCACTACATTGCACTACACGACACTACACTACAACTGCAACTACACTACTTTACACTACAATACACTAGATAGACCACACTACACTATACCACGCTACAGTACACAAGATTACAGTACACTACAATACACTACGCTAATTACACCACACCACAACTACAACTGCAACTGCAATTACACTATACTAATTACACTACATGACAACTACAACTTACAACTACAACTCCACGACACTACAACTACACCTACAACTACAACTACAACTGCACTACACCACACTACATCCAGCAGTTGCGGTGAGGTGACAACTGCAACCATTGCAACCACTCCAGGAAATACAGCTCCAACCACCTTTCGGTCCATCAGTGGATTCGCTCTGCCATCCGTGGGTCACAACAACCAAGCCTTCCTATAGGTTTCCTGTTGTTGAAACTTCCGCCACCGCCTTGTGCGGTACTACTGGTAGTTGTTGTTGTGGTAGTAGTTGTGGTCGTAGTTGTAGTGTAATTGGCGTAGTGTAGTGTAATTAGATTTGGTTAGTGTAGTGTAGGGTAATAATAGTAGTGTAATGTAGCGCAGTATATTTGCATTTGTTGTTGTTGTTGTAGTGTAGTCTAGTGTAGTGTTAGTTGTACTGGTAGTTGTAATTGTCTATCTATCTATCTGTCTGTCTGTCTGTCTGTCTATCTGTAAGCTTGAAAACGAAGCAATTCTGCGCGACTTCCTCAATTTTAGACCTTAGCAACGTCAAAAACGCGGCAATTCTGCGAGACTTCCTCTTTTTTTGAAGTTGACAACGCCAAAAGCAAAAGAATTTTGCGAGACATCCCTCAAGAATGGAAAGTTGAATGCAGGGCTGACGGCCTCGTACCAATGCGTTTTGCAATTTTTCCACTCCATCTGTCTAAAGTACTGCGCCTGCCACGAAAAAGTAATGCCAAGTCATACAAAGTGCTGCACCTGTCACGCAAAATCAGCTTCGCAAACCTGAAGATATGATGCTCCAAAATGCAACCTCTCTCAGGAAATCAGCGCCCGGACTTCCCAACATCTCTGATGAACATGTCTCTTGTACCGCGCCTGCCACGGAAAATGCATCTTTCCAGATCCTCTTCAAATGTCCCACGCCTGCCATCGTTTTGGACATGCTAGAAAACCTTCACGTTTTGCTCATTTTTGACAGGTGCAGAATCCCTTGCGCCTGCCGCGCGAAACGACATCTGAACGTCCAAAAGTGGTCCGAACATGTGGTGCGCTTAACATTTTTACTTCGAAATGTGCTTCGCGCCACAACAGCGTGCACTTTTTCGACATCTCAACTTCCAAAAGTGGTCCGGGCCCGTCAGTTTTCAACACTTTTGGCTCCCAAATGTGCTTTGCGCCACAACGGCGTGCACCTTTTTCGACATCTCAACTTCCAAAAGTGGTCCAACGTTGGTGTGCTTTGTACGTTTTGACTTCAAAATGTGCTTCGCGAACGGGGTGCTTTTTTTCCATCTCTCTTCTGGCCAGATGGCTCCGCACCCGTCGCTTTAGCGAGCCTACTTTTCGACCCTCGGAGCCACAAAACATTGGAAAAACACAGTGTTTCGCGACTTTTCTACCTTTTCGCGCGCCTGCATCTTCTTTCCTCTGACTCTTTCTCTTTTCTGATCTTCTTTCTTCTTCTCTTCTCTTCTCTGTCCGTATTGTCGGAAGTTTGACTTCAAAACTTCCTTCGATAAATAAATAACAAAAATTGAAAGTGCATTGAATGCACTGGTCCTTGTTGTTTGCTGCTCTTTGCCTCGGTTTCCAACCTGTTTCTGGCGTTCGGTTTCCTTGTCTCTTCTTGGCACTACCTTCCAGCACTTGACCCCTGAAAAATCCACTGACTGCCAAAAGAATCAAGCAGATATTGGAGCTAGCAATCGATATATTGAGTCTTCTCGACCAGTTCACAGCAAGGTATGATGTTGTGTGATTGAATAGTTGGTCAGAGTTGCCTAATTCCCCCCACCCGGAGAATTAGAAAGTAGTTCACACTGTGCGTCCGAGAATTGTCCTCTGATTACTCTGCATCCTTTCGCTCAACAGCTTTTTCGCGGGGTCTTGTTCGGAGCATCCAGCTTTTGAACCCAAATGTCTCCATCAGCCCACATGATTGCTGCAGGCGATAGAGTGACCGTGGCATAGCGGATCTCATTTTCGATTTTCACCTCCAGGAGTCCCGACTGGCCTGGCACTGCACTGGCATGTTTATGACGCGATGAGATACGATGATATGCCCTAATGATTTACAAGCACAAGCCTGTTTGAGCTCAGGTTGCGATGTGTCCTATATATTCGTTCAAACAACAATTTGCAAGCGATTTCCACGTTTCCCATCTCAAGATCAAAGGTAAGCGTGAATGCAGACTATTGCATCATCGTGGTCGAATCGGGATTAATCGCGGCAGCTGCACTGAATAAATGTCATACTGTTTGGAAAATTCCCATCCGAGTGAGTGCATATTTCAGATACGGAGCACATTCTAACCTTCTGCCTTGCATGCAAACACAAATACGGAAGGAGAAATTCAGAAGCAATGCATGGGTTACAAAAATCCAGCTTGCCCAAACTCCAAAAAGCCTCCACCCGCCAGACGCTAACATCAACCGAAATTGCATTTTGGGTTTTGAGCATTTTACCTTAAATTCACCTTTGCCTTCAGAGAGCTGTGACGCAACATCCTCAGTCGGAAAGCAAACCAAGCACCAAAAAAACAAAAAATTCTGGCCCAGGATTCGGGGTCTCTAAAGTTTGAAAAACCAAACCAAAGCCGAGTACATCGGGTGCCGTATCTACCACCTCGAATCCCTTGGATCTTTGCAGCCAAGGCTCGCGTAAGCCCCACTGGGGGTTCCAGAACAAGTAGCCTCCATTGATCTCACCTGCGGGAGTGAATCATTCCTAGGCATCCAGCATAAAGGTAACCTGCAGCTATGCAGCCGGCTTTGACTCCACCAGCTGCACATATCGGCATGAAAGTGTTGGTGAAAGTTTTTCTGAAAAGTATAGCAAAATCCGCCCGCGCTAAAGGTGCCAAGGCGTGGTAGTTTAGCAGCGAGTGGTACGAATGGACCGATCTGTCAGCTTCAGCTGGGCATTTTCAGGATCGACCCGGCGCCAAAAAAGAAGGTTCTCACTGCCGTAATTTTCACATGTTGCATATCGGCCCAACATTGCCCGAATGCACCGTTTCGATCCGGCATGGCCGCAACATCGGCAGCACTTGGGGTCAACTTCGGCCACGGCTTCGGCCCAGCTTGGACCCACTTGGCTCCAACTTCGGCCCAAGTTGGCTCCAAGATGGCACAACTTGGGGACCCATTTGGGAGCAACTTTGGCCCAAGTTGAACTTGATATGGCTTCACAGTGGGGGACATAGCCGGCCCAATCCGAAATCCTCAAAACGTTTTCACTGAAACGAAGCAATGCTTCCCATGTTGTGTCTCCGTTGGGCCCAACTTGGTGCGAAGCTGTTGCCACAGGGTCCCAAGTTGCGCCACTTTGGGCTTCCATGCGCATCACATGGCTTCAATTTGCGGTCCACCTGCATCACTTTGGGCCCAACTTCGACCCAACATGACCAATTGGCGCCAACTTCGGCCCAGTTGGGTTCAAGATAACGGAACTTTGGGCCAAGTTGGGCCCCTTTGCGACAGCTGGGCCCAATGCGGCCAATTTTGCAGACTCAATCCGCCAAACTGAAAACTTGCACGCTTACCGTTATTTCCACTTTTTTTGGTTTGGGGGGTTTGTGCAAAGCCATGTTGCCCACATTGGGCCTGTCGTTGCGCATGCTGAGCCCAACTTGCGTCCAAACGTGCCCAAGCTGCACCATGTTTGGGGTCAAGTTGGGCCCAAGTTGGAGCCAACTGGCCCGAGTTCGGCGCAAGTTACACCCAAGTTGGGCCCAAGTAGGCTCCCGTTCGCCCCAACTTTAGGCCAAGAACGGCCAAGTTTGACCCCAGTCGGCTTTTGGTTAGGCCAAGTAGGCCCGCTTCTTTCCTCTCTGTCCTATTCCCTGGGTGTGGGCAGTTGTCGTCGCGAAGCGACTCGAATATCGAAGTCCAGTTGTGACGGTGAACTTCTTGGCGGGCGCCCCAGCTCCCGGCCTACATGTTTGGCATCGCCTTGACGATACCAATTGCCCTGCAAATGTTCCACCATGTGCTTGCCATCTAGCGGGATCGAAACAAAGGCTACATCCTGCAGACAGATTTCAGAACTCAGAGTGACACAAGGCGGCAACAGGCGGCAACAGGCGGCAACAGGCGGCAACAGGCGGCAACAGGCGGCTGCAGGCGGCTGCAGGCGGCTGGCTGTCCTTCTTGAGACCTTTCATTGCAGCTTGACCATCTTCGTCTTCAGTGGCACAACAATGAGCTGCCAAAGTTGCTCCCATGGCTTTCGGCAAAGGGTTGGAACTAATTGCTCAATGTGTGAAACGGTTCAACGAGCGGAACAAGGAAACGCCAAAGAAACCACGCAATAGATTCAGCAGCAATGGCAGCCCAAAACAAGATACCGTAACCCACTCAAACCTGATGGCAAATTGCATTGCTTGAAATTGGACTTGTACTCCATGTCTTGTGGGCATGCCTTACCTGAACCATCGCAATGTGCAGAGCAGACAAAGCATGATCCAAGTCTCTCACTCGGCACTGAACATGCCATGCATGAGAGGACCACCCACCCGTCCACCGGGATGGACCGCAAGACCCGGATTATGCCAGATAATGCTCGCTTTCTGGTCGCCCTCTTGTGTCGAGCCAGATGCTTTGGGCTCGACCAGGAACCAAACGCTACCTGTGGCTACTAAAGAGACTACAAGTGTCCCATGTCTTCAAATGTAGGTACCAGCAGGCAAGACCTCAACCTCATCCAAGCAGAGCCTGAGATTCCAAGATCAGTAGCATCAAACAACGCGAAAAGTGTATGAAGCCACTCCAATCTCAAAATGATTTCACCATGCGAGAATTGAAATCCTCAAGCAACGTATATTTCTTTTGTGTGTTGGATGGCGGTAACGTTTATTGATGTACCTTAAAGAACGTCCTCAGACCAGGAAAGGTCTCCAGAGGTTACACTTCTCTCAGGATGAGAATCTGCTGAACCTTTTCAACATGTCTTGCGGAGTCACAAATTAGGTTTCTTTGGAAGACCAAAGACTATGGAAGCTGGTCCGATCAGCGCAAGAGAAGTCTTGCGGCGAGGCTCCAATCAGCCTCCGGATCGTTCCACCTCTGCCCCACATCTGGCGAGGACATCAATCGTGCCTCAGGCGATCTCAAGCACAGATTCAGAGAGGTGCGATGGGCGATGGCCAGGACTCCACAATTTTGACTCTGTTCGAAAATTGGCCAATAAGCCAGTGAAATCCAGTGAAATCCAGTGATTCAATACAATACATTATATATGTCACATATGTCTTTACTGTGTACGAGCCAGGTTTCAATTCGCAGCTCGTGCATCATGGAATCAGACATGCCATCTGATGCTGAGGTTGCTAAGTCCCTTCAAGAGTTTCCATCGCACCTCGTTGATAGAGCCCCTTATCAGCCTCCTCTTCATAGGATCGCCTTGAAAAGGTGGAGCAGGCAATCCCAGAGTCACATGCCAGGGGATTGAGTCCACTGAATCTTTAATTTAACGTATCATAGCAGCGTTATTTCTTGTTCGCTGGATATCGTCGTCTAGCAAAAGCTCTTGGACCCTAGGTGTGATATGTCCGAGCAATCCCACTCACCTGCCTCTACGCTGAATGGTATAGCTCACGTGGGCGTCGAAGCAGGGACCGCCCGTCCAGCTGGAATTCTGAACATTCGGAATAGCGTAGCGTACGCAATTGCCTGACCTGGAGTGCCAAGTTTCAACTTTCACAAGTAGATGGTTGTGCAGCAAATGCGCAATTGAATTCTGATCAAAGTGCGAATCATTTTCAAACTACCGCACTTTTCCTATGGTATGGCAAGCCAAAGCTAGGCTAAGCCTCTCTGAAAAGCCTAAAACTGCATCACAAATCAATTCTCTCGAAGTGTAAACAGGTTCATGTCTACTTAGTCCTACAACAAGTGCCAACTGTTGCTCAGGCCTTGCTTCATCGCGCGCATGAATGGCCAAATCCACATACTCAAAGGCTTGCTGCAAGGCTGACGCGTTGCAAGCGTTGGAGATGCTGCAAATCCGAGGATTCAGCAGTTCTGCGAAGTTGGAGGTGAAAGCTCCATTGCCAAAGTCAGGGTGGATCAAATACTGCACCTGCACAAGCAGAAAGCGTTTGCTAAATACCCTGTACCCAGACGCTCGCGCAAAGGTGGAGGCGGCATAAAACAAGCCAGACTGACATGCAAGCTCAAGGCTAACTTTTGACATTTCACACAGCGGCACGCCATAGGCTATAGATGAGAAGAGAAAACCTTGATCGTAGGAAACAAGGGCGTATTCAAGGGAAGGACCAGGGCATAGCATGAAACATCATGAAACACCTGCTAGGGCATGGAGTCCATCGCCTCTGCTTGGTAAAGCTGCGCCAGAACAAAGCGCGAGAGCCAGAAGACATTTCGACAGCTTTCCATTTTCGGCGCTTCTGCGAATTGCAGGTACCCAAACACGTCCGGGTTGTGCATATACCTTTGCTTGGCGTGTTTTGTAAAAACATTGTTTTATTGCACATTGCACGACAAGTGCAGCAAAAGCAATGCGGCAAAACTCTGGGATACCACCCCAGCCATTGCTGAGCTTGGGGGTTGTCTCATACTCTGATTCTGCTTGAGGACGGGGTCTATTTCTTTCAGTCCACACAAACTGGCGCAAGAATGAGGTTGGCCGAGTCAGAGTACGTTTAGCATACAGCCATAGCTTACCTCTGTTGCGATTGACAGCATCTTTTTTTGGAGCTCTTTACCGACTCTGTCAGGCCGCTGATGGCCACCAAGATTTTGCGATGCAGCCTCGTAGTAGCAGGTTGGAGCCGCATTGTTAGCATCCAAAAGAAACCTCATTGGACCGCTGTGGCGAGGGTATCCTGATATCATCTGATATCCATCAAATTCCATGAGCAAAGATAAAGCAAAGAAAATAAGAAAATAATGTCTTCTACTCTAAAGACTTGGACAACACCTGGCCATCATCCGAGGCAGACTCCAGAAGACCAAGCAGCTGAGAAAATCCATACCGCTCCTTGTCAGCCTGGATCTCCCCTTCACACCGCTGCTTAATCAGCCTTAGACAGCAAGAGCTGCCATGCAATGTGTTGGATTCCGAACAGGAAATCAAGCAGCTAGCAACGCATTGCAAAGAGCTAGTAAGCTACCATAGACGTGAAATATGATTGGCTTGGAGGTCCTTCTTGCATATTGCCGCATTCTGCAATGCCATCCTGTCTGCATCTGGAATCCAGGTAAGAAAAAGTAACAAATGTTATCAAATGCTTGAGCTTTCTGGTTATTGACTATGAACACAGGCCAAAGATCTGAACAGGGAAACCCTCAAGCAACAGGGGCGCTATCAGGACAGAACCCGAAATCGATCTAAATCTCAGAATCCAAGCAACTCTGGCCGCTTTGTATCTGCCGCAGTCAGCTTGCTCCACCACGGGGCATGAAGTGCATTGGCAAAACTTAGCTATTCGTCACTGGATGGCCAATAGGATTTGCTTTGAGTGTCAACGAGCTGGGTCCAGTTCCAATGGTAGTTTGTTCATCCTCACAACTGCAACCACTTCAAAGCAAGAAACAAGTGACTCACACCATCCCTAGACTGAATCCAAGGGTCTCTTAATAAAACACTCTATCATTGATATTCATTGATCATCTGATGATCATCTCAAGGGGTTTTTTTTCGGGTCCACCTATCTCCGTCTAGCAACGTGGCCCACCAAAATCGCTGCCCGCTGGCTGGGTGAAGTTTCGCCTCCACGGCGACGAAAAGTCACAGCTGTTCACCCCCAATTGACATTGAAAAGTGAGCTGACCCGGTACTTCTGAGCTAGTTCTGCGCTAGGACCCTTGCTACAGGAACTTCTGGCAGGCGCTGCTCCACAGGTTGGTTCAGCAGTCCACCATGCCCTTCACCTGGCTTGACATGGACAAGTCATGGATGCGACTCGCCACCAATCCACGTCGACTGCTCACCGATCACAATCAGTTTGCCAATGTGGAAAGCCAAGTAGCTGGACATGATTGGAAAGCGAATCTCCAAGATCCACATCTCCGAGGTGTTGCTCCTTGGAGCGGCAATGGGCCATGCGATTGCAAGTTTTCCACAGGTCCACTCGGAATGAAAAATGCGTACTTCTAGTCGGTACGAAATGATATTTTAAAATGATAAGATGCATGGAAATGTATAAATCATTATAAATCAACATGCACCATTGATTGCAAGTGCGCTTCACTCCAGTCACTTCATCGGAACCAAAGAGAGATACCTTTGCCAAAGGACGTCGCTGAGAGCATCCCATTCCCAGGTCGCAAGCTGGGCGCAAACATCTCCATGGTCCAACCTTCGCCTGCAACGGCATATTGCCACGTAGCATCTCTGAGCTCTTAATAGGTTCAAGGCTTCCATGAAGCTCAATGCATTTCCCAACACCACGAATGAGTCGGTTCTCGAATCCATTTGCTTCAATACTGCCGTTGGGTTGTCCTTCTCTTTCTACATCGTGATCGCAAAGGCTCTTTCCTGTGGCCAGCACAAAAACGAGTGCACCAATCTATCCCTCGCATCCATTCAACACAAGAATCAAGAGTTTAGCTTCAGGATATTGAGAGGGACCGAGGAGTGACAAACAGAGACGAGGTGCACGTGAGTACGGTCCAGCAATCATGTTTTTAGAGAATCATTGACAGATCATGCTTCGTACAATAGCCGCTAGAGCCGCTAGAGGCATTGAATTTCACCTCCCTCCCAAGCAAAATATATCATTATCGAAATATACCCTTCAGCTATGTGCACAGTGAACAGTTGTGAACCATTTCAAAGCTGCAAATGCGGTTTGCAATGCCCAGCTGTGCACCACCTGGCCTCCGTTCCAAGTGGTGTTGCAACATACTCCTTGCAATCCACTGCCAGGTCTACCACATTCTGGTGCAACAGAGCCTAATCCAGCTTGTGGTTGTGACCAAAGAGTGGCGTAGCTGGCATTCCTGCTCAAAGACGGACTGCAGTGTGAAAAAGCAAACAAAAAAGAAACAGATGCAGCCAAGATTATCCAAGTACAGTACATCCAGAAACTAGAGAAACCAAGAATCCTTCATGTGTGTTGATTTTGCTTACCGTTTGAGCGCCACCAAACACTCCGATGATCAGCCTTGCTGCTCTTGTTTTCTATCAAGGCCTGCGCCTTCGTTTCAAAACCACCTCTGAGCACAGTAGCGCAGTACCGCACCGCTGTTGTTTTCTAACAGGTGCGCTTTGACACATCCCGGACCCCATATGTAATAATTACGAACTAAGCTTTAAGAGTTCAGAGCCTTCTATGAAGCGTCGCCAACAGTTTGAGGACGTGTTTGGCTCCTCGCATTCATCTCAAATTCAACGTAGAAGTAGTTGCTTTGAGACGCATCGATGAACACCTCGAAGTCATCATCAAAGTATGGCCTAGGCCGGCTCCCGCATCTGTTGCAGAATGGAGGACCAAGCATCTTACACAAGCAAAGAGAGTAGAGAGGTGTAATAGTGTAGAGTATGTATCTATATGTTGTAATTGTCCTATGTATATATATATAATTATATATAATATAACTAGAACTATAATTTATAATGTGCATCTATATGTATCTAATGTACAAGTTACAAATATCTACAGTACACACTCAAAGCAACCAAAATATGTTGCTGTCTGTCGGCACAGGAATTCTTGGCACTGTGCTCTGTCTTCGAGGCCCCCGCAACACTGGGCTTGGCCAAACAGAACTGTGTAGGTCATTGCAATGGCCAGTAACACTAGCAGCCACTGACCTGTTTTGAATCGCCAACAAGCATCAACAAAATCAACAAACCTTTCTGTTGTTTCCCAGAAAGAAAGGTCTCCCATTGGGAGTACTCCCCACCTGGACCGGAGCTCCGCTCCGACATAGAGGAAGTGGTCGTCCCAGCGCAGCTTGACCCGGGTGGGATTGGATGACCCGGTGAAGCGCCTAAGGACAGCGACAGCGACACTATTTGATACAAGTCGCTTTGGCATGAATCTGATGGCATTGTATGAAGAGCAAAACTGACAAAGCCTGAAATGGCTAGAGATTGTAAACCTGCACCTCACAAACAATTCGCCCAAAGATTCTTTCATTCTCCCTGCCGAAAGGCCTTGCATAGTCTCGAGAGGCTTCTTCCCAGCCGTGAAAACGAGGCCCGGCGAGATCCAGGAAATTCTCCAGCCAGGGCACCTGGCAAAGTCGCCAAGGCGCAGCGCATCGCTCATGGTAATCACCCCAGGTTTGCTGTCATCTCATTGTAATCTATACAAGTCTATAAAGATATGTAAAGTCTAAGCTTCATTTTTGGCTTGATACCGGGCTTAAAAGATAAGTGACCATTGGACCATCTGTACAATTTTGATGCCAGGTCATGGCTGATCCATAGTTTAGTTTTTTGAAAGTTGTGAAAAATAGCCATGTTGTTATGACAGCAAAGATTGATATGGCATGTCTTTATGCCTTGACCTTGGTCCAATGTTCATCCATGATCTGCATCGTCTAAATTCTAATCTAACGACCCAACGTACATTCAAAAGATTTCAAAAGTCATGGCGCCTCTGCCCAGGCATCTTCTTCTAAGTGACCATCGATGTCAATCTCCTGCCCTCTCTGTAACCGCTGCACCTCAGGACATAGCTGTGGGATCTTGAGGGTTTGCACTGCACAGTGGGTGGTGAATCACGTCACTCTTACAGTCCAGCGGCCCAGCGTTGGCTTGGTTTTTTTTGAAGTCATCTAAAACCACAGTATGCTTGAAACATCTTGAAACCCCCTTTGCTGATCTGTCAGATCTGTCAGTGGTAGTCATTGACTTCATGCCAGATTTCCACAAAAGGGGCACATTGGCTGCAGACATGGTGAAATGTGCCTCCAGTTTGCGTTTGATTCTGTTCTCACGTAAGGTCCACACCACGTATTGTGATGGATAGTGGGCATTGATCAATCTTTGTATCAGGGTATCCATGGTATCCTCTGGCTGTGCTGCAATTTTCGGCCAGCGACACCCCACAAATGAAAGCACCTGAATCTTGTTACATGCCATCAGTTTCGGTATAGTTTTCGTCTCTGACTTGGAGAATCTGATTGTCTTGCATTTCTTGAAATGTCTTGAAGACCAAGTTAGTGCGTATATTTTGTGGAGTAGGTTTGCACACACTGTCACAAACTACGTCCGAAAACAGAAGCAAGAATTCTCCTCCCCATGGACACCGACCAAAGCAAGCCAAGCCCAGCGAACTCCATTCATCGCTTGGGACGTGGCTGATAATATGACGATAATCGTGAGACTAGGCAAACAATCTTGGCTTGGGACACATTGCGAATGCCACTGGATTTCGCTTGAAAAGGAAGAGACAACTAGCAACAAAGAATGATATGATAGATGATAGGCGTGATTGGACATGGCACAAACATACAAAATCAGAAGCGGCTTGAGAGCATGCGCAACCATCTGATTGCCTCGTCACCTGAGTTGTGGCTCCTCCAGCCAAATGGCAGCGAAGATTAAGAAATCTCTACCTTCATGTCGTTGGCCACTTGCGGTTGCCTTTCTGAGGAAATGTCATGGAACATCAACTTGGCATCAGAAAGTTTCATCAGAAATGCTAGAAACTTGCAAGAGACCTGTTTTGTTCCAGTCAACTTTGCTCAAGGAACGGTCGCGGTTGGAGTTCTGGTCCTTAGTCTACAAGAAGTGTACAGTTCCATATCCTGTATCAAAATCAAGACCAGTGTATTGAAAGCTCCAAACAGTGGACAAAGCTATCAAGCCTGACAAACAAGAAATAAACAAAAATCCACTATGCCCTGAGCGATTCTGATTCTTGGCAAGAACAGAACCGGGCGATCTGTGACACAGCCAGAGACAGAAAAACCCATCACCAGAGTCTCCTCCAAGCGTCAATCCAAATGGAGATCTGTCAGTTTGGCTTGTCGTAGACATAGTTTGCTGAGAGGCTGTGTCCCGGATTGCCCTGAAGGCAAAAAACTTCTGGGAGCTAAGTCTTTTGACAACCCCCTTGGCAAACGACACCTGTTTGAAGCCCACGCCAGTTGTGTTGAGATGTAACTCAAATTCTGGGAACATCTGAAAATAATGGAACCGAAAATAACCAAAACATCAAAACATTATATATGTATGTATGTGTGTGTGTGGTTCAATATGTTTCAATCTGTTTCAATGCTGGAGCACCTTGTGCCAAGCACCAAGGCCCTCTTCCAATCGCTTTATGGTCGTGTCCATGTGCTTTTGCATGGTGACCGGCGTATAGCGTGCTGGGCGGGACTCCGAGATGAAGCATGGAAGAGGTTGGACCAGAGTTTCTGGACGCATGGCCTGGAGCTTCTCAAAGTGCTGGGAATCTAATCTTCAGGGCATTTTGATGCATTTTGACCATCGTTGTTCCATCGTGCAACTTCTGTTCAGCGAATTAGAGCTGCAGAAGATCAACTTGCAAAAGCAAGAGTCTTTAGAGGGTGGCAAGACTCTCAAAGTCTCAGAGTAAAACAGCATCACATGCGTGCGTATGCTAGCATTATGTCCAAAGTTGTGCCCATAGAAACAACAATAAATAGCGATTCAACTTGATTCAACCTTGCATCCAGGAGACATTGAAGCGGATGATGGAAAAGCGCTCCCAGGAAGTCTGTAGGACTCTATGTGGAGTTGCACGCAGGACCTAGCCATGTACTGCAACACCAGAAATTTGAAACGAAACTGCATCATGTCTGTTCAAGTGACTCATATCTTCTCTAGCCGACTCTAGCCGTTCAAAAATGGAAAAAAAAAAAAGCAGGATTTCACGGCCAGGTGCTCCATTGGTGAAGCGTTCCAGTACATCTCCAACAATCCTGAATCACTCACAGTGCTGGGTTTGAAGCCCCTGTGGCACTGTGGAATTTGGCCCAGTTTTTTTAGAACTTGGAGGCCAAGATTGGCCAAGATTCACCACGAACTCCTCCTTTTTCACAGGAGCATCCAGCCAGGTACGTCCCCCCGGTTTCAGGAACTGAAGCCCCGGTGCATTTTGATGCATCAACGTGAAGGCCTGACAGGTTCTTTGCAAAGCAATTTCAGTCAGTACATCAACTCATTCCGGAAAAAAGAGACTTTGGACTTGTTCAGAAATGCGGGATATACCCTCAAAATATTCATGTTAATGGGAAAGATGGTCATAAATGATAATGCATTGGTGATTTTGGGGTAATGTGGTAAACCCAATACATCATGGGCATCATCCCCATTGCTATCGGTATACCGTTGTTAACTGTATACCCAGTACTTCATAAACCCTGCTTCCTACTTGTCGATGGTTTATCATTGAGTTTACCTCATCCCAATCCTGATAATGATATCTCAAATATAAATATATAATATATATATATACATCAAAATGATATTATCCCATGAATCCAGCCCATTTTACTAATGGCCATGTTTCCTGGTTAAGTCCCCATTTACCATGGTGGTTTGACCCAGCCTCGAAGTCGGTATGAGGGCTGATGCCATAGCTTGCCACCTGCCGCCTGGCGGCTTCCTCTGGAGTCTCTGCAGGGGGATATCGCAGCAAGCGAATGGTGCCCATATCCTGACCTTCAAGCGACGAAATCGACTCGTCAGCGACTCAAAAGGCTTCACTAAAGCATGGAGATTCATGGTGGATACCCTCTGGACTAAGCCTGCTCCATGATCTTACAGACTCATCAACCATCCCATCACCAGGGTCTCTTGAGTATTTCGGGTCCCTCGGGTCCCTCGGGTCCCTCGGGTCCGTCACCTTCAAAGAACTGCCTGAAGGTGTCTGGAGGTAAGTCCAGCATCTCGGCAAAGCTGGTCATCAGTGCCTTTCCCAACAAATCCTGGCGCTCATAGAGGTCCTCAGTAGCCAAGGCTCCATGTCCATGGATCTCCATAAACACGTTGAGAAGCCACATGGAATGCATCTTGCTCATCACTCCCAGTGCATACATGTATAGGAAGCACCTCTTTCAGCCAAGCGGCGTCTAGGAATTGAGAAAAGTTCATTCCAGTCTGAGAACATGTGACCTGAGGGTGGCTGAAATCGCGATGGCAAATGACTAAATTGCGACAGGTTTGCTGCATGCAGAAGCCTTTCCCTTGCCTGCAGATCGCAAGGAGGATTAGATAGACCATCTATGTCAAGACTGAAAAATGTCGTGAAACCATCATGTCTATCTATCTAATCTATTCACGTACAGAACTGGGAACCTGCAGATTTGAAACAAACAAAGAGGGCGCAACAGTAGCAACATGTAGCAACTAAACAAGCCTTCGCAATGACAACATCAAAGTCATTCGTTCCACAGAACTCTGCAGCATGTTGGATTGCACCAATTCTTGGAATCGGAAGATGCAAAAACCAAGGCTGTCTCTCCACACTGACCTGACAAGCAACATCTGGGTAGTGGTGTCCACTCGTTGGAAAACGTGTTCTGCTGTAGTCCCAAGCACGGACGCTCGCCGTGCTCCCAGCCTGACAGCGAGGAACCGGTGAGGATCTGGCCCAGTGCTGTCAAGCAAGCGGACGGTTTTCGCCCCATTCTCCAAGCAACTTCGTACGCGAGCTCATCGACTCCAACCTTCAATCAGGCAATCATTTGTGAGCTGTTTCAGGCTCGAAAGAATCCGGTTCGGCCAGATTTAGAAAAGAAACGCAACACGGCGACTGACTGCAAGAGTCAAGCGCATTGGCCTAGTCTCATATTGAGTGGAGCTGATCACAAAGTCCAAAAAAAATGAAATTAAGCAAGAATTGTCTTGAATATGATTCTTTTTCCTTTTGCTTCTCTTTTTTCTTCCTCATATTCGCGAAAGCTCTGAGTCTACTGGTGACTTTATCTCAAAACAAATTTGCAGAGTCATGAAATCTTCTTGAATCCCTCCTGTGAATCCATTTGCAATCAGAACACCTGATCAACTGCGTGCAAATCTATAGCATGCCTAGCTGTTTCAAATATGTTCAAATCAGATTCTGCGGATCTCTGCAGTCAAGCAGCATCAGAGCCGGAATAAGTCCCCTTTGGTCGAGCGCACCGTCTCTTTTGCTCTGCGGGCAGGGCATGCAGCTGCTCTGCATATGAGTAAACCTCATCAAGTTTCACGCCACTTGGCAAGGTCCCAATGCCTAAGGGGATCTAGGGGGATGCCAACTAGTTTAGCATGTTTGAACAATAAAATCGCCAATGACCCCATCATCACCGAGTAGCTGTTTCAATGTATGACTGAGGCAGGCAGTCAACATTGCTGGAGTAAAAATAGCCATGTGTGGTCAGAGCTTCTCGCATCCTCAGATTTGTGCTGTTCAACCAAATTCATCCTATTGACGGCATTGATATAGCGCCACTTTGGCTATCAGTCAGGCTTCTCTTTGGTCATACCCGTTGCACGTTGTGAGAAGGGACGGAGATACGAAACGTGTCATGTCCAATGATTGCCTCACTTCATTTCACTGACCTGTACCCAGCATCTGCGCCAATGTAGCTCCACGTTGAGGATGATTCTTTGTCAAAATGTGCCGCATATCCACATGTGGATGCTCTGAAGAGTCAGTGGCACCTATGAGCAAGACAAGGTGGACGTATCTAAAATTGCTTGGCTGATTCCACACACACTGCTTACACACACTGCTGATGGGAGAATGTTACTGAGTAACATTACTCGAATGAGGAACTTTATAGTGATGAAGTAGTTCATGCCTTGAGGGTTCCTAGGTCCAAAATCCTGGTCAGTCGAGTAGGGAAAGCAGTGGGAAACTCTGATTTCTGAGATAATCTCAAATTAGCAACATATACGCATGAAAATGGACAGCTTGTTCAACAGTTCAAAACCAAATTTCTGCAGGTACAGGGAGGTGATCAGTCTCCCCTTCCCACCAATGGCAATAGCTTCGTTGCGTGCAGTATGCCAAAGGTGCTGCACGCCCCTGCATCTGATGGATTGTTTGAATCAACTTGTTAACAGAAACTCAGGTCCGCATGAGTGATAGCGGATTTCACACACACAATGGCCCCCCCCGGCAGGGGAGGCAGCTGCTGGTGAACGCTGTTTTTCATCGCAGTATCAGTTTGCAATATATACATGTCCTAGAAATTCTTGTACAACATATGGGAAAGGTTCACTGTAAATCAAATGGTCTCCTTGGGACAGAATAAGGGTCCGGACTGCGTTCCCGTTGGAGAGCGACTCTTCTGAAAACGATCGGTTGAAGGGAACGAGGACTGAACAGATGAACCATCAGCTGCAGTGAAAGACCGATCTTGACGTCGATGTGATGTAGAACTTGCATTTTCAGAAAGTGGCTCGATCAAAACGTTCTTGATACTCGAGCGTGTCTGACCATCATAACTATAGGGCTCCCGGACTTGCGATCTGGATCGTTCACTTTCATTTTCGAAACGAGACTCAACTGAAGCGTTCTTGATACTCGAACGTGTCTGACCATCACAAATATAGGGTTCCCGAACTGGCGATCTGGAGCGATCGGTGAGACGTTTCCGAAGGGACCACTGTTCCAAAGTATTGCTAAGTTCACGCAACGAAGGCATCGTAAGAAGGAGATAGATTGGTTTGAGTTTGAGCTTAAATATACTCTTCAAAATTCAAAAACGTGTGATTCGAACTGTCAAAGTCAAGATTCGCAATCGGCAAAAGTATGATGAAAACAACTGAGTTGAGAAAAACACAACATGAACATAACTGAAAAGGTAAATGAAAAAGAAGAAAACAGTGTGACGTTATCGAACTTCAGATGAAAAACGTCAAAGAATGCCCATTGATGAAAATGTCCAACATCAAATGACTTCACGAAAGTGATGGCGAATGACGACAAAACAGGACAATGCGAAATCCAGCAACTGTTTTGTCTGCGTTTCCTGTCATGGTATCTAGTCAAAGTGAAAAAGAGAATCAGGATCAAGTTGTGGATGACGTGAGCGTACCAATTTGATAATCTGACTTCTAAAAGTAGAAGACAATACATCACGTTGTCGTCGAGACCAAATGGACAGAAAATCTTGAATTTGAGGTATTTGTAGAGAACTGGGCCATGTATTCTGCAAAATGAGACGAATTCTGGCCAGAGCTCCGGACGTGAGTGCCTTAGTCGTACTTGAACTCCTTGTTGAACGAAACGCTTTGTCCACAGGTTGAAGATATGTAGTTGTACGCTGTAACACGTCAGCGTTGTATCCTAACAATTCAGATCCTTCAACTTGTTCAAGTAGAATGGGAGGTGAATAGAATGAAAGATTCCAAAATAACTGCATTTCTGAGTTCCAGTGTCCCACAGGAAGTAGCATCACTCGATTGTCAACATAACGATGATGAAAAGTGGCATTGTTGGTAAATTGACGAAAACAGGACAGAAAAGTATATTCTCGCATGAGTGCGACAGCTGCACAGAAAATAGGTGCCCATTGACTACCCATGCTGGCACCACGTTTTTGTAAAAATGTAGACATTCCGACGGTGAAAAAACTGTGATTCAACAGAAAGCTACAAATAGGTAGAATGTCGCCCAAGCGAATATCACGATACATCTTGGTGTGTTGTCGCCATTGACCTCTAAAAACTCGCAGGGTGCGTTCATGTTGATATACGTGTGCTTGAAGTACAGAATCGAAGGTCTGTCCATGTTGTAAAATATATTGATGAATGGCGAATTCAATAGATCCGAGAATGCGGTCATGTTCAACTTGGTTGTAGAAACCAGCAATATCAGTCTGAAAGAGAAGAAGGTCAGCACCATGATCAATTTGGAAAAAGCATTTGATTTCGTTCATCACCTTGTTGATATCACTGTAGCGAAGTAAGGATGGATAAACAACTTTCAAAATATCTTGCAACACCACAGACAAAATATAACCCATCTGTTTTGGCCAAGATCGACTGTAATTAACGATGGGTCGTGCTTTCATAAACGAGCGTGAAGGTTTTGGAAGAATATACGCCTTGCTTAATGATAAATGAAAATCGAAAGCCCAAGGATATCTGTCAGTGATCCATCCAGGAAGATCATACTGAATATTCTTCAGAATAGTGGCTGAATCAACACTACAAAGATGAAAAACAGAGGTGTCTTGAAATGTCTTACACAGCAAATTGTGCCACTGGACAGGACAATGTAAGGTGAGAGACGATGGAAAATGATCTGCTGGGGAAGCAATAAGTCCGTCGATCCTTTGTCGAGCCTGTCGAATACGTTTTTGAGTGTACAACTGACCTGAATCAAGTTGCAAATTCCAACAGTCTTGTAGAAAAGCCTGCCAATACTGGATCAGATCTTGGCGAAGTTTCCAACGTCGTAACCATTTTTCAAATTGGAAGGTGTTTTGATGGAAAAATTGTGTCCACGTAGGTGTAACTTCATCTTCCAAATGTGCAGTCAGAATAGGATCCAGTGGAAAACATTCCGAGGCGAAGGATGAAATATGATCTGTTTTCCGTGGATTGTGTTGAACATGAAGAGGAAACAACTGACAAGCACACTGAGGGCGAAACTGAGGTGTCCACAACTTTAGAAAAGAACGAAAATTGTACAAATATTGAGCTAAAGTTCGATTTTTCACTGTCACAAACGGTGCACGAACTTTGTGAAAAATGGGAAAGTTACAGCGATGATGGTGAGTGAATCCCAGCAACCATTGTCGAAATCGACGTTCCATTGTATCCGACAAAACCTGTAACTGCATGGGTATATTCGCTGGTGGCGATTCAGTAGCATAGAATTTGAAAATATACCGCAATTGAGATTGTGCTCTGGTCCGAACAGGTTCCGACATATGGTGGCTCAAGCGCCATAACAAGAAAATCAACTGCACATTTGACAACTTCGAACGTAGAATGCGAGAACAAATGAACTTGTCATGCGTGTCAGAACCAAGGGAATACAGGAAAATGTACAAACTTGTAGTATCCGTAATCCGACGACTAAGAATGCATTGAGCAGTTTGCAGACTGCGTTTGCGAAATCGTTTCACAAATTTCATCCCTTGAGTACTGGTCTTCAAAGTTGAAGGTCCGAATTGTTGCTTACCAATCCGAAGTTGTTTCATCAAAGGATTGATCCAAGGCCAATTGTAAATGGGGCGAAAAGTCCTTTGGCATGCTGTTTCAACTGCAAGAAGCTTGTCAACGTCAGTCTGGAGTAAAGGAAAACCAATAAATTGAAAATAGTTGCGTTGTGCTGACCAGGCCTTCAAAGCTGGTTCGTAGTAAGCAAGTTGGTCTTTCTTTAACTGTCGGTATTTTCGTAACAGACTCTGTTCTCTCGAAAACATGGTTTGTTCAGTGGAGCCAATGTAAAACTGAGCATTTCGAAAATGTAAACGACAGTACACGATGCTCGACCTGTTCCACCATGTCCATGACAAAATTTCTGGAAGTTCGCACTGCCGCAAAATAGTCAGAAGACGTCGATTTTTGGCTGAAAAAGGTCGAATGATGTAAGCAAAAATGGTCCAAACACTAAGTATCCACATGATCCGTTCCTGTACATGCCATGGTAAAGCTGGAGAAAATTGCAAAGTGTAAATCATGAATTGGATGCTAGCAAACCACAGCGACTGAAAATGTGAGGCAAGCTTCGTTGTCTCTGCACCATGCATATGCTTGGAATACTTGCGAAATGGCTGCCCCCATGATGATGGAGGACTTACTTCACTGGTTTGTAATCCAAAATGTCAGTTTCGAAGGAATTGAACGGCGGCCAAAACCTTCAAATTGTATTCCGCCTTTGTTTTGGCCAGTACTGTACTGGGGAGACCCCAATCTGAAAGAATCGATTCTAAATTTGGTCTTTCAGAGGCTGGAAACTGATTGTATTCGTCAGTAATGGTCTTCAACATGGCATCAACATTGACTTGTTCCGTCTTAGGAACATTGTTCTTGATCCACTTGTCGAGTTCAGTCATGGTATGTTTGGGTGTGTGTGTGCCTAAGATGGGTGCGTTTTGTCCACGTCGATATTGTGAGAGTGGAGAACGGTCATCTTGGGCTCCCGGCATACTTGGCATCGACTGACTTTTTTGGCGTCTGAGTTCCTCTGTTGCTGATTGACGAAACATGGATGGGAGTGTTCCGCCTGGTGGTTCCTCAGTGTTCTGAGTCTGTGATCCTTCCTGAGTAGGAACTGGACTTTGGTTGGCACGAAGAGCTGCGTTCTCTTTCTTCATTCTTTCCAGTTCTTCTAACAATGATTGATTGGAATCTTTGGGTGCCAAAGTCTTGAACAAATCAACAGTCTGTTGAATCAACGCCTCAATTCCTGAAAGCTTGGATTTCCAATCTTGAGAATCACCTGGTTCTGAAGACAAATGCTGGATGAGCTTCGCAAAATCAACATTGTCTTTTTGTCGGTAGAGTTCACGAAAAAGCATGGTAGAAAATGTGGCTTCAAGGCGATTTCGAAACATCTCACATGCGACATACCTACCATTGGCAACAAGGCGCAAAGCCCAATTTTCAAGACCGTTGGACACAATGTCGACAAGCTTAACATCAGAAATAGGAATGCCAGCTGTATTGTTCTTTCGTGAAAAATTGGTCGACTCAACATGTCGTGGAAAAGTCAATCCATACTCCGTCTTTGTGTCATAATGGGTTCGTGTGGATTGCCACGAATCAGGTAAGTCTGGTGATCGTGCACGACTGAGGTCTTGGGTCCGGGACAGCGGTCGTCTTCGATCACGGTATTCCTTAGACTCATGTCGACGATGTCCACGACTGCGATGTCGAGATCTGGATCGAGAATCTCGGCGTTGAGACTGCATCTGTCCAAATACTGATCACAAACGGATTGAAGAACAACTTACTGACGGGTTTGATCCACTGTGAATTATACCAATCATGGAAAACAGTAGTGAAAATTGAACAGAACCAGACAATTTTGATGCAAGTCAAATTGTAGTACTCAAGGAAAACAGCAGCTGAATTAGACTTAACAAAATGTAAATACTCTTGATTTCGAAATCGTCACTGGGAAAAAACATCAAACGTATGTGACTGTAACTCACAAAAAGGTGACTTGGACGAAATCTGAAATGACTCATGAAGAGATGGCTTGATAAATGAAACCGCTCAAAAAGTGATACAACAGAGCGCAGCTTTTGATCTATGGAGCGCAACAAAATTGTGTGACTTCCATGATCATTGATCATGATGATGGGATGATACAAGCTAAATGGCTAAGCGGACTCAAATGAGAACGAAGACCCCAACGTTTGTCACGTCCATGTACACTGTCAAAATAGTGTGTACAAGCATGTTCTCCAATAACACCGCCGAGAACGTTGGTCACATGTGGTTGTCTTGATTTAGACATACCGAGCAAACATGTAGGACGATCAGTGGTAAAATTGGAATATTTCTGTGCCTTTCTCAAGGTTGTGAGCATCTCTGATCTGGTCATAACAGGTCTTGCCACAGTAACGCCACGACAGAAAAAGGTCAATGCCGGGATCCATGTCTCGTCTTGTGGGTCAGTGGATGATGGTCTGATATACCCATGGAACAAACTGTCTGCAGCAGATTGTGGATTCGTGTTGTGTGCGTAACATATGTATTCTGCAGCAGGAATTTCTGGTTCTTGTGTAAAAACGACTGGTTCCAAGCGAGCGACAATGGCCACAAGAGACTGATTCTGGTGATCAAAGAGTAAGTCGATGCACTCCACGAAAGCCCAAACTTCAGAATGTAGAAGGAGAGTAGAGATCAATACTTCGAGTGCGGAATGGATGATTGAAGAGAATTTTTCAAACTTGGCGGAATACTCATCTTTGAGGATCTGCATATGGTCAGTCATAAGTTGTTGTTTTAACAGCGCAATCGAGTCAATAGTTCGAAAAGAGTATTGTTGCTGAAAATATGTCAAAGATGGCGTCCATTTGTCAACTGCCAAAGTGAGTGCACCAGTTTCATATGCATTCTTGATACGGTAAGGATCTTGATAGAGTTCTTCACGAATGCGGCCCATGCACTGATATAGGAACCACCAAGGTGATTTCTCAGGTTGTTCTAAAGTAATACAATCACAGCAAAATGTGGCAGTGGTGGGTAGCGTCCAAAAAGAAATCTGATCACTCTGAGGGTGTAAAAATTCAATAATTTCAACAGTCAAAGGAGGCCGTCCAATGCGAGTCGTAACCTTTGGTCTAGGTCCGGGTAGTCTTCGATCACTAGTGAAGGTCTTCTTGTGTCCATGATGGTCATGTAAACAATGTACGAACAATCCCCAACGTGGAATGGGAGCAACTGAGACTGACGGCTGGTCTATAAACATTGATGCCCGAACTCGATCCCGTTGATCTGATTCAGAAGTCAGAGGCACCCGGACCGTTCCATCTCTTGGTAAATCAGCTGTAACAGTGGGACGTACTCGATCCACTCGGTCATTTGATGTGATCTGATTTTGACGATCATCAGTGACTAAGGGCAGTGCAACTTGAGAGCTACGGTTCTGACGTTCCACAGTGTCTGAGGGCAGTGCAGAATGAGAGCCCAATCCAGAAACTACGTTCGATCCGTCCATTCGATCATCACGATCAACAATTGGTGCACGAAATGAGCTGGGTTGAATGCCAAGAGCATTGGAGAACATCATATTTTGTGACAAAGTCAACATTTGTTGAAACTGCATGTGTTGAACATGTTGAACATGTTGAGACTCCGTATGAAGAACAGTCTGGAGTAAGTCCCGTGTCTCTTGAATGTTGGATCCTTCAATTCGATATTGTCCGCATTGTCCTGTAAATTCAAGAACTGTAGGACGACTTTGGCGACTTACAGGTGTGATCCAGGATGGTGGAGGAGTAGGACTAGGTGGACATCGCGACTTTGGTACTGCAGCTGGAATATCAGATTTCGACATGGCTCAAACAGATACAGAGGAAAGGTGAAAAACAAAAGAACTAAATGATGACAGAACAGATCTGAGTTGCCCGAACGTGTAGAATGTAATAAATTCGTGTCTGTCTTTCAGAATTCCAGCCATACGGCTTGCTGCTGTCTTGTGACGTATTCCAAATCTTGTGAAATCTTGCATTGTATTTGATTCATGTATTTCGGCCTGAAGCCAATTCACACGGGAATTAATACCCGTCAGATTTCGAGGTATTGCAGTACCCCACTATTCTTCCGGAAGGCCGGTACCGATTCAACGCGTGTCACCAAACACGCGGACGGCAGTCACAAGTCAGTGACACTGTGCCCGTTACACACTGCTGATGGGAGAATGTTACTGAGTAACATTACTCGAATGAGGAACTTTATAGTGATGAAGTAGTTCATGCCTTGAGGGTTCCTAGGTCCAAAATCCTGGTCAGTCGAGTAGGGAAAGCAGTGGGAAACTCTGATTTCTGAGATAATCTCAAATTAGCAACATATACGCATGAAAATGGACAGCTTGTTCAACAGTTCAAAACCAAATTTCTGCAGGTACAGGGAGGTGATCAGTCTCCCCTTCCCACCAATGGCAATAGCTTCGTTGCGTGCAGTATGCCAAAGGTGCTGCACGCCCCTGCATCTGATGGATTGTTTGAATCAACTTGTTAACAGAAACTCAGGTCCGCATGAGTGATAGCGGATTTCACACACACACACAAATTTCCAGCTTTATCCTTGGACACTTTGGAATGCTGATGAGAATGATGAGAAAGCAGCTTCAAGAAATCTTTGGATGAGAAGTCCTTCAAAACTCCGCCAGAAGCGTCTGCTGCAGGACTGCGATTTCGGAAGAAAGCCTTCTGTGCATCATCAGCGCAGCCACACTGGAACTCTTGGACAACGGTGGCACCTCCAGAACTTGCAAAGAACCGCAAGGCTGGCGCACGAGGCGGACCATTCAGTGGACCCAGCCATCTGCTGCCTCTGAATATTTGCAGGAGCAAGGGATGGAGATGGATGAAGACCCCCTGGAAACATACCTACTGCAACAATGAGAAGGATATATTGAAGTGGCAAGGATTATACATAAGCATACAGACAATGTATGTTCCATACCAGTGAGGAGTCAAAGCCCGCACGTGGTGGCAATCCCAAGGTCCACAATTTGACAAGCAACCATTCAGGTGTTCCTCAGCACTTGCCTCAATAAAAATATATCTCCATTCTGGAAGATCTCTGGGCATATTGTTGTAAGTCGATGTTCCTCCTTCACATTTTACTGACTGTGCGCTTGCAACAGACAATGCTTGAGATCAAACACACCTGAAAGCTGTGTTGCAACCAGGGAACTCTCTTCTTATTTGTGTATTCAGAAGTCATCTTATCCATGTCTTTCATTGCCCAAATCAAGGTGTCCCAAACAGCCCGTCTTTGGCCTGCTACTACAAAGCGATGGTTGCTTCTGCAGCAGGCAATGCGTCTCATGGCAATGACAAATATGATTTGTATATTCAGCGGGTTGTAGGTGTGCTGCTGGTTGCTATCTGACTTTATCAATCACACTCTGGGCGACTCCAATCAAGAAACCTTTCAGCGTCTGCTTTGCAGTTAAGTCATGCTCGATGATCTTGTGGCTTAGTTGGGCATTTGATACTACAGCAGCTCCACAGTAGCACATCAGCGGTTTTTCTGCAAGCCTTCAGCAAATCCACTACACACCATTTGACCTTCCTGCTCCAGGCTTTGAGTAGGTTAGCAAACTGAGAGACAGTCGTGGCCTCCCATGCTGCCCCATCTAGACCCTGGCGAAAGTGCAAAGGGAGGCTTTTCTATACCTGCACCTTGGACTGCTGTGGAAGAAGCTTGCCTGATGCAAAATATCTTTCGAGTCATCCATGTATTTTTTTTCTTTGCCGCTCAGCAACAGCTGATTGCAGACTTCTGGAGGGGTCAGACTTCTTTGTTGCACGGAAGGCCAATGCAAGTCCGGCAGACCTTCCACGTTGATTTCTCTAATTCAACTGGCACAGGTTTACCAAGTTGACTCCTCCAGAGTTATGTCATTAACATCTCTTCAAATGCGTTGAGGACTTGATGATGATTTGACAAAACCACAAGTTGTCATAGAGTCAAGTGACTAAACTCAAAACTTCTCTTGGAGGTCTTGTAACGTGAGAGTTTGGACTCAATTGTGATGCATGCCTCATCAAGTCCCTAGCACATCTGCGAGTCACTATCTGGCAGAGTACTTTTCGACCCTGCACTCAAAGTGGTAGTTAGTTGTTTCTAATCTGACATATGTGACATAATAGTATCAGGAGCATCGCCTGGCCATGGTTCAAGCGTGAGCCACCCTGGCTTTCAGAAAAATGGCAATCTCCAAGGCCCGTCGCATCTCACTGAAGCGACGGCCTGCCAACAAGCGCAGACCATGTCCTGACGATGGTGACGCACTGGAGGAATGGTGGTAACTGTGGCAGCCGGATCCAGGAATTGCAAGACGAAAATCACATGAAAAAACAACTGTGTTGGAAAAATAATGAGGGCATGGCTCAAAATGATCTACCCCCACCCCAAAATATTCATGGCCCAGTACCAAAAATGATCAATTGATCATATATCCATAAATCCATTTGCCCCCAACATCTCCTGCTCGGCGCAAACGCTTGGCAGCCAGTGAATACATTCGCCAAGCATATCCACGGGGCCTTGAAGCACAAAAACAAAAGTGCACCACTCCATTCATCTGGGAAATTGATGTGACTAGCGCCTAGCCAAGTCGCTTCTGCCAAAAGGATCCAAGTCGGTTCATCATGGGTTCTTTACGGTCATCTTGTCGTACATCCTCACCCTCACCCCATTCACCCTGTGAAATCAACAAAGACGCTACACCTCCGGTCACCTCCGGTCACCTCCCAGTACCTCCCTAGGTGACCCAGCAGGGATGCTCTTGAGGCTCCACGAGGCTCTACGATCAAGGTGGGTGCCGCACTCTTCGCCGGAATTGCCTGAAATCTACAGAAGATGCAAAAAGATGTGGAAAAGATGAAAATGTGGAAAAAAAAAACCTGCCGTCGCTATTTCCTCACAAATGAGGGCACCTTTTTCTGCACTGCCTATGATATCAGATCATTTGCCGCAAGGAAACTGGCCCAAAACAGGGATAGAACGCATGGTTAACAGGGTCAGCACTCAGCGGCGTGCGGCCAGCAAGTCAGGCAAGTCGTAGTGATTCAGCACTCCATGCATCTGCATTTGCCACCTGAGAATCTTCATCCCAACGGGGCGATATGAAGACAACATTGTCAGGTGGAACATTCTTGTTGCTCAGCTTCTCTGCCAACTCGGTCAACTCCCGAGTCTTCAGCACTTTGGCTCATGTCTGGGAAACAGCACGGCAACTTGTGCCTTTTCGCTCGAGCCTAAGGAGGCTAAACCAAAAGGATCTATGCCATAGGGCCATAGGGCTCCATTTCTGAAGCCGTTGAGGATCAGACCACTTCTTCAAAGCTGGGAGGCCAGAGCAGCACCAAGGCACCCAGACGACGCGCGTCAGAGGAAGGTGCCTGCAAAATCACACAGTCACAACGAAGACCCCAAAGAAATCATGTCCTTTCAAGGCTTGTGATGTTGTCTGAACATACCACCGTAACAACATGCAAGACAACATGCAATACAACATCCTTTCGCATTCTTTCAAAAAAAGCGTTGAATCACAAAGCATGCCAGGTCCACATGCACTGCAGCCTTAGGGTTGCCGTGTGCCGCAAGCGATAGTAGGGACAAATGCCAACAGACTGTCTGAAGACATCCTTTGGAGTCTGGTGTTTCCTGTGCTATCCGGGGGAAATGGTGGGAAGACACATGAAATTGGGAACTCCAATAGCTGAGCAAATATAGAAGTCTCTACTCATTTTCCAATGGTGAGTCGCTTTCCCTTGCAATTTGAGTTGCACGTAATGACCAAGTAAGTCTTCGACATGCACCACAGCTCCAATGGCACCACCGTATCCAATCAGAACCACCTCAGGGACAGAACAGGAAGCCGATCTTATCATGCATTCAGGAAGACTCCGAGCAAACAGGTTGAATTCGAAGCTGATTCCATTGCATAGTGCTGGAGAGACGATCAAATGTAACTACAACTGACATGAAAATGCGTGTTTGAGTCTTCACGTTCATACGCAAGAACTATGACTATGCATACGTTGTTTTCACCTTCAAGTCAAGATAAAACGCTATGTTTTACAAGATATCAAATTATTGCAAGTGTGATCCAAAGATGTGACATTATTTCAACTGCCTTACAATTTGCCATCTCAGAGAATTGTCAAAAATTCAGCCAATCACTTTCCCAGCTTTGCAATGTGAATGTCTAAATACTGTTCAATTGACACACCAGAGCTATCACCAACCAATGATCATGTTCACATTGATTGTGTGAAAGAAAAATCTTGCAGAAGACGATTTGTGGCTGCGTGAAGGCATGCTGTTTCCTTCCTTTCAGAGCGCTACAGAGAAGGAATTGCTTCACGTGCTTCTACTGAAAAACTATATAACCATATAGATTGAAATCCAGTATATATTATATAACAATATATGAACAAGGTGCATACAGTCTGGATACCTAGAAAGATGTAGATCACATATTTTCTGGTGCTGCGATGTCCAAACTCCAGTCCCACTGGGCAGAGCGAACTTGACGGGCTCGCAGCTGCCTTGTTTCCCACGACACAAGTCGTACAGTTCCGCGCGCAACTCTATGGTGTCTAGGAGAAAAACCGACCATCCATCTATCCATTCCATTCCATTTCATTCCATTCCATTCCACTCCATTCCATTCCATCCATCGACTACCCTCAGTAACAGCAGTGTTAATGACTTGAGCTAAGCCACCTAAAGGCCCAGGACATGGTGTGAAGCACCTTGGATGCTGGTCGATGCAAATCTCAAGATCTTTGGAGCAAACTTATACTTCCTGCCTTTCCATGCCTTGTCTGGAACATGCCATGCTAGCAGAGTATCTCCACTAAAGTGACTGCTTCCCTTCACAACTTCACAAACGCTGGAAGAGTACGGGCTAAGGTGGTTCGGTTGGAAAGAAATTGGGGAAAAAAAATTAAAAAAAATATCTTTGAGAGCATTCTGTCACCTCCAAGTCACCTCTGAGGCGTGGAAGCCGGTGTGCGTCTCACCTGTAAAGTCAGCCCAGCTGTCAGCGAGTTTTGACCCTTTTGCACTTGAGCCTACACGATACACTTGATGAGATTTGATTGGCTCAGTTCACCCTGCACCCTGCCACCCTGCCTAGAAGAATGGGTGCGAATTGCCAAAGCCCATCCCTCCAGAACCTGCTCAAATGATTCTCGATTTCCAGGACAAACTGTTGAACAAAGTGCTATGGCTATATACATGTGTATATATATATATACATAGCATATTGAACGGTGCTCCATTCAGTAGTCAGTAGTCTTCCAAACCATCAAACGACTCGCTGTTTGTCGCTGGGATTTTCCGGCTTATCTCCAAAGCCGCAGAGGCCACATATGGCGACTGCACCGAAACCATGATCCTGCCTGCAGCTTCAAACGATGCAAGTCGTGTCAGCAACGTAACAAAAAACAAGATGAAGCCCACGAACCCGAATGCTCACACGTATGTTAATGGTACAGATGTCAAAACACATGGTTATGCAGTCACGCACAATACCTTTCTGCAATAGTTTATATTTGAACAGTCTTGTACATGTTTCCCTTGTTACCAGTCTGCAGTGTGGGGTGGAAAGTGTAGAGTGTGGAGTGTGGAGTGTGAAGTAAGGAGTGTGGAGTGTAAAGTGTGGAGTGGGGAGTGTAGAGTGTGTAAAGTGTAGAATGCGGAGTATAAAGTGTATAGTGTGGAGTATGGAGTGTAAAGTGTAGAGTGTGGAGTGTGAAGTGTGGAGTGTAAAGTGTGGAGTGAGGAGTGTAAAGTGGAAAGCGTGGAGTGTAAAGTGTGGAGTGTAGAGTGTATAGTGTAGAGTGTAAAGCGTAGAGCGTGGAGTGTAAAGTGTGGAGTGTAAAGTGTAGAGTGTGGAGTGTAAAGTGTGGAGTGTAAAGTGTGGAGTGAGGAGTGTAAAGTGGAAAGCGTGGAGTGTAAAGTGTAAAGTGTGGACTGTAGAGTGTATAGTGTAGAGTGTAAAGCGTAGAGTGTGGAGTGTAAAGTGTGGAGTGTAAAGTGTGAAGTGTAAAGTGTGGAGTGTGGAGCGTAAAGTGTAGAGTGTGGAGTCTGGAGTGGAAAGTGTAGAGTGTGGTGTGTAGAGTGTGGAGTGTGGAGTGTAAAGTGAGGAGTGTAAAGTGTGGAGTGTGGAGTGAGGAGTGTAAAGTATAAAGTGTGGAGTGTGGAGTGCACAGTAAAGTGTGGAGTGTGGAGTGCGGAGTGTGGGGTGGAAAGTGTAGAGTGTGGAGTGTGGTGTGTAAAGTGGGGAGTGTAGAGTGTAGAGTGTGGAGTGAGGAGTGTAAAGTGTAAAGTGTGGAGTGTAAAGTGTGGAGTGCGAAATGTGGAGTGGAAAGTGTAGAGTGTGGTGTGTAGAGTGTGGAGTGTAAAATGTAAAGTGTGGAGTGTAGAGTGTAAAGTGTAGAGTGTGGAGTGTAGAGTGTAAAGTGTAGATTGTAAAGTGTAGAGTGTGGAGTGTAGAGTGTAAAGTGACGAGTGTAAAGTGTAGAGTGAGGAGTGTAAAGTGTGGAGTGAGGAGTGTAAAGTGTAAAGTGTGGAGTGTGGAGTGGAAAGTGTGGAGTGTGAAGTGTGGAGTGTAAAGTAAGGAGTGTGTAGTGTAAAGTGTGGAGTGTGGAGTGTAAAGTGTAGAGTGTGGAGTGTGGAGTGTAAAATGTGTAGAGTGAGGAGTGAGGAGTGGAAAGTGTAGAGTGTAGTGTAAAGTGTGGAGTGTGGAGTGTAAAGTCTCAGGTGAGGAGTGAGGAGTGTAAAGTGCAAAGTGTAAAGTGTGGAGTGTAAAGTGTAGAGTGTGGGGTCTAAAGTGTAAATTGTGGAGTGTGGAGTGCAAAAGGAGCTTCCCCCATAGACACGGCGACGCCACAGGAAAACCAGAGACTCAAGACGAGACACGTGGGTGCAAAGAAACGAGCATTTCGTGCGAGACTTCCTCCAATTTTGACATTTTCGACACGCTACCAAACAGGTTGGAATGTCACAAAGTGCCACGCCTGCCACGCAAAACGACATGACAACCTGCTTGGAAACATTCGAAAAGGACATGTTTTCCAGCTTCCCCCATAGACACGGCGACGCCACAGGAAAACCAGCGACTCGAGACAAGACACGTGGATGCAGAAAAACCAGCATTTCGTACGAGACTCCCCCCAATTTTGACATTTTTGACACACTATCAAACAGGTTGGAAAGCCACAAAGTGCCACGCCTGCCACGCAAAACGACATGACAACTTCCTTGGAAACCTAGGAAAGGGAGAGGTTTTGCGGCTTCCCCCATAGACACGGCGAAGCCACGGGAAAACCAGAGACTCGAGACGAGACACGTGGGAGCACCAAAACGAGCATTTCGTGCGAGACTTCCTCCAATTTTGACACTTTGCAGCTTCAAAATCGACGTTTTCCTACGAGTTTTCCTTAGAACCTGAAAATTTGCAACCTCAAAATCGATGTTTCGTGCGAGGCTTCCGTCAATTTTCAGTACATGTCACAAAATGCCACGCCTGCCACGGAATTTGCACCTTGTCACCACTTGACGCAGCCCTGCCAATGCGATTTACAAAAAACACGCCACAGGACGCGTCTAAAGTGCTGCGCCTGCCACGAAAAATGACGATGGACGCGTCCAAAGTGCTGCGCCTGCCACGAAAACTGCAACACATCTTCTGAAAACGTTGCAAAAGTATTGCGCCTGCCACGCAAAACGACTTTCGACACGTTGCAGAACACGTCTGAATGTCACGAAGTGCCACGCCTGCCACGCGAAACGAAGCAACCAGACGTCTGAAACCTCCAAAAAGGACCACCTCTGTAAAACTTCCCATAGGCACGAGGCACGGCCATACGGTCCTCACGCGAACGGTTGCGAACGGTTGCGGACACGGTTGCGACCACAAACGCAACGTCGAGCGAACACACCCTCAACCCCCAGACCCCCAGAGTGAAACGGGAACCCTTGCTACGCATTCGGGAAAACGTATCAAACAACGACCATGTTGGCCACATCACTGAAACAGCTAAAGCTCCTAAAGGTCTGACTCACTTCTCACTTCTGTGATCTTCTGTGTATTCTTGCAACAATTCTGCCTGCGTTCTAGACTGAATGATGCTTTAGAACTGTGATTTTTTTGGGGAAAAAGGACTCAGCTCTGGGCAGTTGGCTCAAGAGCAGGTCCTGGACTGAGAGAATGCTTCAATTTACAAAGGCGAAATGAAGATGACTTGGGGATACCCCACAATGACAATTTCACAAAGAAAATGAAGATCAATCACACTGGATTTTGGGGTATCCTATTTTCAGACAAACCCACAATAAGCATCCTCCGATCCTCTTGAATCTTCTCACCTTTCCCGGCTTTGCCTTTCACTCCACGCACACCTTTTCAGTGGACTTTTCAAAAAGAAGCAACAGTCATGCAAAGGTTTGCTCCTCCTGCTTGCTGAGTTGACGATTCACATCGGTAGCGCCACCGAAGATGAGAACCACCACATCCTTGAGCAATGAATCCAAGGACAATTGTGTGCAGTGAAATCACCAAAAATACATTCGAAAGACAAGACTATGGAACAATGCAAAAGGTACAACTTTCAAAGAAAAGCGACGAAACAATATTCTGTGATCAGTCCAAGTCAATATTCATCAGACCTGGCACATCTCATCAAAAGCCTGTCAAACACATATGTTTATATGGGTCAAAATTGTGTACCCTAAGAACTGGATGGTCAATACTAAAAGTGAACATGATTTGTGATCCTCTCCACTCGAACCCAAATTTTGATCCATACCCTGTCCTCCTTTGGCCGCCCAGGCGTCTCAAAGAGCCGCAACCTGGGAGAAAATGTGCAAAGCTGTCATTCCAAGGTGCTGGAGTCAGAGGTGAAACAGCTTGGACACTGGCGTCACCGCGCAGGAAGTGTCGGTGTAGAGGATATACCAATCCTGAACAACACCATTCAATACCGGGTTGAAAATGCCAAGTTTGTTGACCAAACTGCCGCAAATCCACTCGCCTAAAAGACAACGATTCACATCCATTCGATTCAGCAAAAGCGACGGAAGCCTCCTTTCCAAAGCTGAAGTAACTTGTTCGTGCTGCCTGGGCAAGCACGGTCTCTGGCACAATTGATAAAAAGCAATCAGATGAGTCAAAAAATCGTGTGACACATCCACCCTTCTGCTCCTTTTGAAGGTTTTAATTTCAAGCTCTCCTTCCTCCTTTCCGCATGGCAGTTTCACTTCCAGGGTATGCTTTTGGCCACGTAAATCCCAGCCATTGAAGGGTTTGGTAATGAACAACTTTAAGTGAAACCCATAATATTCATTATTCTTTTTGTCCTGCGCCGACCTGCATTTGCAAAGTGGGTGAGGGCCACGCTTGCAAGCACAGCAGGAGAGCCGTATGGAGCAGGGCTCTGTTTTTGCACGTGCGCAAACCAAATCCAAGCTGTTGGCTACCATCATGGGCTCTTCACCACCAAGGGAAACCTCCAAATGCCATGGGCTCCGACATGCCCAAACAGTCACGGTCATTGCACGCTTCAGCAGTCAAGCATACAGGTTTGTACCACTCAAGGTGTATCTTTAGATCTATAATATATATATATATATTTATATATACATATGTATCCTGGATATATCATCATGTACCATATACATTTCTTTATCTATCGACATCAGGCTTCTCCAGGAACAACTTTGATGACGAGACTCGTGAGCTCACTGGCTTTGGCGCCTTCTCGATTGCATAGGATTGCACTTTGGCAGTGCGAGCACTCACCTGAAACCAGCGCTGAAGCTACTGGATCTTTGATATCTCCTGAGCGGAGATGTACCTAGAGTCCTCATTGGTTTGGCCTACATCACTGTCCAGCGAGCTTTCAAATCTCCTCGTGACTTCGAAGTTGCGAGATTGAATCTCTTGAAGTCTTGTGGCATCTGACCACTACTTTCTATGATTCATGGTTCCTGGCCCTTGCGTGACTCATCACCCAGTCTTGCTTCCTCCCACAACAATGTAACCATGCTCCCAACTGCACTCTGCCTTGGGCAAAGCTTCTAACCAGCGTCTGCCTGTGAAGGTTTGAAAGTTCGCAGAGAAAGTGGGAAACAAATGGAAACAGGCATGGCATCATGGCATAAATCATCATAAGTCAGTGATAATTGATAATCATCAGACAGTACATCCAAAATACTCGACCTTTCCGCCCCATTGGCGCCTCTGCCGACGGCCTGTTGCAGAGGGAACAAATCACTGTGGCAACAGCACATCCAAGCATCCCTTTTCACCATGGGCTATGTCTACTTTACACTTTTGAAAAGGACTTTCAATACAATACAAATTAAATACAAATTATATACATTTTGTTAGTGTCAAACATCAAATCCCAGCAACAAAAGGTCGAATGAACGGCAAACGCCTCTCCGCGCCGTTTCCACCGCAACGCTTGCCGCTTCGGCCGGGCCAACTTGCGCAGCAGCTGAGGTATCTGCAGCATACGTGTGATGTCACTGCCCAAAACCCCAACATCCTGACCACCCAGGAATGAGAAGTTTAGGGATACCGGGATACCTCAAAACTGCATTCCTTTGAATCTGTTTTTGGAGTTCCAGAACTGACCATCTTTCGTTTCAGCAGTGCCTGTACAGCTGGGCCATCAAAGCCAGCCTGAAGCAAAAACATGTAATCTGACAATGTCAGACCTGTTTTCCAAGTGGGTGTCCAAAGGAGGAAATCTTCCTTGGTCCTTTTGCGGCAACCAAATCATGAAACACTGGCCTTAAGCTGCTCCTGCCCAAACCACAGCATCTTGCAGGGCAAAGGCCTGGAAAGCATGGCGCGCATGGTGCGCACGTAAGATCTTCTACTGTAAAAAGCTTCTGCAATGAAGAGATGTGAAGAGTAATTCACGGCTGACTTTTTGACCATGGCTTCCAGCTATGGAAAGGAAGCAGGTTGTGATTGTAAAGGACTCGCATGTCAGCATGGCTCTCAAAAAGCACTCCAGATCAGATCCCCGTTGTAAGGCCATGGCGTGGGATCAGAGATTGGGGCCAGCCAAGATGGGTGCGGGCCAAGCCTGGCATTGTCTGAATCGGAGTTGTCAAAGCCCCCCAAGTCGTCCAAGTCCAGTCCCCTCCGGGTGGAGGATCGCAGTGTCGATCTGAATTCAGTTGCACGTGTTTCAAATGTCTTTGACTTGCGTCGGACTTGACCTGTCCTTATCCTCTAAGCCTCGGACTGTTCTTCAAAGAACTGCTGCACTGCGGTCAAACCTGTCTGTGTGACCTGCCAGCCGAAATGATTTGTTGCCGTGAGCTAGATAGCTTGATGGTCAACATTCGACTGAGAAACCAGCGTCCAGGGGATATGCGGATATGCTTCGTTTGTTTGGCATCAGTTGGGAATCACGCACTCCGTCACCCCACGAGGGTTTTTTTGCATCTCAACACATCCGATTTTCCTCCGTTGATCTGCACCTAAGCTCCATCTTCAAAGCTACGCTTAGCCATGGCACTGAGTGCTGTCCTACGCCTTTTGGTTCAAGGGAATGATCACATGGGATGCAACCAGCAATGCGTGGAAATGTTACCTTTGTCTGGTACGAGTACAATTGCTGAAGGCCCCGGACAAAACGTGTCACAAACCGACAAGTTTTCCCTAGCCAAAAGGCACTCTTTCACACAAATATTGGCGTGAGAAGATTGTCGGAGTCGGCGAAAAAACGACTCAGAGTTCTTTGTCCTGATCAGCCACTGCATACGTCACGCAAAGGGTACATAAGGGTACTGTGTAAATGGTTGCTGAACTTGAAAGCATGTCAGCAGCAAACGGTGATGTGATATTATGTCCTTCTTCTTTTTCTTGCCCTTCTTCTTCTTCTTTTCACCACCACTCTTCTCCTGATGAGAAATGGTCGCTGCTCGAGTGCCTGACTACAACCACCTCGCCCGAATGGACAAAGAGCTGTCTGTGCAACTTCAGTCCCGCAAGGCTCTGTGTCATAAAGCTCCCTAACTCGTGACCCTCCCCTCCAGTCCTTCTCGATTGCATCCATGGCAGCTTTCCTATCTCAAGATATCTGATAGCCAACTTGCGAGGCAAACAAAATGCTCAAACCCTTCAAGGCTCTATCGCCTACTATCGCTGCATGCAGACGTGAGAGAAGTTCATAGTTGTGATGGTCCAGTGAAGTGCAGCTAATCAAAGTGTTGCTGGACGTTCAATTCAGCTGGAAGCTGCCAAAAGAAAAATGTCACAGCCTTGCCTGGCCGCCTTCTTTTTCGCACGCCATGCAGCCTTTTCTGCATCTACCTCACAGGCACTGCGCACGCAGCAAAATTGAATCAAACTAGTTCCATTGCCGTGTTAAGAGAAGTCCATGTTGACTCGTCCACTCGTGCCTGTTTGAGAATTAATGTTTACGGAAAGGAAGAAATGAGATTACCAAGTGGTTGTACGACATGGTAAATGAAGTAATTAATGAGATTTCGCAATGACCAGTGCTTGTGCTAGACAATACATTATCCAAGACTCCCTGTTGCTTCAAGGGCTCGCCTCTTCATCGTCATCTGCCTGCCACGCATATTTAGGTCCGAAACTTCCAAAGTAATTGTGTACACTTCGAAGGGTTTTTCGAGTTGAGCTGCAAGTATTCCGCATAGAAGTTGGACCCAAGTACAGCAGCTTCCGCCAAGGTGGTGCAAGTAAGATTCACAAGCCGTACAATTGAAAGCCGGATGCCAGCGCTTCTTGCAGCAGGCACTACTATCCTCTTCCCCCATGGCACCTTCTTTGGCAACGTCCCAGCGCAGCCTGTGCTTAGATCGCTGGCGCTTGTCCATTGCGTCAGGCAGGTCATGGTGTCGCCGTGGAAAAACCTCAGCACGGCTTAATGTAGGCATGTAGGCAAATCGATCCATCCAATGGTGGAACAGACCGCATGGATACAGCAGCACATGTCAGCTTCCAAACAGAGGAAAATTCAAGCGTCCTCATAGCGTCATAGCAATCAACACAAAATCTTTGATTTGCATCTTTGAGACCTAGTTTCCCAGATTTCGGAGGCGGCTTTCTCAATAGGTCGAAGCTCTACTGAAGTGTACGTAATCTGTTTCATGAGGTACTGTTAAAATCTATGGGGTGACTGATTTATCCGAACCAAGAACAAATGCTCCAAATGTCATAGTGAAAGCTGCAAAGGCCTTCACGGTTTTTAAAATAGTCCCTTTATACTGCTTACGGCTGCTTACGTGGAAAGCCTGAACCCAACTGTCAGACTTGTGCAATACCAAATTCTGGACCCACCTCTCCATTGCCCCGGCTTTTGCACGTCAAAAAACATCCCCTGGCAAAAATTCTCGATCTCGGACTCACAAGCCTCATTCACCTTGATGAAGTCCTGCCATGGACCCTATGGAGCCTATGGCACCTGCGCAATCTCTTCCAAGGACTCACAGGATGGCTGTTGATGGTTCTTAATGGCTATTCCTGGATACTAATGATACTGATGGCTAATCAATGGCTAATTAGTGACTAATTAGTGTGATTAATGGTTGCTCCTTGCACCCTGCAGATAGCTCAAGAGGCTTCTCCTGAGTCACAATGTGTAAGGTTTCTGCGGGGGTTGGTTCTGTCCAAAAATGGGATAGCCACATAAATGGCGATTTTGATTGAGAAAATGATCTTAAATCATAGGATGATGTTTAGCATTGTTTTTTCTTTCTTGGTCCCATCGAACGTTGTTGGAATCTCGAATGCTAGTGTGACAAAGGCGTAAGTCAACAAAAAGCCAAGAGCAACTGTGCAAAGGGACTGCTGCAGAAGGTGATGGTTTTGGAAGATTCGATGATTTTTAGAGTTTGTACCTTCCGTGGATTTAAAACAGCTATTCATGCTGGGCACCCAACCCCAGGTTCCAACTCACGTGGATTGCCATCGATGTCGGTGAGCTGGGCCAGCGTGCTCAACTTTAGGAAAAATACCAAGCACTGCATGTTGGCGGTTAAACTACCATTTTCCCGTGGTTTTCCCATGGTTAAGAACTGCAACTGCATGTCAAGGTTTTCAGAAGACCTCATAAAGTGTGAGATAGGCAAACACAGGTTGCACGGTTGCACAAACCCTCTGCAAAGTATCAAAGCAGAAAACGGCCTGGTGCTTGGAGGGATTCTGCAAGCACTCCCCTATCTCCTGAGCAGTCAAATAATTCGACACCATGATTCTTGCCACACTGGTCCAAAAAGACCAACAAGAACAATCACCTGATATCACTTGCAATGTTTCAACGCACAAGCCGGAGATGAGTGCAGAATCCACAGTAACTTTGCAGCGATTGTGGGAAAAATTGCCTTGCAGAAGAATCCCCTTCCAGGTGGCCCCACCTTGCCGATGCTCATAGGGCAAACCTGCCCAGCTTCATCATCGCAAGGTGAGAGCGCCTGCCAAGAACCACTTTGCTGAATGGAAATCAATGGAAGATCTGAGTGTCAGTCCAACCTTGCTAATGACGTCGCATATCATTGCCATCATCTGGGCATTCGAAGTATCTATTAGGTGTGAACCATGTGGTTTCCCCCGCTAGTAATCAACAACCACTTTCACTTCGGCGCGTCGCAGCGTGTACACCACTGGACCATACTGGATTGTGATAATCTCAACATATAAACTAGATGTTATCCTTGCAGCTGGTAGTTTAATCCCGGATGTCAGGTAGTATCACGGGATGTTATTATACCAATCATATAACTGATGGTTTTCCCACACAGTATGTTTGATGGTTAAACCCCATCATTTACATAATCATCAACAATTGAATGATGATTATTTCGCTACAATCCAGAAAAATTAACCAATCATCAACCAGTTGGGTTGATTGAAACTGCAGCTTGGAATCCATGAAACATTCCCGTGAAATAGCTGCTTAGATCCTCCATTGTGTTCCCATTTGTGTTATGGTTAAATCCCCTCCCAATCACATGCAGCCATGAAATCCCCAATAAGTCCCCATTATATCCTCCACTAACAATATTGTGGTTGCATTCACCAATATGAAAATCCCCATGAATAAGCAAAATCCTCATGAATTTCCATCTTAAATCCCCCTTAATTAAATCCCCATTAAAATCATGTAAAATCCCACATGTTTTGATGTTTAAATCCCCATGAAAAATCGAGAAATTCAGCTCACCCGCTCCACCTGCACACTGGCACAGAGCGCCAGCACGCCCAGGCGCCACATCTGGCGTCACGTCGTTCGAATGGAGGATACCAAGATACCCACAACATGGCCATAGTTCACTCGCAAAATGGCCAGGTTTGAATCGAACATCAGTGAAAATGTGATTCCTCATGATGATTGAGTCATGGAGTCATGACTATTGAGATGTTGAGATATTGAGATGTTGAGATATTGGTGATTCTTATGATTGGTGTTTCATGGTGTGTCCATAGATCTTTTTCGGAGACCCAAATCAAAGACCTTTCAGCTCCAGCGACTCCAGCCTCCACAGGTGCCCGTAGAGTGGGGACTTGAACCAAAGAGCTGCAAGCGAGCCAATGGCCAACTCATGTCGGATGATTCATCTACAGTAGATAATCAATGATAATATATGAATATATATGATAATCATATACTTCATCTACTCAATCTACTCTATTCCGTAGCACAGGAGTGGGCATGATGCGGCATGAGCATCAGCTCACCTCATGAAAGCCAGCTGCTTCGCTTGCATAGAGATTGTGGGCATCTCCATGCGCATAAAACGCCGTCTCCACCTACCCGCACAATCCGCACAATCCATGGACGTTGGCAGAACAGATCATGCTTTTGAAACTGCCTGTTGCTGAGATGTGCCTTACACATTTTTCACAAGCCCCAAATAGATGCAAGAGGTGGAAACACATCAGGAAACATACATCCTGGAAAAACTGTTCCATTGGGGGGTTCCAGGGGAAATGACTGTAGGTCGCAGTCGTGACTCTGTGGGCGTTCCTCGATCACCGACAAAATCCCAATCGGCGTCACCGGCGTCACCTCTGCAAATCCTTCACGACCACCAGCTATGGGGAAGCAATCATGCGAAGTCAAAAGGATTGCCTTGAGACAGGGCCAAACAGCTTGCGGCTTTGCAGTGGCCTATGACATTATGAGCAAGCCTATGGAACAAGCGGAACTATGAGAACACTAAAGAGATGCAAAGTGCTTTTGCCAAAACTAAGAAAAACTAAGAACGTGCATCTTGTGGCAGAAATATCATTCACAGCCACAACATGTTGGATGCTTGCCACTTAAGATACTTAAGACTCATGATCGTTATCAACACGCAAAGATTTGCCAAGGTCATTCCCAACCAATCCCATGCTGAGCACGATGACAGTAGCTTTGGGAGCTCGTGCACGCAGCAAATCAGGCTTGTCTATGCCGTGCCTCAAGGAAATTGGAAGAGAAATGATTGCAACCCATGTCCCTGCTGTCCCTGCTGTCCCTGCTGTCCCTGCTGTCTGTCCCACCTGTCTGAAACGCCAAATGCCAAGTCTGTAACTTTGCCATACCCCAAATGATCTGCTCAGCGTCGTAGTTGCCTTGTTTTCGCAGGCTTTGGTGTTGCTCAAGCTGGTTGTGCAACGACTAGGCACGAATCGCACTCTTGTCTCAGATGCGGGAAAGATCAGCGTGCTTTTACTGTCCAAGGGTCTGGTTCTATCCATGCCATTTCTGGGTGACTGACAAGTGCCTTCTTCCAATTCTCGGCCTCACAACTCTGTTGCTAGCAGAACTCTGTGCCTCTAAAGCCTCCTGAGACTCTCTGCCGAAGAAGGTGTGATTTCTGCACTGGTGGGATGGTAATGGCCAATCTGTCTAACTTTTCAGTTTGTCTCTGATGACAGCCTCTGAATATCTGAGATCGTGCCTAGCGTGGAGAAGTAGCATGCCACAACCTTCAGAAATGCATAACAAGGCAGGCTATGTTCACCCTGAACATGAAATGCATGCTGCTGTCCGATTTGTCACTTGATGATCAGATTAGATGATGGATTGAATCTACAATCCAAACATAGGCCACTGGATCTTTTACAACTGACCTTTTTCTTATCTCGACTTCTCCGCATTTGTCCCACTGATGGACGTGTTTTCAGACCCGAAAGCAAGTCTTGCAGGAGAACTGCTCCCAGGCAGCAAATTGGTCTATGTATGTGTATATATATATATACAATATTTATATTTATATATATATAGAGAGAGAGAGAGATAAAATAAGAGGAAGCTACATCAGGATGCCCATCTTAACAGGGTCCATAATCTCCAGTGCATGGCAAATTTCAGAGCCTAGGATGAAGTCAAATCCCAACTGCGCTCTGCAAAATTGCAAAATCTAAGCAGATTGACTGCTGCAGTCACTCGATCATCGACGGCACCCAGGTAAGCGGTCATCGTGCCACCGCCTCAGCTGTGCATCATTGGAGGTCACCACTGCAGATGCAGAGGCTTCCGAGGCTTCCCAGCTGAGAGACTGACCACTGCAGCCAACAACTCCGATGCTTGATGCGTTCACGAAAGGCAGGTCCTGAGCTGAAGACATAGGATTATCAACCTCTGTTCAACATGCGGAGCCGATTGACATTCCATCCATCAAGATCATCAAGTACTCTTTGGGCGATCAGAGGTTGGATTTTAAAAAACCAAGTACTCTGACAAAGAGCTTCGTCTTCGAAAACAAAGTTGGAGTTGAGCCCGGCTCCGTCAGGATGTCCAACGCTCGCTGTGCATCGCCTCAGGTTGCAGATGAAGCAACGTCATGCAAGAATATGTAAGATGGCTTCGAAAAGCCACAGCAGCTTTAAAAATCTTTGAAACATGTTTATCATTCAAAACCAAAAATGTCTTCAAGCAAGTTCAATCGTAGATCCAGGGCCATGGCGAACGAAAAGCTCTTCAGCGCCAAGTCCCAGCAACCAGAGCTGCTGACCTTGGGTGTTGAGAGATGTTGAGAGTGTTTATTGAAATGTTTGACCCCAAAGCAGAATACAGTCTGAGAAGTTACCTGCTAAGCAAGTGCTAGTGCTTTGCAGAGTTTGCTGACAATTTTCGGCTGGACAAAGCTTGAAATCTCTAGGGTTCACGTGGTGCTTTTCTGATAGTCTCTTTCCGCATTGTTCATTGCTCTGGCGCAGGAAAACGTCAGGAAAGCGCTATTGGCAGATGCAAACCTTTGCTGCATTTGAGGATGCTGCCAAAGTGGTTGTGTGCTTCAGAGCAGGGAGGGCCATCCTGCTGCCAGCCAAGGTTCGGGTTCTTCAGGAACTCAAGTCAACATCTGGAGGACGTTTGTGACATGCCAAGTGGATTCGAAACATGGTGGCTGAGACTTTGACTCCCTTGCAAGGTGGCATTTGACCTCAGTTCTCACGGTATGTCATGCTACTATATGCTACTGACATGGAAGCAGTGCTTTGTCATGCCTTCAGTTGCCATAGTGTCATTTTGAGCGTTTCCAGAGGAGACCTTGGGGATTTCTGCCCGTGCCCGCCCAACTTCCATCCACATTTTTCACTCACCGTGGAGTTTCGGCGCTGAGGTTGTATGCTGCACCTTTGGCATACTTTGTTGAGAGATGTGATACAAAGTACAGACAAATACGACGAGGACACACAAGATCTTAATCACGTCAGAGGCACTCACCCGAAACGGTTGCTGTCGGTGACGCCGGACTATATAAACCAGAGCTGCCAAAGCTAAAAGGATCCACAGGCATATCTCCCAAACAGGCATCTCCTTGTCTGGAACTCTGGCACGAAGATGGTAAATGACCAAGAGAAATGTTCCCAACCAAGCCAGCAGCACAGAAAAGTAAAGTCGAGGACTTCGGGTCACCATCTCCAGATTGTCTTCAGCTGCTTGTTCCTCCGGTTTCCAATCTGTGAAAAGACTGCCTCCTCGAAGAAAGACTGCGCGTGCATGTGAATCATCAACATCTTCACCAACTTCTTCGAAGAGAGAAGCACTTCTCGTGACCTTCAAAGTAAAATGCCTCGGAGCTTTGCCACGCTCCCAGGTCTCAGTCTCTATAGGTGTACGATTCCTATGCTGAATCTCGATGTCCCCTTCGACTTCCCGGTAGGTTTCTTCGTATTTCTGCCATATCTCGAAATTTGTTGGATCTATCCGAGTCGCCTCTCGAAACTCCTCATAGGCAGCACGGAGGTCCCCACGATGCAAATGCCCCAGACCAATTTGGTAAAAGTCTGTGGCTGAGACGGCACAATCCATGACACCAATGACGTTGCTGTGAAACCATATCCAATTCAATTTCAATCTCTCTTGATTCGAACCAATGGACCAACGAGCATGAGAAACATGATAAACATGTTCAGTTCCTTACAGCCTCAAGATTGTAACATGGGCGCGAGTTGGAGAGGATGGTTCAATGACCAATACTCCCTAGGGTATCCTAGCATAACCTCTAAATAGCAACTATGCCAGATCCAATCTGTTGCACCTAATTAATCGCCCAACAAGGTGATTAAGCACCGTCTGTGCGGAGCCACCAAAATCGCTGGGGTAACTCCGGCACCAAACGGCTGAAAGCTTTTCTCAGCGCACAGCGTTCAGAGATGTTCGCCTTCCTGCAAACCCTGCAAACCCTCCTTTAGGAGTGGTTGGGATGTGTGTTAGTCCGGCAGAGTCAGAACAACGTCGTTGCGCCCTAGACTCAGTCTACTGCTACAATGACACTTAACTACACTGACAGTCTTTACATCGCTCCAAGCGACTCTGCTTCTTTTGCATGGAAGCTTCACTGATGGCTTGACAGCTCAGTCATAACCTGCAGGCGACAAGTTAAACGCCACAGGCCGCCAAAGGGAAATGTGTCGTTTATCAATGATGATAATAATTGAATATAATTGATCTTCATTGACATGGTGAATTTCAAGACCATCATTCTGTCACATAAAAAAAATTGCCATCCAGTTGATCATCCACCACATCACGCTGCCAACTCCCATTGCAGATTGCATCAACGGCCCCGTTCCAAACACAGCATAAAAGGAGCGTGTACATACTGAGTCTACGACTCCAAACCAGTGCGAGTCAAAATTGTGCACCCTTAAAACCGAATAAAACCGACAGATTCCCTATTATTGAGAATAGGCCATGTGGGTGGATTCAACCAGCACATTCAGTCCAACCTGTTTGGATCACGGCATTCTGTAGGGCCTCATCGTCATACCTTGGCTCACTAGAAGCACTAGATGCTTGCAGTGAACTGCTGTGATGGAGGTTCGTTATGAAGGTTTCTGCTAGTTCAGAAAGAATAAATGGAAGAAAGAAAAACTCTTGCAAAGGTAGGAGAACGGGTGCTAAAGTCTACGTGGTGCCAAAGTTTCCCTGCATTGGATTGTGATTCCTGGGAAGCACATGAAGGCGAATTCTTTCGAGTGCGCGATGCTGCCAAAGTACTCACTGGTATGAGCTCGCAATCAACATCTGATGCCTACGAAAATCGGGCAACATGAGGATCAGTGTCCTCTTCATTAGGTCCATTCAATGATGGTTTGTAAATCTTGGTCATCACACTGTGCCATTCTGCTGTGTCCTAGCAAATACTGTGATACTTCTGAAAACTAAGATCTCTATATTGCAGTCATCCATGTGGAACAGCAAATCAATGATATTCAGGTGGAAACCTCATCACAAAAGTGGGTTCCGCAGAGTGCCTTGCAGGTTTCTGTGAGGTGTTTCTCAGCTTCATCCTCGTCCTGGCATCACACAGTTTTTTCCATTTCTGGTGCTGCTGTTGCTCATCATATATTTCAGTCCACTGCAATGCATTCTTCATTTCTGAGTCCCATGCCACTTGCTTGAGGTGTGCCATGACCTTGGTTCGTTGATGCTCTTTTTGCAGCTGTTGCCTGGTCTCCACGTTCAGCTGAGTGGCTGCGTCACCATCAGCTGCATTGCCGGTGTCGGAGTAGACATGGATTTTGTACGCACACCGCACATTGCCTTCAGCAGCTTGCACTGACATTGAGATCAGTGTCCAGTGGATGACAGCTGAATTGAGTGGTTCCACGTGAGTTGATAGTTGATTGGATCGTGGCAAAAGCCCCCAAAAGGATTCTACTTGTACTTCTTAATTGTGAATACTGCACTCTTGATTGATGTGATTTCATGTGCATACTGATACGGATATCCTTTATGCCTTTTGACTGTATGTAGCTGGCTCATGCCGCAAAGCATTTTGCTCTCGTAGGCAACAAAGCATCTCTGGAAACTTAAACCTGATGTGCATGCACTCTTTGGCCAGTATTATAGGAGAACGCAATCACAAATGGCATGGCAATGGTTTCTGCAGGTTGTAAAGCATCCAGCAAGTGATCTGCAGTCGCCTTTGGATTTCTTCTGCCATTCAGACTCCAGTGGTCGGTGTGGGACAGATAAGCTGACCTGAACATGGAGCATGGTAACAATTTCAACAACCAGGTGGAAAGCACCTGAAAGCACAAGATTGCAAAAGCAAGCTAAAACCAACAGTGACCCTATTGCTGTTTGACTACATCGTTGAGAGTGGTCCTGCCGTGTCTATTCTGATCTGAGCTTCGGATCACCGAACAGTTCAAGCCATCTTCAATGATGAGGTATCAATTCAGAAAACGAGTTGCATTTGCGACTGATCCTGTACCCAGATCCCTGAATTCGTCCGAATTCTACTCAATGCCGCAGCGCCCGCAATGCCTCTACATGCTTCGCATCAACGTGCGCTTTGGCAGCCTGGAATGCGATGCTGAGATTTGCTGAGGAGTTCCTCCACTTACACATCTTGTCTTTTCTTGTTGGCTCGTTCCGCACAAGTAGACGCAATAAGAACGACGTGGGATCTCCATTCTGCATCCTTGTCAGCTTGTAAGACCTCTCCCTAAACAAGTAGGTGCAGTCTGAAAAGATACATCATGCATCGTGTTGCAAAGACTCTGTGATAGTGCAATTCGTGATCAACAAATCACAAACAAGCAGTTGAGATCAGTTGAGCAAGGTGGGAAATTCACACAACTTCAGAAAGCCAAGAAGCAATCAGATCCTTGATGACCGTATTAGCTTTGGGATTGGCCACAAAGTCGTCAGCACCAGGCGTATAAAGATACAGGTTGCCTCAACAAGCATGGCTACAAGTTCTGCGGCTCCTTCCTTAAGGAATTCATACGGTTCACACTCGACTATCATAAGGTTTGACAGTCTTAATCTTAATGCGTTTCAAACTCTTTGGAAACTTGTTGCAAGAGATTTCCTTGAACGAAGGAATGCATTTAATGACCATGAACTACGGCTGCCAAGCAAGGTATATAACCCAACAGCAGTAGGAGTTCCAGGGTTCCAGTTTCCATTCTGTTTTTGAATGCCTGGCATAGAAGCACTGCAGCCATTGAAAATTCAAATGCCAAGGTTTCTCCTGTCAACCTTTTGAAACAACTATCTGACCAGACTCACCCCCGCCTTCAAGTCGCAGGACCTGCTTACCGTGATCTTGAGATGAAACAATGCAGATTCAGACCCTGTCCAGTTTGGAAGAATACACTACAAGTTTCATTTGAATGGTTTTTGCTCCACTTGACCAGACTCCTAACTGACATCAAACTTGGATTGTTGCCCAGGAGGGCTAGATCAGTGAGGCACAATATATATATATATATACTACATATATATATATACATACATATACATATACAGGAGCTATGTTCCCCGCCCCCCCCTGTGGGTGGGTGGGGGGGGATAGTAGTAGTAGTAGTAGTAGTAGTAGTAGGAGTAGTAGTAGTAGGAGTACTAGTAGTAGGAGTACTAGTAGGAGTACTAGTAGGAGTACTAGTAGGAGTACTAGTAGGAGTACTAGTAGTAGTAGTAGTAGTAGTAGGAGTAGGAGTAGGAGTAGGAGTACTACATCATCCACCGACTGTCCAAAGTGTTACCACAGAACTAGAGGCTGCTGCCCTGCCTCCACTTCCTTCGGGCCTGTTGTGTGTGTGTGTGTGTTTTAGGTCCAAACATGGCCAAATTCCTTTGTGAGCCGCATGATAATCATGATACAACTATATAACATCAACTAACTCTGCTTAGATCAAATTGGTTTTGATTCTATCTGTTTTAAGACAGCCCTTCTATTTTTACCGCTGCGGCTGCTCTGCAAAACAAACCACCAGCATTCGAGAATGACAGCAAGTGGAAGCCTTGATTCGTAGTCTTAGTTCTCGAAAATTTAATAAGTGAATTTAAAGTGCGCGGTTCCAGATGAAATCGTGCTGCACTGATTTAAGGCCCGCCTGCTGCTTGCGCGGCCTTGGCCAATTTCCACTGATGCTTTGCATGCGACTCGTCAAACTAAAGTTGATGTAAAGTCGGGGCTTGTGTTGAAGCTCCAATGGTCCAGTGGTGGCATTTGTAGAAAACCAGCGTGCAGCCAAGCATCTGTGAGATTTCCGAGAGCAGTCTCAACAGATGCGTCCTGGCGAGCCGCAACTGTTCCCTCTTTGAAGCCCCGCCCCAGTAGTGAGATCACACGCGATTCAGTTCGCTTTTTTGAGCACATCTTTGACACTATGTTTCGTATTGTTTCGTTGTAGCTTCTCAAGTGGGGCTATAAAAGCATGCTCAAGCAGAAAGCGCTTCAGAGGTTTCAGAATGGAGGGAAGATTGGCAGCAAATGTTCCATAAAGCCACCAGACTATGACTATGAATTGCACACATGCTATGTGCCTCAGAAGAGGTCAGGTTGCCCAAGACACCTCGGGCAAACAATGCAGACATTCTGCTTGGTTCTGAACCACCAACCCTGAGACTCCCAGTGTTCCCTGGCAGAGATGGTGTCAATGCTTTAGGTCGCCGGACTGCTAATGGTTTTGGGGTCGGCCTTCACCTGGTGAAGCTGCTGCGATGCGCGGTTGTTTCTCAACATCTTCGGGGCTGGAGTAGCAATGTAGACACGCCAGGCCTCTTCTAGGTATCGTTTGAGTGCCTCAATGTCCCCTGAAGCTGCGTACCGCGCCACCTTGCACCCAGGCCATCGGTTTAATTTGTTCAGTACTTGGGTCCCAGTTCTTGTCCACGGTGTCAGTATACCCTACTAGGCATATGATTGATCACGGATCAGAGTTAGGGGAGTTCAGAGATCCCTGCAAATGTTCCATCCTCCGCATCGCGAGCCGCTAGCAAGGACATGCCAGGACTTCATCCTATCTCAGAAAAAATCCCTGCCTGCTGTGCAGTTTCAGCAGTCATTTTCGGCGGCGCCACCTTTACAGTATCTGCTGCGGTTGCAGCCTCTGCAGCTGCTACCTCTCAGCAGTGGTAACTCCAAGGTCTGAAGAGTCCAAGCATGGTAAGCTAAGAGTTGCTACAGTCGCATCTTGCTCCTTCGACTTTGCTCTCTAACAAGTCACAGGTTCCTGGTTTCTCAGTACAAATGGCAAAAAGAATCTACGAGAGAATTAACTTGCAGCTAGCTTGTAAGTCTGAAAGTATTGCCCCCCACAGAACCTCCACACCAAATGCTAACCAGCCTGTGAGGCAGCTAGGCTGTCAAGGATACCTTCGGCGCTCTCTGACAATACCACGTCATGAAAAGTCTCCACTTGCCAAGCTAGATCCAAGCGATACTTCTCCTGTCTAATCCCGATCAAGACACAGGCAGCAATGAAAAAGAAAACCAGCATCATAAGATCTCAACAAAGGTTTTATATGGTCTTATGCTGCTTTACATCTCAAGGATATAACTTTTCCACTACATCAAATCAGACAAAAAGTACGCAAATGCTGACTCCAAGCCTTTGAAGTAGTTTGGATTCACTCCGGCCTGCACAGGCAGATTGCATAAGACTCACACAGTTGGTACGAAGAACCTTCCTGACACTTGACCCTGAGCATTTCATGCTCAACACAGAAAACAGTTTCCAGACAAGCCATGTCTGTACCTCCTGAAGATATTTTTGCAACGCATCATAGTCTCCAGCAGCTGCAAGTTTAGCCACCTGCACCATGTTTGCACATTTTTTGGGGGGGGGTCCGATCCTCCAATCCCCCTTTTGCATCCTTTTGCACGATGACGAGTACTTTTCCAACATCTGGAAGTATGACTCACACCAGCATTTTCTGCCAATGCAAAGAACATGGAAAAGAAAACTGAGAATGTCATGACTGTCAAGTCATGGCTGCTTCATCACAGGCAGAATTTCTGGCCTGATGCATGAGCTCTTGGGATATCGGTGCTGATGTCGTTGTCTCTGCGGCTGCCCCCGTTTCAGCAGTTCTTGTATCATCAGCTGAGTTGATTGTACTTCCAGCCGTGCTGAGAGGAGCCGCAGGAGCCGCAGTTGGCAGGTCTGGACAAAGCGGTCTTTCAGGGACCTTGGACGATGCCATCGGCTTGAAGACAGACCTTTTTTCAAGCGTCCTATTTGACAAACCTTTGGTAGCGTCCCCCACAACTTCGATGCAAACCAAGGATAGACAGAGCAATGAGTTTCAATGTGCAACCAAGAAACAACATAGCATTCATCTTCATCGATGAGATCCTGGTGCCACATGCAACATGCACAACGCTTGGCGATCCCTGAAAGTTGATTCGTGCTTTTGAAGCTGGAACTAAAGAAAACCATAAGAAGAATTAAGATGAATTAAGGGGATATAGGCTGATATAGGCTGATACCCCCTCAGCTTGCCTCTTTGCATGGAAGTCCACCAAAGCGCTCGTTCTCACGAAGCCTGGACTGTAACTCAAAGCGCTTCCAAGTTTTCGAAGACTTCCTAGACCTAGACCTCCATGGCTTTAGAACAGCTCGTACCCACAGTACCTGTGCAGTTCCGACTTTACTGCAGGCCGTTAGACACATCCAAAATCTTTATCTGACGAAACGCAGGATCTCCATGGATCTGCCTGGTTCGCATGCGCTTTCCAGATCCACAGGAAGTAGAGCAGCTCTCCCAGTCCCTGTGCCAGTGAGCTGAGTCGAATGGGAGGCTCCAGGGAAGTTGTGGGGCTTCATACAACTTGTCAGCCTCCAATCGCCCAGTTTGCAATCTACAGGGCACGGTGCCTCAAGATTGACAAGAAACTCAAGCTACTACAGCTACCACGGCTGTCTTTCTCTCCACAACTTTGCACGGAATGGCTGAGGAGGTCTTGTTTTGCAAGGGAGAACAAGATATTTTCGGCAGCAAGAAACGATAAGAAACGAAAGAAACAAGGAGAAAGACGCAAGTTCAATGTGAGTCCAAGGGAAACAGAGAAAATCATGGAAAGTGTAGATCAATGATGATCAATGTCTTATCTACAGCGGAGAAGCATCGTCCGTTGTTTACAAAATATACTTAGCTCTCAGGCTTGACTGCAAGGTCAGCACATACTGAGAAACCAACGTCAGAGCATTCCAAAGTTTCTGTGAGGCTGCTAGGGCCTTGAGGGTGAATCGGAGATCATTGGGATGTCTTGTGTCTCTTTTGAGTGTCTCTTTGGTAACAGTGGCGTTGGAAAAATGTCGCCAAGGCACATGGAACTCCACCAAATGCCTCAGAACCAGGTTTTTTCTGGTTTTTTCTCACGGCTTTGAAACGTCAGAAACTGCCAGAAACGATAGAATTCTGTGCTGATCCGATTGCAACCAAGGTGCAGATTCAACTTGGGCGATCCTGAACCTGTTTGCACTGTGCGTGCTATACCATGAAAGTTTTTTGCTATCTTCTGGTTGCATGTTCAACGACCTAGAAGACATGTTTTTGGTATCCAAAGCAAACCCATCGCACTGTAGAGCCGGAAAAATGATGGGACAAAATTGTCCTGGGAACCTGGTATCTACGTCCTTTTTACTATATATAGTTCCCTTTGTTCCCTTTGTTTCCTTTCCTGCCTGAGATTGACGCCACCACCACAGGTGGTGGAACACCCCGACCAGGGAGACCAATCCGTCACCACACAGTCCACGGGACCTTGGCCGCCAATCTCCACTGAGTCCAACCCTTACCTGGTCCTACCTGGTCCTACCTGGTCCTACCTGGTCCTACCTGGTCCTACCTGGTCCTACCTGGTCCTACCTGGTCCTACCTGGTCCTACCTGGGGTGCCGTGCCTCTAAACTGAAAGACGTTTGTTGCGGACGAGAAGACTTGTTTATTGGTCAATCACCAAATGTCCTCGCACTTCCCAAGATTCTTTTGGACAGAGGATCCACTGGGGTTCAGGCACTGCACTTGGCTACAAGCCGCTTCCTGGAACGACTCACCCGTACATGCAGCACCACCATCACGGCTTGGCTCCAGAACAGTGCCTGGGTCAAGCTGAGGGTCGACTAAGAAACCAGGGACGAATGACTTTCCGTGCCAAGCAACGCTGTCTCGTCATGGTGCCACCCCCGCAAGTCACTGTGCAGCCAGTCCAAGGGCTCCATCTGGGAACGGGCAACTTGAAGGATAGAACGGGCACGCTGAGCAAATGTATGACGGATCTTGACAACGTTCCCAATCAGCTTTTGTAGGCAAAATCATGTAAGTGACAAAACGACACGAAGCCGTGTATAACCCAATCTTATGTCACTATATGATCAGTTACATCAGTACTCTTGTGCGTACAGAAGGCAGGAAATGGATCTTGATGCAGGCATGCCAGGCTGCTTCTGGCTGAACAAATTCAATTGGCAAGTTGCTCGTCCAACTGGCAATCCACTGGACAGGTTTGCCTTGGTGACGATCATGCGTAGAGTCTGTAACTCGGCAGCTATGCAATAGCTGCCTAGATAAGCACAGTTCTGTTGCAAATGCCATAATGCGCTATGGACCTGTGGCAGGGAATGGGGTCATATGGGGTGCCAAGTTCAAACCGTGTCACGTGTTGCAACGAATCTCCTCATTCGTTGCACCCACGCAGGGAAGTCCTCCGTTGGCCTGCTGGGTCACCTCAATGGCAAACTGGAAATGTGGCCATCTATACACGTCAGTCTAGTGGGATGGATGGGCCATGATGGGCCATGATGGGCCATGATGGGCCATGATGGGCCATTGTGCGCCCCAAGTCACAATGGATCGGCTTCTCGTCGCTGCTCCACCACCACAGGTCTGACAAATGCAGCGAGGAGTGGACGATGCACTGCATCTACGTTTCAGTCACTGTTGAGGCCCTAAGAGGAAATTGTCGAAAATCAGGTGGAAAATTCCAGACAGGATGCCATCTTCAAGCCTGGTGACGTCCAGTGATCTCAGCAACTGTGTGAGTCAGACTTCCTCGGAGGCCTTAAAAAGACTCCGCATTTCCATTCTGACTGATCCCGCCTCGCTACAGCTTGTGAAACCGCTCCAGTCACCCAAACGACAATCGACTGGGCAGAGATGATCGTTGCAAACTTCCTGTGCAGGGCAACAGTCTCCCAAAGATATTGGTGGTGGAGCTGAAGACTTGACACAAATTGACGTGATAACGTTATAGAGCAGGAAGGTTTACAAAAGGTGATCAACACAAGCAACGATAACGGCAGCCACAAACACAACAGAGACACCAAGCACAAGCACAAAAATAATAAGAACTGCAAGAACATCAAGAACAGCAAGAACAGCAGCAGGGCCACCGTCAGCCAAGACAACCAGGAAAGAAGGAGGAGAAACTGGTTTTGAGAGTGGCTTACATGCCCATACATTTTCTTCAAGCATGCGCAGAGATATTTATAGAATACAGTGTATTTACCATATGTCCATATGTATTGACAAGTACTAAGTACATGTCCGAACCATCAGAAATCTGTTCTGCATTTGCTAGAGCAAGCGGAAATCACAGGTTGAATGCATCAACCCAGCTCCTCATCCTCTGTTGATCCTTCGCATTCCAAACCACCATGTGCTGGTGCAACCCAGAGGACTCGACTTCTTTTGGCTTTACCTGGTGCCAGATGTGCCCAGATGTGCCAGGAAATCCATGCTACAGCTCAACAATGCTCAACACATATTGTCGGCCTTTGTCACAAGTTGACTATCCTAGCCCCCTAGCCATTTGCCGAGCAGTGTCACCTTTCATAACGGCGGATACACAAAACATCTGCTCCGCCTCCACCACAGGTGGTGGTGCAAGCGTCAAAGTCAGTCCACTGACCCCATTGGCAATCGACTGGACACGGCTGAGCATTGCAGGCCTTGCAGTCTCCATCAGAATTACAGGTGGGAAATGATTGCACTTGCTGGACAAACAACCCAAACAGGCTCGCAGACACAGAGGTTGCTATCAAAAAGTTCTCCAAGATGCTAACGGCCAACGTGTCGAAACCTAGTCTTCTACTGAGGGAGACTGATTTGTTTTCGCCTTTGGAAGGAACTCCTGCCATGTACGCTACAGCCGTTGCTGTCCCTGTGTCAAGCCACGAATTTCCAGCCTGATCCATTGAGGTCACATCAGAACAGAAGTCTCCTGACAAGGTGCAGCCGCGTTCCACCAACGTCGAAGTTGCATGGCTTTGAGTCGCCCTCCTTTGAATATTTTGAATGACTCTTAATAATCTTAATATAAAATCTCAAGAGGAAGCTTGTTTCCGCTCTTTTTCACCTTCAAGTTACTGTGCCTGCATGGATGAGAAGAATGAGTAGAATCATAAAACGTGCTGATCCTCCGAGATGCCAATGAGTCTTGACACAGTCCCACTCCCCACCTCCATACATAGCTGCGATCTTCTCTGTCCTTTCTCTGCTTGACAAGCCACCTATCAGTGTTCAACTGTCGAAGCATAGAACCAAAGCCGTGCATTGCACATTTACATAGATCATCATAGATCTGTATTGACAGGTTTAGAAGGTAACTTAACTGAGCTTAATTGAAAGCAAACGCAACAATGCACCTCCGCATGACTTGGAACAAGTAGTCCATCGTGACCAGTCGCCCAACTCGCAGTGCACCTGAGACGTCAAAAAAAAATTATTTTCCACGTGATACTAATAGTGTATGTAATTAGATTGTAATAGACTCTAGTCGTGTTATGTGTTGCTGGAGAAGTGTAGCTGTCTCCGAACCAAACGGGATGATGCGAATCACATTCGAGGTTTCTCCATTTCAAAACATGTCTTCAAATGAGCTCAGATTCCAGCGGGGCAGGGCGCTACATCGCAAGGCTTGTTGTCTTGCATCTGCGGATCTGCACACTCCTGAAGCTACCAGTAGGCGGGGTTGAATGAAGACGAAGAACCCAATACATGACCCTATATTTTCCATCTGTCAGTCCTTGCCGCCATATGCCGCAAAGGTGAGGGAGCGACTGCGGACATGAGTGCCATTCCCGCAGCTTGTCGAGCCTCATTGATTTATGGTTTGAAACCAAATAGCAAACCGTCGCAGGCAAATGATAAGCTGAGAAAATGCCGTAGTCGTCACAGCATTTGTTTAAACAGGCAAGTCACAATCAGACCATGGGGCCCAATCCTGGCATCTGTGAGATGGTCTGTTCGGGGAAATGTGACGATGAACTTGGAATTTGGACAGCCAACTTTGGAATCAGGAAGTAGAGCTGTTCAGAAACGTGTTCAACTCCAGCAATGCCATGGTGTCCACTCCCGCCTCCAGGAAGCAGTCCAAAGGACACGGACTGAGCTCACACACAGCCACGTCGTCCTCAAAGGGCTGCATTGGCGTTGGGATTCTGCAGGGTTTAATGGACTGCAAAGCACACCCCTCCGTGCAGCCGGTATCTTCCACCTCTCTGGGATTGTGAATCTTTCATTCTGCGGCCACATTCAGCTAAAGCATACAGTAATACATTTGTATTTTGGTTTCATCCTGTCAAGCAAGCAGTCCTCAGTTCCATAGCAAACATGGCCACCAAAGGCCTCATAATGAGCACGCTTGCGGAGCCTGCCAAGTGTAAGATGCTCAATTTCGGAGGAACGATTTGCAGCTTGCACAGACGCTACGAAATGGTTTGTAGTGTCATTGTATGCTACCCGTTTTTACACTCATTTCTGTCCATGAAAAGCAAAACACAAAGTGCCTGTATTTTAAGCATGTACACAAGTATCCGCGACAGCGGTATGACATTTGTACGCATGTTGCTGTGAAGTGCGGGCTTATCCTGAATGTTGAGGCTGCTGTAGTAGAACAAATCAGTGCAAAGTCCCGAAACCGATGAGTTAAACAGTTAAATGAGCTCAAGTTCTTTCTTCGTGTCATTTGACAGGCCAAAACGACCTCGTCTCCCTTCCCTCGGCAAGACCTGGTCGTTGCACCAATGCCACAGCTGACTGAGCAATCGCTCCATTTAGTCCAGTCCTGGAGGTGTGACCGTGAGACCCCTGAGAAATGTCTCTGGGTTCAAGCTGAGTTCAAGCCAGTCTATCCGATTATCACATATATATAATATAATATATATAAATAAATATATTCGACAGAAATATGCAAAGCAATGGCTTGGTCACAAAGTCGAGTTTTCTGCCATCGGATCAGATCACCTCCCAAAGGCAATCCACAGGGCACTCTGGCAACCTTAGAGCAAACAGGAAAGCAATGTTACCATTTCTGACCATGTTCTCAAGCCAACGTTGTATCACAACCATCGAAAACCAATCATGCTTCCAAGAAACGTTGGGCATGGAGTCGTTTCTGTGAGTGTTCCATTGCAATCCTGGGCAGAGTCAATTCCAAAAATATCATGTGACTTGCTGTTTCGGGATTGCTGTAATACCGTCCCCCTTCTGCAGTCCCATCTCTGTTGACACACAGCCGAATGAAATGAACATTGATAGATTTCCTTGTTCACATAGGCATGACATCTATGCACTTGTATGTACATCATTTAAATAAATATATGCATTTACATATATATATATATATACATATACATATACATACATATAGACAGTATATATATATATATGTGTATATGTGGTGTGTATGTGCTGTATAGATATGTATATATATAATTATACATACACATAATCATATATATATAAATACATATACGCTATATGTAGATATAACATATATACATGGAGGTTTCCTAAAATGGGGTTCCCCCAAGTCACCATAGGTTCATAGGTTTCAATACTAAAATGGTCTAATCTTGGATGATTTGGGGGTACCCCCATTTCAGGAAACCTCCATATTGAAATATGCCTATACATACACCTGAAGTATACTCTGTTTTGGAATCAAATGGTCATTTACTTCAATCCACATGTTGTAAAATCATTGTTCACATCAAATCTCGCCAGAAGCTCTGGGTAAATCCAAGTAACAGCACCACCGTACAGCGCGTCAATCTTCTCGCGGAATCGCTTGTGCACGCCTCAGGGGACAAAGCTGGAATTGCCGCAGAATCCACTTTCGAAACACTCTGCTTCATTGAATGCCATTTGGATTACAAAGGTGCACCCGCGGATTTCCAACAAAGGTTTACGGGGCTGAAAGTGGACGCATATAGGAAGATACAACGCTGATGTGGCGCATGTTTAAAGATTCATATGCACCAGAAGGAAGGCTCTTCCAAGAAGTTCCAATGTCCATGAGTTCAACTCGCATCACTCCCTTTGAGTGCCTTACGATGTGTCTGTTAGGATTGCTGGATGAAGGTGGAAAGTGCCATGAGGCTTTGTAAAGAACCACCCACATACCCTGTGGATTGCTTTGGTTTGTCGAGGAAGAAGCTTCCAATTCTATGCAAGTTTCAGAGGTGACTACTACTACATCCCAACTCTTTACAAATCAGTTTGCAGGGGTGAAGCTGCGAACATGCAATGAAACGGAGCGAGGTAGACAACACCAATCAAACTTCGCTCAGAGAAGTCAGAGAAGGTGTCCTTGTCTTGCACATTCCAGTAGCAAAGACCAACCAGGGGTGTACTTGTCTATTTAGACATACTCAATTTAGACCAGATGCCAGATCCGCAAGAGGAAGTGCATGGCTCCCAGTCTCCCCAATCCTGGATATGGCGAGAGGTGGATCTGATAGGATCTCGAACACGAGCGGGCCAGTGGAGGGAAACAAGGAAGATGAATAGAGGAGTTTATCGACAAGATTGTTGATCCCAACCACGGCAATTCCAATGGAAATATACAGAAAGGAACAGAAAGGCGAGAAATGGCGACAAACCAGCTTTTTCGGCCTGAAAAGTGCAATCCACCGGACAGGGCTTCTCTGTACAGGGCTGCATCTGTTTTAAGTCGCCTGCGGCACAAGCAAGTTCTCACCAAATTCAAGCAGCTAGTGGAGGCAATTCCATTCAGGCGTCTCGTAACATGGTTGGTTTAGAGTGGGATTCCCACTTCATGGGTTACAATTGTCCCCACTATATAAAGGGTAGTATAACTTAGCATAATCATGTATAACCCCCAAACTCATCATCAACCAACAGGGTTCTGCAGCCACTGCTCAATTGGTCTGTAGGGTTTCTTCGACCAAAACAAGAAACTTCGGGGACGAACCAAAGGAACTCCAGACTCAACTTCGTCAACTTCGTCAACTTCCAGGCTTGGGCCGAGCCTGTGCAAGGTGCACCTCCATGGCTCGGCTCAAGCCGCACCACTCGCTCTCTCTTTTGAGAGCCTCCAAGAGTTGGCCAATGAATCATCAAAAATTTGACAAAATATCTTGCTGGTGGCTTTCCAACAAATGTGTCATCTTTGAAATATAGAGGTCACTGAATTCTCGATGCAAAACACCAACTAGAGAATAAATTCTACATCTTCTCAAAGAAACTGCAGCTTTCTCGAGGGTCTCTGAAACAGTGAAACAGGAACCCACGACATGAGCAGAGTCTGTTGGTTGGCTGTCAGATCTGATCATATCTTCCGTTGCAATAAAAAAAATATCATGGGCAGCAGCCACATCCTCATCATCATCACCATCATCAATAACCAATGATGAATCTGCAATCACCATCACCAGCACCACCACCAACAACAACACCACCAGCACCACCAGCATCACCACCGCTGCCATCATCGTCATCATCATCATCCACTGGTTCTCAATCCCCGGTCCGCCTAAGCCACAGCTGGTACTGCAGCTCTGCCAGCCCGTCCAGTCGCCATACCTCAGAGAACCGCTGAAAAAAGCACCTTTGCACATCCATGAAGGGAGCTGCTGAAGGGAAGTTTTTGGAAAATGAGGTATCGGCGAAGTTGAACAAATTTGTCCTTTTTCTTCATTCACATAGAAATAAAGTGGCCATTTTGAGGTATCCACTTTTTTTGAATAACCAAAAAAATGCTCTTTACATGCGGGCCCCTCTTTGCGGACCCCTCTTTGCGGACAAGCAGTTGCCCTGAGTCCAAAACGAACAATCCACGGGACATTCAGCCTCAAAGCGAGAGCCATTCAGCTGCACGGTTCAGATGTCAGATATTCAAATTGAAGGGCTTCATGTGGCTTTCAATCTGCTGCCACATTCGAGAATGGAAAGAAATTGCTGCAGGATGGATGGTGTTGCATTTTGCACTTATGAGTGTGAGAGCGCAAAGGCTACGTTATGTTCAAATTCCGAGCAGCATGTTCACAGTCGCGCTCTTCGGAAGATGCACCAGTACACTCCTTCACCAGGTGTTGGAATAAAAGCGAGAGAGAGAGAGAGAGATCTGTTTATCCAAATGTATTACTCCAATACTTGAATCTTTTGCGACTAGATATGACCTAAAACTATTGCTGGGTCGTTGAGCCGCACACAAATAGTACGTAGGAAAAACGTCCAATCGCTTCTTGGGAAACTAGGTCAGAGAGGTGCTTGCTTTTTAGCCAGAATACAGCCAGAATCACAGCGGTTTGTCTGATCGGGTACCCCAGGTTCCCATCATTTTCCATCATTTTCCGACATGTTCCCATGTTTTTTCCAGCAACTCCTTGCCGCCGTAAAGGGCCACTGTTTTGACCTCAAACACTGTAGATGATTGCAGATGGCATTTCATCAAAATGCCTTGTGATTGACCATGATTGACCTATGTATTCCTGTGGCTTCTGTTGCCCCTTGATCAAAATTCTTTCAATTCAACTATTCAACCAAAAGACTACCCTTACCCCAGCAAGACACTGTGCCACGATATTGGATTGGTGAGCGATTGAAATATGCCCTGTTGGTTTACATAACTGGCTTCTCCGGTTGTTACTTTGATTAACACAATCAAACACTGACACTGCCCCTGACACTGGCTCCTGTTTCTCAGCTTCCCGACCATACGGCTGCGATCACTCTTCCCACCACAAGTCACTGAACAGAGTGCCCAGTCCTTAGAGCAGGGCTTGATGCTGAAGAGATCTGAAGAGTATCAAGGGAGCAGCAAGGGAGTATTAACGGAGCAGCAAGGGAGTGTTAACATAGTAGCATCCAAGATCATCCAAGTATTAGTATTGCTACTGGTGCATATTGTTGCTCTTCTTCAACATCACCGCCTAAGGAGGGGACAGTCCAATCTGTCATTTCGCAATCAACTGGACACGTTGGATAGCTGCAGTACCTTAGTTGCTTCAAGTTCTCAAAAATTCGTGTTGACTTGATCATGCTTGAAATGTGGCTGCTTGGCATTTCATTGATTGGCTTTGTCTGAGCCAAGAGGTATAATTGGGGCTGTGGTGCTCAGGGCACCTGGCAATAATTGATTCATGCCAAAAAATCTCGAATTGATTCGAATTGTATACTTGTTTTAGAGAACTCACCACGCAGACCATTGCATATAGGTGGCTTCTTCTCATAGAGCATCTCCTTCTGACGGAACTTGTGAACTTTCAACTCATCAAGAACTGAAATGCACAACTGCCATGGTTGCCATGTGACACATGGTGCCATGGAATCATCGCCACACTTAGAAACTCCAAATAGACACAGCAGCTGGACACAGCTGGATCAGCTGGGTCCTCGGGACTGCACTCCTTCCCACCATGAGCAGCTGCAACGGCCACGGAGCGAGTTCTTTCAGAAATACCTCTTGCATCTCTTGCAAACCGCTTGCAAAAGGTTGCACTTTCCCTCAATCTTTGAAGGCAGAAAACGATAAACTCCACACGCAAGGTGAACAAATTGGTGCAGTGATCACTCAGGGTCAACGAAGTACTTCTGCAAATCAGAATAGTTCTTGGCACTCATCAAATCAGCGCGTCATGTCACCAAAAGCTATTCCTGCCTGGTCCGCAGGATACACTGCATGCACTCCACTCTGCCCACTCTTTCAAGGAGCAGTCGATGGCGCAGGCGGCCAAACCTGATGCGGAGATTTCAAAAAATAACGAGAGCTGCATAGAGGGATGCCAGATGTTTCGCCAAAACAATGTGTTGGCCGTTTCGTGTCACACTTTTTCTCTGATTTGACAAAAGAAACAAGCCAAACTTGCCTGATTTTGGTCTGGTTCCGATGCAATGGCCAGTTCAAGGAGACAATTCAAGACAGGATATTATGAAATCAATATATATATTATAATTATATTATATATACCATATATATATACCATATATATATATACGGCTGTATTCGATGTGTATATGTATATACGATACATTACGATACTATGATACTACCTCAAGCACTTTGGAATTCTCGGGGAATTGAACACCTGGGCTATTCTAGGCAAGCCGCCACAGTCAGCTGTCTCTTCAGCGTCGCCAGTGCAGGTTCCGAGCTCATTGGCCTTGACCGTTTGAGTTCCTGAGTGCATCAGTCGTGGAACCCCACAAAATCGACCACGAACAGTCGGAACGCACCCCCTCCTGAACTATCCGTAACTAAAGTTTTAGCCTGTGTTGCAGAGTCCATCGTTCGCAAACGAGAAAGAAGACCACAATGGAATGTCCATCAGAATTAAATTACAACAAATCATTGAAAAACATACTTCAAAGCATAAAATTCTCAGGTTTGGTCCTACCTTTTTTGCCTTCATGGTTCTGACTCTCTTCTTTGTAGTTTCTCCACAGCTTGCAGCGCAGCTTTGCCAGTCTGCCCAATCACTCCACACACAGTCGATTGGACCTGCACAAAAAAATAGCTCATGGCTTGGCTTTCTTGGCTTTCTGAGCAAACAACAGTGAGTTACACAAGTTACGTATGTCAAAGACTCTTTGACAAGAAACCGCTGAGACCTGAGACGCATGACTGGCATAACTAGGACCCTCGATACCAGCACTGCATCGATAATTTTGGCAAAGCACAGACACTGCCAGGGCTGCAGGCATGTGTCTCTGTGAGATCAGGACATTGAGCACCCCCATTTGCCTTGAAGCTCAGCGATTCTGATGTGCTCATGCCAGGTTCATAACTGCATGAGGGCTGCACATGTTGCTGACACCAATGGGCAATCTGCTTGCATTCTGTATTCTGATGATTTCTGATGATTTCTGATGTATTCTGTACTCTTTGAGTAACTTTTTGGACATCATTTCTGCCAAAGCTCTACATTCTGGGTGATGTTGCGCTTCCTGGAGGTTGTACCAGTTCCACAGGAGACACTGCAAAGGTCCCATGCACCCCAGTCTGACACTCCGCAATCCTCATATGCTGGGTGGCTGTAGTGACTCCAGAAGTCCAGGGACAAAAATCCACGATCTTGACACATCAAAAACAAAAGACATCACACATCAAAAACAAAAAGAAATGTAACACAGAATGCCATTGCTGCTGCATGTAGAACCTGAGGCCTTGTCCCCAGGGCAAGCAGATAAACCTCAAGGTTGCAATGGCCCGAGGCAAACCAGGGCGGTCAATGTGGGAAAAGGGGTGTGTCTTTAGGGTTGCATACCAGTTAAAAAGCCGAAGCGAGAATCACAGAAATAGCCTTCTGAAGCGTCCTCGCATTCTTGGGGCAGTCAATCATTGTAATAGCGTAGAATATAAAACGCTTAGTTTGGATTCTAATCGATGCAACTTGTGCCTGAATGTCCTTTGCCAGTAAATTCCTCTGCCTTGTAGAACACAAACACTACAGCGACCTCATTGTAAGTTTCACACTCAACAAGCTCAACTGGAGGGCTCCTAGATGGTCCTGCTTGCTGTAGGTTGTGCTTTCAAAAGTATGGATATGAGTCCGAAAAACCCATGCCTGTGGAGGATTAGACCGTAGCCTTGACCATGCCAGGTGACTACAAGGCAATTCCTCCACTGCTTCGCCAGTGCAGTTGGTTCCCAGCGCGTTTGATTTGACTTTCTGAGTTCCTTGGTGGATCAAAGCGAAAAAGTCCAAGAACCAAAAGGGGGCGTAGTATCAGTTGAGTCTTTTTCATATGGTTCGGTAGTGCACATTCTTGCTCACAAGCCAGCAATTCGAAGGGCTGAAGATTGCTGAAGTAGAAGAACTAACACCAAAGGGCCATCTTCCTGCTAGACTGCTTATGCAAAGAGACTAAAGTGGGTCAGTACAGGTGGCAGTTTCGTCAGTTTCCCCAGAACAGTCTTCAACCCGTCCACAACCTAAAGGGACACTCAATTCTTTCCTTTCATTTCTGAATTCATAGTTCGATTTAGTTCGCTTGGTGCCTTGATGTTTTGACAGGTTGCTGATCCGCCTCTGTGTAGTTTCTCCACAGCTTGCAGCGCAACTTTGCCAGTCGGCCCAGTCGCTCCAAACGCAGTCAATTGGACCTGCAGGCAGAAAATTGGAAGATCGAATGAATCAAAAGATGTCAAGAGTCACTGGCAGCTGCAAAGAAGTCAGAAAACAAGGAAGTGTCTCTAAGCACTCTGTTTGTGAGGGGTCGTCTCAGTTTTACCAGTTACTTTTCCAAGACGCTGCCAATGGAAGGTACTGCTTGGTCTGAAATCATCAAAGTACGTCCCCAGCCATGCAGAGTCTTTCTTTGGCAAGGCACAAACATCACCCGGGCTGCAGGAGTGTGTCTCTGTGAGATTCGGACAGGCAGCGCCACCAAAAGCCTTCGCCGAGCCAAAGTTTGAGTATTCAGGCTCGCTACAGGCGACAAAAAAATGAATTGTCATCAATTCCATTAAGACATTCTCTGGCAGTTGCGCTGCATGTTTGAGGATGACCTGCAGCCAAAGCTCCTGAGCTTTGGTGATGGTGCGCGTCCTAGAAGTGGTGCCAGTGCCGCATGACACGCTACAGAGGTCCCAAGCACCCCAGTCTGACACGAAGCAGTCCTCGGAGGAAAAAAACAAACACAAACGGGTCTGTGAATTGATCGCAACGATAGCTGATGCCTAAACGCGAGAGAGAAACATAGAGGAAAAAAGTTATCAATGAAGGCGGAATGCACCAAACTAAAGTAGAGTAGACTATAATAATGATAAAGCAGAAATTCGGAATAGCAAGATGAAACTAGTTGAGAAGGAATCACGCCCAAGGATTATGCAGCTACAATCAGCTACAGCCATTTTGAACAAAATCAACTTCATTCCAAATCCTGGGACAGTGGCTCATCATGCTCATCTTGACAAAAACAGTTGGCTGATCCACACAGGTGCGAAGCCAAGTCGCTTCTGGGCAACTTTTGCTTCCACAATCTCTGCTGTTGTTGAGCTCCTCAGCTGGCAATTCACTCCCCACCAGTTTCCAGGCCTGGTGGCTCTTATTATCTCTTATTGCATGGCTGAAAACCACTAAAGCAAGCAGAGGAAGTGGAAAAAATATGACGGAAATATATATATATATAGATCCATACGTATATATATATATATACACATATCATATATCCATACGTATGTATATATATGTGTGTGTGTGCTTTCTGCATCTTTTTGCCGCCAAGTTGCTCCCTCGCAAGCTTTTCCACCTCCACTGGCAGGAGTCATGATCACGCGTTCTCGCACCTCCTGGTCAGACATGATCATGTATGCACTCCTACCTCCTTGCAAGCGTTGGGATAAGTTGAAAAATAAAAAGTTGTGGACTGCTTGAAGATTGAAACCTTCCGTCTGGTTGACGTTGCTCGTCCCAATTGGGCCAACCACCCAAACATGTGCTGTAATTACAATCAATTGTTTCATACATTTTTCATACAATATCAACTCTGCTGTGCTGTCACTGTCCCTGGCCTTCGCACCACCGCAGGTTTTGGAGCAGCCACCCCAGTCATGCCAATCAGAAAGTTCACCTGAGACGTTGGACCGTTGGAGCACTGTTCGATGTCGTCGATGTAAAGGCAACAAGCAGATTTGCCGAAGCAGAAGCCGAGCAAAAATGCCAAAAATGCAAAAAGAAACGGATCGCATAAAGAAAAATACTGAAAAGCCAAGATGGCAAGGCACAGTCAATGGGACAAACCGCTTGGTGACAAACCTGGGGCGATGTGAAGTTCATGGATCACACGGAAACGCCACGAAACACCGTTGACGTCCAAAAGCATCCAAAAGCAACAAACTTTGAAAACGACAAAAGTCCTTGCCTCAGATCTTTCATCAGATCCACTGCACTCCGCGCCTCCGAACCTTGGGTGCTGGAAAGTCTCCGCCGCACCATTCCAAGTAAAACTCTTTACCAGCGCAGTCTTTTCAGTCATGCCTGTGGTCACCTGTGGTCACCTGTGGTCATATCAATATGATGACAATGATACAAACTGGTTTGACTCAATTTGTCCGACTTTGGTTCCACCTGGTGACTTTCTGAGAATGGCTAAAAGAAGGAACAGGAGCTCATGACGATCCACGTGTCGAGGGACTGGGCGGCCTGTGAGGTGCGTCGCTGATAGCGTGTGGAACTGCCACAAGTTGCGGAGCAGTCCGTCCTGACACCGATCCGAAAAAGGCGATGTAAAACCAGCGGTCATGGGAATATGTTTGCGAGATGAGGATATCCGAATATTATACATACATATATATATATATTATGAATTAATATTTGCATAATATATATATATATGATATATATATATGATATATATATATATATCATATATATATATATCATATATATATATCATATATATATCATATATATATATCATATATATATATATCATATATATATATATCATACATATATATATATCATATATATATATATATTTATCATATATATATATATATATCATACATATATATATATATCATATATATATCATACATATATATCATATATATATATCATATATATATATATCCTTCCAATTCGACCAGCTCCACTTTCCGCTGAGGACCCCACCAGTCTGCCCAATCGTTGTAAACGCAATCGATCGGACAAGCAGACATTGTGCAATCCCGCTCTTCCCTGCGAGATCTAAGTGCTTTGGGTTTCTCCGTCAATGAATTTTCCATGTTCTCCAACCTTTCACGGCCACATTCCATAATGATTCTTTGCAAATCGGTTTATATACAGTACATCGCACTGCAAACGAGAAAGATCCGGATACGCTGTTGTCGAAAGTGGCATACAGCAGCAGTGAGCAAGAATTCGCTTTCCAAGAGGCAATGGGTAACGATGTTACAAGCAAGTTGAAGCTATACAATATATATACTTTTATAACTTACGTATATATATATATATATATATGAGCGACTGTGAAAACCCTAGGTTCACGGAAAAGACATCCACAAATTTGGGAAGGTCCCATCGCTTACCACACGTTTGTACAATAATGATATATGGTAAACTTGGGGGGTATCGCTTGCAGGAAGCTGCTGCATTTATATATATATATATATATGTGATGAACCATGAATAATATGTGATATTTGGGTATCGCTAATGTGGATATTAGAGAAATATGATGACATAACCTTGAAAAGGGGTATCGCTAATTTGGGAAGGTCCCATCGCTTACCTCGTGTTTTTAACAATTTCCATCAATTTCCATAAACCAATGTCCGTCGAATACATATTTAGTATTGCCGGGGTTTTTACGGTTGCTCATATATACATACATATGTGTTGGCATCACTAACAAAGCAAGAAAGTGTGACACCCTGAGTCCTTGCCTGTTGCTACTGTCGCATGCTTTTCCTAGACACAAAGCAGGCACTCAACAAATAAGGCCAAGAATCATGCTGAAGGGAGGACAGTTAAATTCTATCAGGACATCACACCAGCAAGCTATTGTGTGTACAGCAAGGTCTCAGTGCAACCGCTTGCCTGCACCTTCCGCCATGCGGAGCACCTTCCTGTATCTCATTGAAATGCCTCTCAAGAAACCAAACAATGGAAATACCAAACAGTATTGGAGAATGGAGGTAAGGACTTGACCTTGTTTTTGACTTCCAGTTTCAGAAAGATTTCGGACGATGCAAAGGCGGAACACATTCCTTTACTAGGGTTTCACCATCTTGACATGCAATAGAAAACCGCATGCAGCAATGCAAGGATCTTTCTTTGATGTGAGCTCAGAATACAATCAGGACAACAGGGCTGAGCCTTCTCCGCAGGTAAATTGGCAAGCGCTCCAGTCCTCAGTGGTTGAAGAGAAGTCTGGCGCTTTAGAGCTGCTATGAATGTATCAACAAGAAATCAGCACAATGGATGGAAGGGGAGTTGTGTGAGATTTATACAAAACAGAATCAAATGATATCAAATGTGTGTACAGGTACATGAGTATATAATATTATAAAATAATATATAACTATATATCATATATTTCTATCATAAGTCTATCAATTCAGCTGCTTTCAGTTTTGCACAGCGGTTTTTTGGCAACACCTTTGAGCTTCATACCGACCAATCGTCCCAGTGGCAGTCAACGTCGATCGCCTGTGCCAAATTGATACCCTTTGGTAGTCAAACATGGCCAATCGGGAAACCCCCTATGTGTGGAGCTTTTAGTGGAAAATAATCTATATATTAGGGTTTTCCCATTGCAAAGCTTGATTACCAAAAGTTACTTGTTTGTAGGTTTGCGGGCTTCCAGGCACATGTTTGACCACTCTTTACTTAGTTCCTGATTTCACAGCATTCATTCCATCAGTGCCCTTTGGTATCCACACCAGCGAGCCCCGACATCCCTTCAAACCGCAAGTGGCCTCATCAAGACCAAACCTCAGTGTGGGGGCAACAGGGGTACGGGACCACTTCATTTCCCACTCTCCGCCACTTGTTTGCAACCAACTGACCCAAAGAAACTGGACATTGGCGAAGCCTGAAAGAACAGCAATTATACGCACTGTCAATGAACAGCCAGAAGGCACAGAGCTAGTCCAAATTCTGAACATCTGAGTGTGTAAAGGGGCTGCTTCCAATGCCATGCTGGATTTTGCATCTTTAGTAGCTCTAGTGCACACTTGGAACTGCTTTGCTGTCAGAACAAAGGATTCAGGAACCCCATGTCTGCTTGTTTTCGCCGCAACCTGCCTCTTTGCTCTCCAGGCCATCATGTCTGATCTCTGCTCTCATCATTCCTTGGGTACAAAGACTCTAAAAAGAAGACTTCAACATACAAAGAGTTACAAAGATACAAAGTGCATGTTGAGAAGCTTCCAACACGCTTTCTGGTCAGGCAGCTTCGACTTAATCAGCCTAGTAGACGGGACAAGTTTCTTTGAAGTTTCTTTGTTTCTAGTGCGCCAAGCTGCGTGTTTGCGCATGAAAGTCTGGTGCCGAAGTGCCGTCCTCAACAGAAAGCAACTGGGAAAACAACTGTGGTATTCTTGAGATACAGAATGGAACCTGGTAGAGAGTTGCATCCACAAAATGTAAAAGTGTAGTATAGATCAAGGGTGTGATCTCTCTGATGAACTCTGATGGACCAACATGTAACCGACTTTGACAAGAGGAGCTACATGAACCAGTCTGACAACAGAAACGAGAAGGCCGTGCATTTTTCAATACGTTGCAGCTTGGTCTGCACAATCATGCAGAATCACAAGAGTTGTCAAATACGAGTTACATGATGTTACATGCAGCGTCCAATCCTGAGGGTGCGCAATCACAGCTTCTGCTGTTTGCAAGGCAGTCATCACTATGAGGAACCTCAGTTCAGGGGCCTAAAAGCAACAGTAACAAGGACCAGCAACATGAGTGCCTGCAAAACAAATGGCATATGTCCTGCATGAATTCGGAGCTAGGTACAAATCACAGAGAAACTCGTCCGTGTGACACAGCAGCGTCCCGCTACCGTGGGCTTCTGGTAGAATACTCAAGCAACATAAGCAACCAGTGGTAACCAGTGACCTATGGTATGTTGCTCAGCGATGCTCAGCGTATCCTAAGAAAAGTTCCATGTGTTTCTTTCAAAAAGAACGGCTGCTTTGCCTTGCGAGGAGCATCTCCAAATAGGTTGCTTTCATGGTCCGGAAGGGGTCTCCGAACCTAGAGATATGAAAATGTATCCTGAGTTCAAGACAGTGGTTAGAACCCGAACACAAGTCTCTAGCGAAGTCATTCAAGATCAGTGTCAGAAGCAGAGTGCAAGTCCACAATCTTCTCTGTCTCGTTGCTCCATGAAGAAACATTGCCAAGAAAAACACTACTAGAGCCAAGTTTCATGTAAACTAATGGTCAGAGCACGCAATGCCTTGCATGCAAAAATGGCGTGCCCCACAAACAACCAGGACAATTGCACCAAAACAGTCATACAGCATTTCAGCTACAGCGTCTCTGATGAATCTGTCCGCCGTTGTGCAAATGTCCACAAAGTGTTTAGGTTTTTACAAATGCAAGTATTTCTTTGGAATCAATTGAAAACGTGCAAACAGGTCACCTATAGGTATTCGGAGCAGCGTGGTTCGGCATGCCCCCGCTTGAGCCCCTGTACACCAAATGTTTTCACACAGAATCCGAAGAATTCAAGTCCTCACTGTCCTCACCCCCTCTCCAACCTATGCTGCACCAAATCTACAGACATGGAGTTCTTCTCAACGAGTCGAATCTGCATTTATCACCGCACTTGAGCTGTGCAGGCCAAGCCTCCAACTAGTAACTATCTTGAACTCATGTCCACACCATGTGCGCTGTTAAAGCAGAGTCAATGCAACTAAAAATTCATATAAAATACACAAGGAAATCTCTGAGAGCACAGATGTAAGGTCTTTCACTTTCCCACATGAAACTCCGTTCTGAGGCATTTGGGGTCCACGGCCGTCTGTGCCAGGGTCTTGCTTTGCTGCTCGGCACCTGAAAAGAAAACAAAAAAAGAAACGGAAACAAAACCTTGGCCAAGGCTTCTGCCAGATTTGCCAGATTCTGGCAGGGTGGAGACTTGGAATCAAGATCTTGCCAGCGCAAACAAGCTCTGGAACTTCTTGTTTTGCTAATGAAGGTTTTAAATGTTGCTTAACACGTGTCATTTCTTCTGTAGTCTTACCAGACTCGGATGGTTGCCAAATGGCTGGAAGATGATTCTCCTCTTGCAGCTTCTGCTGCCAGCACCATGCTGATGTGACTGCTGAGTTACACGCTCCAAGTCGAAAGCTTTGGAACCATATTGCAAGCGCTCGCCCTGTGACCAAGATCCGCTGCCAGTTGCCGTCCAACTGCCTTTGTCCCCATTTGTTTCCTGCAAAAAACTGGTTTCCAACATGTTGGATCTGTTTGTTTCCCCTCAGAGGGGCTAACAGGAACAGTCATTGCATGACAGCGGAAGACTCCGCCTGCGAGATGGGATCAAAGCTCATGACTACATATCCTGCGCAGACGCAAATAACAACCGGAATGCTAGTGGTTCTAGTGGTATCTATAGTGGTTATGTCCACAGCGTCTCAAAGGTGTGAATATCTATCCATTGACCTCTTCAATGCTCAGCTGTTTTCCGTTCGCCTTGCTGTGCAAGCTTCAAAGAAAGCTTTTGCCTGGCTTGACTCACACGGTGGGGCAAAATCAGTTTTTTTGGACTGCAGTTTTCAAGTCCCACTGGCATGCATAAACTGTTGCTGCAACTACAATTTCCTCTTGGAGGTTACAACAGTTGCTTGTTCCTCTGCTAGGGAAAGGGTGTCTTAAGAAATGGAGCTTGATACATGGTGCGCTCTGGTCCTTCGCCTATTCAACCAGCTTGTGCAAGCGCTTGTAAGTCTGGTCAGGATTACTCATCTGGATCCTGTCACAAAGCAGCTCGGGACAGCCAAGCCACTTCAGCTCTGCAAACGGGCACTCGACTTTTGGTCGTTGTGATAAGATGATGTGAGACACATGTCCGCTTTCTCAGGCCAAAAAAGCTTCCAAGAATCACAAGACATCAGCAATCTTCAGATATGATCTGTTCTATCAGCTTCTGCCCCAAGTTGTGTTGCCTAAAAGCATCTGGGTGTTGCGACTTCCGCTTCATGATCTGTGCAGCAGTCAAGATAGTCAAGCAGCAATCTTTGACAGTCCCGCAAGCCACCAGCAAGGTGTCCAGGCAAGTGCAACACCTTGGCAAAGCGAGTACACAGGCGCCACCGCATTTGGAGTGCGACAGGCCAAAGTCGCACAGTTTAAAAAAGAAATCCCTGTTGGTAGAGTTGCTATTCACTTCTCTCAGGCTGGAGTTGAGATTCTCCCACATCAGTGAAAGCTCCTCTTCGTCTGATGTCTGTCATATGTGACACCATAAAACGCCTGAATTCTTGGCTGCACACTGCTGGTCGTCTCTCCAGTTGCATCTCCAAGCCCAGAGGGACAAAGACCACAGCAGGCACAAACTTGGTCGAGTTGGGAGCTCAAACCAATGCAAAGTATCTGTTGTCTATGAATTTCGTTTATAAATCTCTATAGTCTTTTCCGATCCCTCTGGTCTTGTTAGAAGCGAACATAATCCTTCAACAAAACCCATCCCAAGGCCACACTCGTTGGGAGGTGAATCTGGAAACTTGGCTCACCACTTCTCCACGCCATGACTCAAAAAGAAGCATAAGAACTGTTACTCCACGGCTCTCATCCTGTTCAAAAGAAATTCACAAATAGGTAGGGTCAACAAGAAATAGCAAACGGATCAAACGGATCAAACGGATCAAACGGATCAAACGGATCAAACGGATCAAACACATGTCACGTGTCCACTGTGTCCCTCAAAATCCCTCTAATCTTCCGCATCTCTGCCGGGTCCTGATAGCGACGTACCTTGTTCACCGATGGAATGATGACCCGAAGGAAGCTCGAGACACTTCTTTGGGAGCTGTGCTTTTTGCCTTCCCATTCAACTCAAGTCGATCTTTGAAAACAAGAGAACCCTACCAGCATAAACGATATTCCTGTACATCGTATGAATCATATATCCAAAATTCGTTCAGAATCGCTCTTGTGGGCGAACATCCTGGGAAAAAAGAGATTCCAAGCTAAGGAAGCGCAAGGAGTCGGGAAAAAACTACAACGCATCGAACACGGCTTGGCTTCCCATCAAAGGGAACTCTGGATAGGCCCTGTGACACGCACTAATCACAGCATTGTACGTGATCTCGGTTGATTCTAAGGAAATCTGTTGGATCTCCTCCAGTAGAGACTCACTGAATTGCCATTTGCTGGACTTCTCACTTGCGCTGATAGCTGCATTGTAAGTGATTGTATTTGCCTTGCCAGCCTTGCCATCGAAAAGAAACTCTACAGATTGCAGCAAGAGCAAAGCCATGTTCCACTGTCCTCCCTTTTCGCAAGCAGAAATTGCGGCGCTGACGCTAACAACTCCTGGATTCAGTCGCCTGAAGGAGGGTGAACTGTGTGAACTCTGCTTTCGAAAGGAATGCAATAGAGTTATTGCAAAGTTCCATTGGGATGACTTTTCGCAGCAAGTCATGGCTGCATTGCAGCTAATCTGATTTTGCGCCATTCTGCGGGTCTGAATGCCACAAAATCCTTCCAAAGCCAATGGCCAACTGAATTTGTCCACACTTAAAACCAAATTTTGGCTCATTTCACTGGGCTGCACCATGAAGCTCATCATCTTGTGAAGCAGCGCCATCCCAGAACTCCACTCTGTGGCATCTGCACAGGCTGTTAGCACTGAATTCAGGCTCACCTCATCCTGACATTATCTGATTGCTGGTGGGAGATAGAAAGGAAGGGAGAAGGAATAAATCTATATAAATCTAAGTTGGCTAAGAGATTTCTGAGGTCCATTCATTTCGTGTGTGAGTTTCCAGTTTTTGCATTGCCACATAGAAGCAGTTGAAAGAGCTCAGCAAACACGCAAGTGGAATCAAAGAACTGAACGCAAAAAAACAAAGACTCTAAGAGTAATAAAGCCAGCCAAGCCAGCCAAGCATCTATCTGAAGGCTACGTTGAACTTGCAAGTTCTGAAGTTCAAGCGCGACCTCCCAGCGTGAGGCAGGGGCACTGCATGCACTGATTGCTGAATTCATTCCGATCAAGTTGCAGTGCCACGCCAGGGACATTTCCACCGCTTTGCGCCACATGTTGCCTGCATCACACGCACTGACTGCTGCATTGAAACAGGCCTCATCACCCAATCTTCCAGACTTGTGTACCCTTGCTGCCCCCATCATTTGCAACATACACAGTGGTAGCTGCCAGTGTAGGCGACAGGAGCTCATTGTCGCTTGATATGCCGAGGCGATGTCAGGTGTTGGCCGAATACCCTCTCTACTCCCGCGCCTCAATCCTTTGAATATTCCAAGGGCGGCTGCCCAGTCTGACTCATCTTTGCAGGCATTGATGGCAACACAGAAAATGATTGAATCAGGCAATATGGACCTTTGCACCATTTCAACCATAGAAAGAAGCACTGCAGTTTCCCATTGAAATCCTTTGCCACAGGCACTGATCAGAGTGCTCATCGACTTCTTGTCCGGTTCGATGTCACTGCGTTCAAATCCAACATTGTTTGGACTTGGATTGAATACTGAATTCATGACATTGACAGCCTGTCTCCACAAGGTGGTCCTTTCACATACACTGAGAGCTCCAGTAAGGCATCTGATGTTGACATGTAAGCGCATATATGGTGCCTTTCCCAGGAGAGACAAAACTTGACACCAGTCTGATGCAGCTGTCACCACTGCATTCAAGCCCACGACATCCATCTCATTGCTTGGAGCAGCTGCTTGCAGGCCTGTCAGCCACAAAGCCATCTCCCACTTCACGGACCCTGCTGCGCTGTTGTAGCTGATTGTGTCTGCTCGTAAATCAGAGTCTTGTATCGTACCCAACACTACCAGGCCCAAAGGCCAATTTCCAGCTTTGTTTGAGGCGGCAATCCCTATATTCATAGATGCAGTAGCGGCACACTCCCTCATCAAACGCAACGCAAACATCCAATTCTTCTGCAAACATGCAGCCCCTGCAGAATTAAAGTTTGTTTCATGGAGAGTTTCTCTGGCCTGGCACGCCCAGCCAATCAACCCCAAGGCCTTCTGCCAAGCTCTCTTCTCCCTACAAGACTGGAGTCTTGTCTGCAGTGACACGTCACGTTTCGATGAGAATCCACAGTGTAAAGACTCCCGTGGCCAACTCCTCTGTAAAGAGACCATGCATTGGACCATGCATGCTCCCGGTTTTGAGCAAACCCAGGCTACCAGCTGATCTTGAGGCTGAAGTGGCTACATTGCTGATAATTGTCAGTGGAACTTTCACACGCAAAGAGAAACTATAAATTGCCGAGCATCTGTCAGCCACACATCTGCTTTCGACAGGTTCCACCTAAGATTGGTACCAAGCGCGTGACTGGCGCAGGCCGATCTTCAACAACCCGAAACATGCGACGCAGCACATGACGCACCTCCGCAGGTGAATGGCACGAGCTGTGACAGCCTAATTCTAAGGAAACAAACCAGGTCTTGGAATTTCAAAGTATTAGCTAAGCAACAGATGCAGTTCAGCACCATTTGTGGAGGAAATGATGCACTACCTGTGACATCCGTCATACGCCCATAGATGCGGAAGAAAGAAACACGAGTGTTTGCAGTTCTTAGGTGGCATTGTTTCAACACTTTGTCCTTGTTTCACTGCCCATTCAGCCTGGCGCTGTCGAACCAGCAGTGATGAGAAGTTGGCTTGGGACAATGTATTTTTCCTTTTCTGCATGGCGGCATCCTGGCGAATTTTCGATGAGTCGATCAGGTTGACACATGGCCCGAAACGGAGGATGAGAATTCCATGTATCAATAGCGCCGGAAGGAATACATACAGCGCAAGATTCAGCCATTGACCAAAAAACATCGTTGAAAGCCGCAACTGTTTCAATGTAATACATCCAATTATATGTTTTCCACTATTATTTGTTTTACCACTTCGCAGAATCTGCTTTTGTCTGGCAATTCATCCCCATGGCTACCCACGACACAGCTAGGTTGGTCGCTGATCGGAGAGCATAAACACTCTCTACGAGTGTTAGCATGGTAGCGACAATGCATGGTGCCAACAAAACCATGTGAGTATGTTTCGTGTTACCTCCAACTGGTGGATGTTTATCTCAACAAAAACCTTTCAAACATCAAACATTGAGCAAAAACATTGTCCGGGTCTTGTCAGATTTGTTGCGATTTGTTTTCCCGGTTCTGTTTTGAATGTGTTTCTGATCGGGTGGTTTTGCCACCACAGACCACTGACAATTTGCAGCATTTGCCGGGGCCCTGGCTATTCTTTGGTCCTTGGCAACGCAATCTCCCAAAATAGTGATTGGTTTCGGTTGGACACTTGCATGCCAAAAAAAATGGTCAGAATGTGTGTGTGTGTGTGCGAGTGTGTGCGTGTGTGAATTAAACAACATTGGCACACATTTTCTCAAATTGAAATGTAAATGTGAAAAAAATGAAGCAGCACCTGCGGATCAAACACCTCGAACACCTCTGTTCATCGTTTCACACAAAATACGTTTGTCATCCATTGTCATCCTGTGTTAGGCCTTGGTGCACAGAGGGTGCAACCCACATTCTGTGCAGCATCATTCCAGGCCTTGGTGCCACTTGACAAGTGGACTGTGACACAAACTGTGAGACAGTTGTGACTCGGCTGTGAATTGGGCCCTGGACGTCATAAATCCTTTTTCAAAACAATCATCAAGGGAACGGCAAGAAACCTCCAATTTCTGAATTCAGGCAAACAGTTCCGCCAAATCGGGATGCCAACGAGAAACAGTTTTCGTTTCGCAACACCAAAAATCCATAAAAATATGACAATACAATTTGCATCCGAAAAAACAAAAAAATGCCTCTCGCACTTCTCCATCCACCAGTTCGTGCCGGTAAATCCTCCCGCAACAGTTTCGATGGTGCATTTCACACATTGAAACGAACGATGTTGTTCCCCCACGTTTTGTCCCATTTTGATTTTGTTGACACAAAAGCAAAATCACAAACAAAAAGATGCACATGTAAGAACTGCAATCGGTCCCTGCATCGCCAAGCCAAAGCAATGCATTGAAAACGATTTGCCAACTGAGTGGCAATCCCATAGCATGTCATGGTTCGAAACTACCTGCGTGAATAAATGCAACATCAAGGTGGATTTTATCCTACCCGGCGAAACCACTAGAACAGTTGCACCATTCGGCAATTTTTGGAAGAGGGCACGATACAAATTGAATGGCAATGAACGAAGATGGGTCATATTGGGTCATACTGACATGTGCATCCACGTTTCAACAGATGCCATGGCGTCTGGATTTCTGAAAACACCCAATTGTTTTCAAACAATGTTGTCACAATTTTGTTTGCGACATTGTTTGTCTTGGTGTTGTGAAACGCTCTGCAGCCACCAATTGTCACGGATTGACTGAAATTACGGATTCATTTATGTTCATGGGAAAATTGTTTTTGTCCACGCAACAAAACAAAATTTTGTGATATCCAGCGCTGTTCTGAAATTTGGTTTGGCGTCGGAATTTTCATGGGCAACAAGCATCATAATTTGTTTTTTCAGTACTTATAATTGTTAAAAATGAATTTTGGTTCAATTGGGGAGGCCAACAACGGAAACCAAATAATCATCGTTACAACAAGTTTGTTGTTGCATGTTTCGTTTCATTCATTTTTTTTTAAATTCATTTTGTTTTTGCTACATCCTCTCATATTGTGGATGGAAATAGTCCTGCACCACCTTGGATGGTTGAAACCCTGTAAATAATGGGAAAAATTAACAGTCAACTGCTGCGGGATTTCAATTTTTTCACAACATGCCTCACCTCAAAAGCACTTTCCATACCGTGCATGATAACATGCATCTGGTTGAGTTATGTATGTGCATTTTGGTTCAAGGTTTGATTGCATAAATGCCTAGCGACTAGTCACTAGTCAAAACCCATCTGTCATGCAAGAATAAGCACGGGTAGTAGAGTTGTTTGTTTCTCTCTTGGGTGGAGGGGCCCAAGCAAGGGGCACCACACAAAATGATCGAAGGAAGTTTAGAAGTCAAACTTCCGACAATATGGACAGATGAAAAGCAGAGTAGGGAAGAGGCAGAGAGAAGAGAAAGATTAGAAGAAAGAAGAGTAGAAGAAAGAAGATGCAGATGCGCGAAAGGGTAGGAAAGTCGCGAAACACTGTGTTTTTCCAATGATTTGAGGCTCCGGGGGGTCGAAAAGTAGGCTCGCTAAAGCGGCGGGTGCGGAGCCAGCTGGCCAGATGACAGATGAAAAAGTGCACACCGTTGTGGCGCGAAACATTTCCAAGTCAAAATGCACAAAACACACCAGGTTCGGACCACTTTTGGAAGTTGAGATGTCGAAAAAGTGCACGCCGTTGTGGCGCGAAGCACATTTCCAAGTCAAAATGCACAAAACACTTCAAGTCCGGACCACTTTTGGCAGTTGAGATGTCGAAAAAGTGCACGCCGTTGTGGCGCGAAACACATTTCCAAGTCAAAATGCACAAAACACCACATGTTCGGACCACTTTTGGCAGTTGAGATGTCGAAAAAGTGCACGCCGTTGTGGCGCGAAGCACATTTCCAAGTCAAAATGTACAAAACACTTCAGGTCCGGACCACTTTTGGCAGTTGAGATGTCGAAAAAGTGCACGCCGTTGTGGCGCGAAGCACATTTCCAAGTCAAAATGTACAAAACACCACATGTTCGCGCCACTTTTGGAGGTTCGGATGTTGAAAAAGTGCACGCAGTTGTGGCGCGAAGCACATTTCCAAGTCAAAATGTACAAAACACTAGGGGTTCGGACCACTTTTGGAGGTTCTGATGTGGAAAAGTGCACGCCGTTGTGGCACGAAGCACATTTCCAAGTCAAAATGTACAAAGTCCTAGGGGTTCGGACCACTTTTGGAGGTTCAGATGTGGTTGCGCTTCGCTTCATTACACTACACTACATGACACTACACCTACACTCCACTACACTACACTACATTACGTTACACTACACTCCACTACACTACAACTACAACTACACTCCACTACACTCCGCTACACTCCACTACACTCCACTACACTCCACTACACTCCACTACACTCCACTACACTCCACTACACTGAATTACACACTAAAATACACTACACTACACTACATTACACTACACTACACTACCTTCCACTACACTTCACTACATTACTCTACTATCCACTACACCACAACTACAACTACAACTACACAACTACACTCCACTACACTCCACTACACTCCACTACACTAAATTACACTACACTACACTACATTACACTACACTACACTCCACTACATTACACTACACTACACTACCTTCCACTACACTCCACTACACTAAATTACACTACACTACACTACATTACACCACACCACACTACATTCCACTACACTCCACTACACTACACTACACTACACTACATTACATTACACTACACTACACTACGCTACCTTCCACTACACTTCACTACAGTACACTACACTACACTCCACTACACTACAAATACAACTACAACTACACAACTACACTCCACTACACTCCACTACACTAAATTACACTACACTACACTACATTACACTACACTACACTCCAGTACACTACATTACACTACACTACACTCCACAACACTACAACTACAACTACACAACTACACTCCACTACACTCCACTACACTAAATTACACTACACTACACTCCACTACACTACATTACACTACACTACACTACCTTCCACTACACTCCACTACACTAAATTACACTACACTACACTACTACACTCCACTACACTCACACTACACTACATACACTCCACTACACTACATTACACTACACTACACTACCTTCCACTACACTCCACTACACTAAATTACACTACACTACACTACATTACACCACACTACACTACATTCCACTACACTCCACTACACTACACTACATTACACTACACTACATTACACTGAATGACACTGCACCATAGATAGACAAGTAGACAGACAGACAGATAGATAGATAGACAGATAGACAGGCAGCCTCTAGAGCATCGAAGTAGATCGATTGGTTACTGTTAGCTGAAGCATCCTCGCGGGTTTTTTCTGTGATGCATGGCACCATTGGCTCTATGTCTGTATCCGAGTCATCAGGGTCATCCGTCGCCAAGGGAATGAACCTATTTGCTGCCATGAGCTGCTGTATCATTCTGGCGTGGGCGTAACCCTGAACAACCAGTACCCGGTGTCAGGTTTCCAGTGTACAACTAGGACTGTGAAAGACTATCAATGTAGGGTTCAAATGTTACCAATGAATCAGCGGAGCTAGGGAAACCCCGAACACCCGGTACCCGGGGTCGGGGGTTCACGTTGCAGGGCCAATCCAAGTGGAGTTTCAAAAATACAGATTGAAGCTCATCTATCGCCTTGAGGTGCGAATTGGGTGGCTTATGGCTGACCTAGCTATAGAAACTAGAGCCGCAAAAGCTGCAGTGAGAAACACATTATACAATTACAGATGTTGGAAGCATTCTTCACTAACCATGCATCGGCACCAACGAAAGCAGGATTCAAATAACCGGAGACGGAAGGACATGGGACACAAGCCTGACAAAACCAACCCAGTGAAGTACATCAATAAAATTCCCGTTACACTACCTTGGGGGGTCATATTGAGTTGGTAAGCCCCTAAAAGTCCAACAAGTTTGGGGGGGTAACACCCTGGCACTCAACTGCTTTTCTCTTGGCGCAACTGTGGAGTATGGCGACAACATAAGTCGGCACTGATCGGGTGATCTCAGAGCAGTCACATGCACTCCGTGCTAGCTGGCTGCAATTTCACTCAATCAATGATTTCCATTTCTATCTACGATCGGCAAAGCCTGAGGAGTATCTGGTTCCTGGCCATCTTGTATTGTCTTGAGGCGTTTACGCCATAGATTTTTTTCCGTCCAACGCCGTATGGCTTCCGCCAGGTCGTTCAACATGTTTCCAAGCATGTTGCATATGAGATTAATTAATTAATTCACGCAGGGGCCGAGCTGTAGGGCCGCAAAAGTAAACTGGTAGAGGACCGATACATAGTCCTATTCCCTTGTCACGTTCCAGAGAGCAAAAAACAAAAACCGAAACACAAAGAACCAAAAGCAAAAACCACACAAACAAAAAAACACAAACAAAAACAACCCACACAAAAAACAAACAAGCACACAACCACACAGCAGTGACGTGACAGTAACCAGTTTATGGGTGAAAAAGATCTGTTGAGGCAAGAGGTGATAGCTTAGTATCATCTCGACGCATGCAGATGACAACTTATGTGTCATGTTCGCAGGCCCATAACACAAGACATCAACGGAAAACAAACAACCACAAAATCACCATGGGCCATTGAAAGGGTGCAGGAAGCAACAAAGCTCAATGCGGAAACCAGGGATCCCCCCAGCCAGGATCCCCGAGATCACAAAGAGCAGCCTTCACGGCATGACATTCGCCCTGACACTTTGGAGCAAACACCGACAAAGCCGGGTCACAACAAAGTGGTGAGAAAAACTACCGCAGTGAAACAGGAGAGTGAAACATGATCTAAGGTGAAAATGGCAGCGAGGCTACGGCTCTCAGGGCACACTCAGAGTCCGCTCAGAACTGCTTTTCCAATCATCATATTGCATCAAAATTGTGGTTGCGGTAATCACCACTGTGCTAGTGCTCTTGCAATTGGTCTTCATGGTATGGGAGATTGTACTCATCATCAGTGCGTGGTGATATCTGTGCATTAAGCTCTTCCGATGACGTGCTGGCTCCCTTGGCTGTATGGTGAAGCTGTAGTAAGGCTTTCTGCGCCTGGGTTACTTCGTAACTGGCAGAGATTGTACAACTATCCAATATACAGCCAATCTGACGGAGTTGGCGTATGGACGCCTCAAGGTCAGTGACTCTCTGAGATGGGATACTTTGTATGCCTTGGAGTTTCTGGCATGCTTTCTCTAGGAGTTTCGTGGCTTCATCAACTTCGCTGGTCGTGACCTGGCAAAGGGTCAGTTGAGTAATGGACTTTGCAAGACGATGGACAGCGGCGTCTT